CCAAACCTCTGCTTGGAGAGTAAGCTAAATCTACAGTCAGGATTTATTTTGCATTGTCATCGGTCATTTGTTGTCATTTTGAATGACGGCAGCAACTGCTAGTGACGTGTCTGTCGTTCTTCCGGAACAAATCGGCGTTTGTTGTTATATAGATGCTATTTGCGTTTGCAGGCGTTCCTACTACGTAATATCGCACACTGACACACCTTGCGCTAGTCACAAAGGAACAAAAAAGGGAAAGAATTAAAAAGTCAACTCATGGTCAGGTGTCGTTTTGTAGTCATTATAAATAACGCATGGTCGTTAGAGTACGCGTTAAAAATCAACATTACACCTCGCTTTCCGAAATAGCTATTGTGCTTTCTAAACCCCATTGCTTAGACCTATATACAATTATAGTCAAATTTTGAGTGGTACAAGCGATTGCTACCTGAAAATATCAATTCGGTGATTTAGGACCCGTAAACTTTGTCTTTGTACAACTATAAGTATAACATAGAAACACACCCGATTTTATTTGCAGTGGCTAAGTGCAGTCTCTACTAGACTAACTACGCTGGCTGTATATAGTACTCAATATAGGAGAATATTTGCCAGGGGAGTTTGGCCGCCTTGTAGGTTTGACTGGCCGCGCAGGGAAAGAAACTACCTCCCTGCGGCCGAACTCTTGGCCAATTTTACTCTCTTTTTTGCCGAATTCTACGATCCGTATTCCCGTAGAAAGGCCTTGTGGAGGCTAAGCTAAGTGGCCGACCTGTAGATGTAACGTTAGCTGTAGTAAACGTTACATCACTTGTTCCTGCTGGATTCCCCGAACCTTGATTTTACCAGACTAAGAACAGGTTGAACTTGAGGGGCAAGTGGTTTTCAGAGCAACCTCTAAGCAGATGTTGGGGGTGGATAATTGTAAAGTTTTCTGTCAGTCCTCTATTAAACGCTTAGCTTTCCCAACATCAGTGAGACTGCATGGAATACATGTCGAACTTTGGTAAAAAGACATTTTACGTAGCAAACCACCATTATACAACAATATACATAAAACTGGAAATTTTAGCACAGTCACGAAGTGCAAGTGAATGACGTCATTCATATTTAACAAACAGACATATTATGTGTGGTATACTAGTAACGTTACATGCCACAAAATCTGCATGCATACTCTGTCTCTGAGAGCGATCAGCAATTATTAACATGTATTGAAAAGGCTGGTCATGTGTTACAGAGAAAATATCAACAATAGGTCATTGGCATTTAGGCTGATAGTTTCTCTGGCAGATGATTACAGAACTGATGTTGTCCCCACGCCCACTTCCGTTAGTTCCTGTCATTATGAAGCCATTTGTCAAGCCTTTCATTACAGTTCTACTTGTCTGACGGACGTGTGTCCCAAAGGAGGCTGGTTATAACATCTCGACGTGGCAGTGGGGACCCCTAGCAGTGAAAAAATCATTGCAGATCGACAGCACGTAAGAGCTGCAGTACTGAAATGCTTTATAGGGGCCGCTTTTGATCCATGCAACTGAAGTCTGTTGTTCTCATAACAAAGTTGATGTTGCGAAAGTTCCGCTTAGGTTACAAAATCACAAATATTGCCACTATACATGCAATTAAGTTTTATGGAATATCATTTTTTACGTTTTATTGATGTCTACCGCTGGCCAATCAGACTACAGGGAATCTGGCGCGAAATAAAAACGCGCCAAGCTCAGTGCGCCTGCCCAGTTTGTGTCAGGTCACGTTTGTTTTGGAGCGCGAGGACCAGACAAAAAACATGCCGAAACCGAACACTCTCTTCAATTATTTCACCAAATCTCCTGCTCCGGCCAAGAACAAGTCTTCCCCGACGGTCGGAGACACTCCGGAGTTCAAGGAGAAGGGAAATTCGCCCAAGGAAGGAGCGAAATCCGCCAAGACATCGCCAAAATCTGCCAAACAAAATGGCGGTACAGGTAAGCTTGGTTTTAAATTGATGTCAAAATGCTTCTGAATAATCTGTACGTCAGTTTCACAACTAGAATACTTTTCTGTTTGGTTCTGTCCTTAATATGCAAAATATTTCGCCAGGATTTTTGAAACTGGTGACTGTAGAATTGCATGGTTTGGTGAAGAAAGTCGTGGGGAGGGGGGCGTGTTTGATAAAAAAAAACCTTATGCAATTTGTATGCATGAGGTTTTTCTTTTATACAAGTCTTACACAGCTTATACTTACATGTATAAAACTGGTGCATCACGCCTAAAAAGGCAGTTTACTGGTTAGGCCATGTTGATTTGATTATATGGATGACATCCGTGTGCGCATGAATTTTCGGCCGAAAATATAAAGAAACAAATTTGGAGAGTAGATTATTCGCCATGCCATACTCTGTGTCCTTTGTTCAACCTTCCTGACTACATAGATTTCATCATAATAAAGGCAACTTTTTTTTTGCCAAACTTTTTTTTTTTATTCGCAGACTCGCATCAGTTTCGGGGTTCCCAGAGGATGTCATCCATATAATCAAATCAACATGGCCTTATGCGAAACTAACAATAAAACATATCCCATCCCCCAGCTGCCCAGTTCCAGCCCGGAGACCTGCTGTGGTGTAAGCTGGCAGGTTATCCCTGGTGGCCCAGCCTGGTGTGTCATCACCCCACCACTGGTACACACATCAAGTCAGGCAAGACCCCCATGGTGCACGTCCAGTTCTTTGATGAGCCGCCCAGTCGGTCCTGGATCAGCTACAAGTGAGTAAAAATGAGCCTGACATTTTTTAAAACTTTGTAAGGCCACACTGACTTAATTTTACAGATGACACACATTCGCGCACGCATTGATTTTCGCCTGTTCTCAAAAAAAAAAAAAAAGATCATGCCCACCAAGGCTCTGGCCAGGCTCTAGGCCTGGGTTGTCCATGGTAATCAGCGACAATACAGAGCCGGGCACCCAGGCTATGAAAGCTCCACGACTCAAGAAATCAGTACGTACGTACAGTGCCGATTCATAATTTCTGCAAAAAGCAAAGTGCCGGTATGTACTGCCACAAATTCATAATACCAGCTTTGTATTCCTTTGGTTTAGTAGCATTTTTCTTTTTGGCCTAAATTTTTTTTTATTTGCTCGCGCGCACAAGTTTGGGGGTCTTCAGAGGATGTCATCCATAAAATTAAGTTGGTGTGGCCTAAAAGCCTATTCTCTCTTTGCCAGGATGACCAAACCTTTCACGGAGGCCACAGCCAAACATGCAGGTACGGGCGGCCCTCTCTTCACACCCAATCCTAAAGTACAGCGCGGTGCGAAGAACGCAGAGGCAGCACTACAGCTGAGCCGGGAGAACCGGTTAGAACTGGTCGTGGAGCTGCTGCCCTCTGAGGACGAGGAGGACATGGACGTTGATGGTAACTATGGCAACCATCCCCATGGTTACCATACAACTAACTTAGGCATAGGAAAAAAAATGTTGTTTCCTGTTTCAGTCCTGAAAATTACGGTCAGTAGGTAGGGATGCTACATGCTTATGCTATATTGGTCATAACCACAACAATAGTATATTTATTTTATTGTGGAGTTTTATTTCATGTACAAGCTTAGAATGAATGCCCAATAAATGATTGAATGAATGAATGCCAAATTATTCAATCTGTGTACCTAAAGAAATTTTTAGGTACAGCAGGGCTTGAAATACTGGGTGCATGTGCACCTTAGTGCACCCAAAATTGGAGCTGCGCACCCAAACATTTTTGGAAATATTTCTGTACATATTAAATGATAGTATGCAGGATATTCTTGGCATCTAAGCGTAAGAAAAATGATGTTATTAAGTACTTGTGTAAGTTTTTGAAGTTAGCTCCCATTTCAGATTCAAGCTTAGAAGAGGAGCAGTAAGATCTGTGAGTGTGATTAGGTTTTGTTTTATATGGTGCGCCCCAAAAAACTTTTGTGAACCTAATTTTTTAGGTTGGGTGCACCAGTGCACCTATTCCCAAAAATGAATTTCGAGCCCTGTACAGGCTTAGGTACACAGGTTTGGCTACAGGTCCAGACCAGTACTTGAACTTGCAGGTGAGGTCCTTATTGTTAACTTGTTCTTTTCTTCTCTCAGACATCCAGAATGGTGCAGATGAGGAGACAGGCAGTGAGTGTGAAGAGGAGGTGGTCTCTAAAAAGGTAACAGGTTTATTTACCAGTTCCAGCAGTGTTTTAACCGATGCATCTTTTGTTTCCAACCAAAAGGCTACTTCTGCTACTTCATTTGGTTGTTGATGCGTTTTTTGTTCACACAGAGACCCTCCAAGCTTAGAAGGAAGAAAGGAACTAAGAGGATCCGACTTGCTGTGGACTCTGGTAGTGAATCAGGCAAGTATAACTGCATAAATTAAAAAAAAAAAGACTAGAATGGTGACATTTGCAAAGCAAATCCATAATGTTTACCTTCTCATACGGTCTGCTCTGTAAATTCTTCTCAAAGACATTCATATATGTGGTCAGACAGGAGTCTAAATCCCTCCTGCTATAAACTTGCAACATGATTTAACCCAACGCTAGTTACCATGGTGACAGACATCTGGTTCAGGTCATTGACCTTATTGGTTTGGAGAAGAAGATGAAACAGAGCAAAAACAATGTTTTCCTTCAGTAAACATAATAAAATATATGTATCTGTGTGTGTGTCTGCATATGTGCATTAGCATGTATGCATGTGCATGCAAGTGCTGTTTTTGCTATCAAGAGGGTTTTAGTTTGGTAAGGATTTCCTAAGATTGTGTAGTTTGAACTTGTGTTTTGTTGCTCTACAGAGGAAGAAGAGTTTAAGCCTGACAGCGAGGATGATGACTCTGATGTCAGCTCAGGAGTTGACGAGAATGACATCTCTGAGCCAGAAACAGAGTCGGAGCCAGAAAGTCCTGTAAAGGTCTGTTCACAAATGAAATAATGTGGTAGAATTTCTGTTCTGCCTTTTATTTGCAGGTACAGAAGTACTGTTTTTGGGTGGCTGACTTGTGAGTTTGTGTGTTTTGTTTCCAACAGTTGGCAGTTGCATGGAGAGTGACAGATAATTGATAGGTTCTCAAGCCTTCATGAACTTTTAAACTACAACTGCGCAAATGTCTGTTTAGAGTTAAAACACAAAGAAGTTCTCTCATCTAGAGCATTCGACCAGTAACTCTGGTCTTCCTCAGTAGACTGACCCAGTGAGGATTGTCGCGTGGCTTATCTGAAGTGTGACGTAAACACTGGGTCAAAGAAGCCACGTGACAAGCTTCACTGGGTCAGTCTACTGAGGAAGACCAGAGTGACTGGTCGAAAGCTCTAGGTGAGAGAACTTTTCAAACATGTAATCACCAACACAGATGAAACTACATGACAGCATGAATGTTTTTCTACACATCTGTTGTAGCCGACCAGGAAGAGAAAGAGAGAGCCGGCTAAGACCCCGTCTCGAGGAAAGGCCAAGATTGAGCTGAGTTCCTTCAGTACTCCGTCAAACCGCCCGGGGACACCTGGAGGCTCCGCTACACCTGGTGGGACTGTCAGAACACCTGGAGCGCATCAGAACACCAAAAATAAACTGGCCATGTTCTCTGCACCAGAGGTAAGGTTTTAAACCAGGTTACCCAGTGGGAACCTATGGCAAAAATTAGGTTGCCCATCAGAATTTTAGGTTGCCCCACCTATAAGTTACTACTTTCCTCAAATTAAGTAGTGTTACATACATAAGCCTTTGACAATATTTCTAACAGCCTTTAGTTAACTGATACTAGTAATAGCCATTGATACCTAAAATTAAAAAAGCATCTGTCGGATACAGTGGTACAAGCCAAGTGGGCATGATTTTTTTGGACATTCTTAAAATTCAGGTAGCACACTGGGCTACCTAGGTTCAAAAATAGGTGGCCCCAAGTAAAATTTGGTTGCCCGGCAACAAGGTTTTTTGAATGCTGATCTTTGTACTCACCACTACAAGTGCAACTGTGATGCCAGGTTTGAAAATGATTTTAACCTCTCTACTTTTGTGTTCTTCAGTCTCCCTCTTCAGAAAAAGGCTCTGAACCAAAGACCAAGTTTGACCACGAAACATACGAGTTTCTACAAGAAGGAAACATCAGGTAATGTCAGTTCATGGAATTTTCCTTCCTTGCATTGGCTAATTTTTTATTTCCTGGCATTCCTGGCTAGACGTTGTGTCCTTGGAAAAGGCATGACTTCCTCACCGCTCCCAGGTCTAAACTGGGTACCTGACTTTGGTTCTGGAGGTAAAAGGCAGTGGAAGGACGGGGATGGGCTCTACCTTCCAATACCATGTCCTAGACACAGTGGATAACAAACCACTGCCCCTATAGCCTGCAAAGGGCTATGAGACTACCTTTTCCTCAAAAGTACCTCAGAAGCAATAAGTAAATAAAAAAATGAAATTATTCCATGGCCTCACCAGTTATATATTACGAGAATATGCTACATATAATGTGTCATAAATGTTTGTTGATCTTTGTATTTTTTGTTCAAGGATGCTTCTACAGTAACTTGAAAATGACATATTTTGCATTATTGACAGGGATGCTAAGAAGAGGTCACCCTCAGATGAAGACTATGATCCCAGAACCCTGCATGTTCCTGACAGCTTCCTCCTGAAAAATACCACACCAGTAGGTCAACTTCCCTACTTTTAGGCTGTTGATTAAAGATATCTTGTACTAGAGCAGTGTACCTAAACAAAATTCATGCAGACACTTACAGCAGTTTTGCTATAGGTTCAGAGTTGTACACAGTGGCGTTGGTGGCGTTGGACTTGGAACTGAGAGGTCCCGGGTTCGATACTCACCGTGGCCCAACGTTGTGCCCTTGGGAAAGGCACTTTACACGACTTCCCCACCTGTACGGTGGAGTGACGCCCACCGAGCCTCACAGGCTAATTGTCTGTGTGCCAAAAACACCCTACGGATTTGGTGCGCCAATGTGTGAACATCAGCACATTTGCGACCAAGAGCCGTTACATTTTTTTTTTTTCAGAGTTGTACCTGTACCAAAGCAAGTTTTGTTTATCTTTTATAACATATTTTGTCAGCTTTCTATGAGGATTTACAGGCTGTATTGGATGTTTTGTGTTTGAATTCAGTGGTATTTTGGAACTTATGTTGACACCGTTGTTTGTTTGTTTGTTTGTTCCCTCACAGCTGATGAGAAAGTGGTGGGACGTCAAATCACAGCTGTACGACACTGTTCTGTTCTTCAAGGTCAGATTCTATTCTCTTATCTCATCACTTTGACATTTTGAATTATCCCCATAGGCACAAAAAAGAAGCAAGCTAAAGCATAACATTAGCTTAAATTGAAAGTTCATCTGTGTTTGTACAAGTCATTAGGCCATACCAATTTAATTTGTTCTTTTTTTTCTGATTTGCAAAAAATTTTTTTTGTTCTAAATCAACTGCAAAATGTTCAGTGATAGACATATTTTGACCCCAACGGTTAAATAAAGTCCTTTTCTTCCTAGTTAAATTTTTTCAATGTAACTATGAAATTTTGTTTCATTATTGATTGTGGAATATTTTTATTATCGTCAGTTTGATGTTTATTTGTTTGACACTATTTTTATCCCTGCCCCCCTCCCCACAGGTTGGTAAGTTCTATGAGTTATACCACATGGACGCCATGACTGGGGTCAACGAACTCGGACTTCTCTTCATGAAGGTAAACGTGGCTTAGGCCCAAATACTGTAAATCCATTTAAAAATGCGGTTGGAAATTATAGCGGTCGGCGAAAAATGGACAACCTCACGTCACTTAATTATAGCGGTGTGAACATGGCTGATGTGTGTAAAAAAAATACATTAAAACGCTGGCCCTTTTTTTAAGAAAATAAAAAAAAGCAGTTTACGCCAGCGAAAATCGATTTTTACAAAGAAAAAACAAAACAGGCACGCCGATGGTGTCTGGAAGTAAATAATTTACAAAGTACTGTAGCGGCGCGGTGACTTCAAAAAGTTCGTAATTACAGGCTCGTAATTACGCACGCTTGTGTTGCGTGCGGAACCGCCGCCGCCCCCCCTCCCCAAGCTCCATGCCGCTGCACGCCGCTACATGTCCGGCGCCGCAGACGAGCTTACAGCGAAACCCGGCGTCTTCGCCCTAGGATTGGAGCGTAATGGAATCCATGACGCCCTCGAGAAAGTTCTACAGACACTATAGCCTTTAAACAGTAACGTTTAATCGTATCTTTTGCCGCAAAAGTTGACTCGCAATTTTCGAAAAACTTGTGACGCCATTTTTTTCACTCGGCGCTTGGTTCCCGAATTTTCGACTCGTCTTAGTCGTAGCACGCTATTAACGCTTTTACATTTTGTAGTACAAATGACGCTTAACATTTGATTGTATTTCTACCTAGATTTCTACCTCGAAATTAAGCAGATTTATGCCGCATTTCTCGTAGTTTGTAACTCGTTTCTGAAGTTGGCCGCCGGGCCGCCATTTTGTTTGTTGTTGTCTGCACGCTTGGGCGACGCTGAATTTTGTAACTCGTCTCATTTTTTTCAATATTGTCCCGTACTAGCACAAAATGAACGGCTATCGTTTCTGTAAATTTATGAAGAAACTTCTAAATCGAAGTATACGCTAAATATTTATAAATACCCAAGTGTAGATAAGCTGGGAAATTTCAAAGCGTCACTGCGTCACATGTGTTTATGCATGTTCACAAGATTTTTTTTTACCGTGGTTTGCTTAGCACTGCATACTTGTTAAAAATATGAACTACTTTATGTTTAATAAATATTTTATTTCTGGAAGCACATCAGTGTTTTGCTTGTTCCTGTGTGAAGCACTAGTACTGTGCGTTGTGTGCATGTTGTAGTCAAGGAATGAAGCGTGATTGCGATCGTACCGTAACGAGCTTGGGGCAAGAGGGAGGGGGGCTGAAGTGGTAAAAAAAGTTGCGATCATGAAAATTTAGCGGTGGAATAGTGACCGCTAAAACCGCTATAATTAAGTGACCGTTATCAAATCAAGAATTACAGTACATGTTGTGTTTCCTGTTTTAGTCCTAAAAGTCAGTAGGTAGGGGTTATCTTTTTTTTTTAGACTTTGGCGATCTTTTAGAGTGATCCAACTTATACATACAATACAGTTTAACAAAATGAAACTTGCATGAGGACACTTATATTTTCAATGTCAATTTTGGAAAACTGATTGCACAGCGTTTCATCACTCAGGTGTCAGATCACGAAGCTAAAAAGGTCAATCAGCTCTAAAAATGTCCCTTGCAGGAGTCCACATAAAAAAAGGCTAGGGTCGGCAGTTTTTTCTAAGGTTGGTCGGGAAACAGGAAACACAACATTTTTTTGCTATGTCTTACATATTTAACAATGTGTATTGTTAGTTTTATTAAGCATTGTATTATCGCCGGTTCTATCCCCTCCCTTGGGCGGAGCCGCGGTCACCTGTTCGAACACGTGCCAGCGCACGTGCCAGCGTCGTGTTCGAACAGGTGATCTATACCGGTACCGTTCGAGGGAAGGGGCTCTAGAACCGGCCGGTTGCAGATTGAATAAACTAGTTGAGTTTGAGCGTTCACCGTGACTGGTTGTCTATCTTTACACATAGATGCCTTGTTTGTTCTTGTATGTATATTGAACAGTAGACCTCAGCCTTACTAAAAATTCAGACTTAACTTCTTTTTGATAAAAATGTTTAGGAACTTGGTGCAGTTGACATTAATCCTATTCTTTGATCTCTCACCAGGGTTCTCAGGCCCACTGTGGGTTCCCGGAGATCGCGTACGGTCGGTACTCGGACACGCTGGTCCAGAAGGGGTACCGAGTGGCCAGGATTGAACAGACGGAAACAGTGCCACAATCAGAGGAAAGGATAAAAAGGAGTGAGTACATTGTAGTACTATTGTCATATTGAATTTTTCAGAATGATGACACCTTGTGGTTTTGCCTAAAATTGCAGGTAAAAACTGAAAACCCCAAAACTGATGCAAGCGTGCGAATAAAAAAAAGTTTGGCCAAAAAAAAAGTTGTCTTGATTAGGAAATTTAGGTGGTCATAAAGGTTGAACAAATGACTAAACACACAGTATGGTATGAGGAATTATAGACTCTTCATTTTTAGTCCTACACATTTTCTCCTTGTCCTTTGGAATGGATTTTGGCATTCTGTGACATAAGTATTGTTTTCCGATACTTTTTTTTCAATTAACGCCGTATATTTGCTCATTTTGCAGCTATTTTGTATGATATACAGAATGGCCAAAAACTTTTTTTTTGTGGAAACGGACAAAAATTTGTGCGTGTGTGTGGATGTCATCCATATAATCACATCAACATGGCCTTAGGGATAAAATTGGACGGGCAAAATTGGGAAAAGCAGCCATTAAACCCAGGTGGCCAGCTTGAAGAGGTGGCTTCTTGGGCAGGTTTGCTTAAAAAATCAGGACACTAAGAGAAGTTTTGACGTATGTTGGACATGTCATGCAGCAGTTTTTGATCCTGATGTTTGTGTGGTTTGTGTTACAGTGGTGAAACCCACCAAGTTTGACAAGGTAGTGAGGAGAGAGGTCTGTAGGATCACTACTAAAGGTGAGGCAGTGAAACTTCAGGACAACTTCCAACAATTCTGCATCTTTTTCTTGTCAGAGTGTCAGTAGAAAAAGATAGGTAAATTCTTCAAGCTTTTTTGCCTGTTTTACACTTGTACATGAAACATCTTATACCTAGTAACATCTACGATTTACATGGTACTGTCCTATATGTAAGGCTCATACTTTGAGCTCTACTGAAGTTTTTCCTGTCCTTTTTTTTCCTTCAGGTACAAAAACATACAGTTTTCTGGAGGGAGACACAGGAGAGGCTGCTAACAGCTACCTACTGGCCATCTCTGAGAAGGTTGCTTTATATTTTATGATTCACCTGAAACAAGTGCTTTTTTTCAAGCTGAAAGATGACATTTTCTTATCATAGAAAGGTCACCTTTTTTTAAGGAAATTCAGGAATGAAAAGTGGTTTGGAAAGGTTAAAACTTAAAACTTGTATTTTAAACAAGATGTTGACCTAATAAAGATTTATTTATTCTTTCTTTTGGCGGTACAAGATTTTATACATGCTAATTTCTTACACAAAGTAAATCATGTGCCTACCTATAAGCTTTTGATCACGGACAAACTTTGATTCAAATATTAGATGTTGACCTCCGGACTTGTTTCTATTTTCAGGCCAATGAGGACATAGCTGGAGGCCAGAGTGTGTATGGAGTGTGTTTTGTTGACACCTCCATCGGGAAATTTCATGTAAGTTACTAATGCCACACCAATTTGATTTGTTGGTTCTCTGATTTTAAAAAAAAAATGAAGCGACAGGGTAGAAAAAAAATAAAAACAGGTCTAGGCATCCTATTATAGCCCTAAATGCTACGATAGGAGCCATGAAGTCAACACAAAAGGCTGGGTTGATATTTAATGAACAAACTTTGAAATTTTAATCAAACCACTGCATTGATAGATGAAAAAAACTGTACCAACTAGGAAGAAAAGGACTTTCCTCAACCGTTGATGACAAAATATGAGCATTTTTTAGTTGATCCAGAATCAGAACCAGATTTTTTTTTTTTTTACAATTCAGAAAAAAATGTATCCGAGAACCAACAGATTAAATTGGTGTGGCTTAATGCTGAAGCTTGTGTTAAATTTGGTACTTTTAGTTTTGCTAGTTCCAAAGCTAGTTCTACATTGTAAGATAAGTTAATTGCCCCCACAAGTCTGTGACTTTCTGAACATTAGTGTCATGAAAATGTTTATTTTCATCTAAAAAATGGCTTCATTTTTATAGAATTTAAAACTCAGTTTTCTAATTTTCAAGTTTGGAAATAAAGTGGATTTTCCCTCATTATTTTGGATTCTGTTTTATGTGGTACCTAGCATTTTCACAAAAATGAATACTAGTACTGATATCTATGGCAATTACTCGATATCTTTATTTGCAATCAGATACAGATTCATGTACAGGTACATTATTCATGCACAGATACAGATTCATGTACAGATATACAGATATACAGGATGGATAGGATGACCGTGTCAGTCCCTACACCTGAGTGAGGGTTACAGTTGACACGGTGGCCTTCGCGTGGATTTGTTTAAGGTGGATAACAGGTTGCGAATCTGAGACCCACACACTTGGGCATTCGTCTTCCCCAGCGGATCCATATCGAGGGAGACGTGCTGGTTCCGGTTGGGATGCTTGCAGCGAGCTGCCGGATGACTTGGTTACGCTCAAGGTCCGCCTTCACTACGCCAGCCCGCCTGGCGCTGCTCTCGTCCGCCAGCTGAAGACAGCTGCCGTTGGGATACATGTAAAGTGCCTTTCCCAAGGGCACAACGTCGGTGCGCATGTTCGGACATGCCCCTGTGTTCCGACCCGGAATCGAACCCGGGGCTCTTTGTTGAGCGCCGAACGCTCTGTCCACTGCGCCAGGCGACGCCATTGATATACATATAAATGTACAACCACTAACATCTACCAAATTTGTGCATCTTTTTTTTTTGTCCAGATTGGGCAGTTTGAAGATGATCGTCACAGCTCTCGACTCAGAACACTCATCGCTCAGTACACACCCTCTCAGGTAATGTCACTTTATTAATCTGTAAACAAAAACAAACAAACAAACAAAGCATTACCAGCAAAAACATAGCCTCCTTGCCAAGCCATATTCATAGAAGTAAGGCCTAGGGAAAAAATGTTTTGTTTCTTTTTTATCCTGACTAACCCTAAATAAAACTACAGATCTAGACCCTAGCCTTTTTTTTTCTGTGGACCCCTGCAAGGACATAAATTTTGCAAGCTCATCACCCTTTTCTAGCTCCATGATCTGACACCTGAGTGCTGAAATGTTGTTTTTCGGTTTTCTAACATTGAAAATATAAGTGTCCTCATGCAATTTTTACTTTGTTAAACTGTGTTGTATTAATTGGATCACCTAAGAGATTGCCAAAGTAAAAAAAGATGGAAGAAAAAAAGATAATCCCTACCTACCGACCCTAATTTTTTTCGAGACTGAAACAGGAAACACAATATTTTTTTTCCTAGGCCTAAGAAGGTTTTGTATTCCTTCAGGTACTGTTTGAGAGGGGAAAGCTGTCTTCCAAGATACAGAGCATCTTAAACAGTAACCTGAGCACAGCCTTGAGAGAGGCACTGTCTAGTTCTGAGTTCTGGGATGCTCCAAAGACGCTGAAGTTCCTCGCTGAGAAAGACTACTTCAGTGAGAATGAAGATGAAGAGAAGACGGGAGTTAGTTGTTGGCCGGAGGCACTGAAAAACATGACTTCTGATGGTAAACTCTCTTCTGTTTCCTTCTATAAAAGGCCACACTGACTTAATTTTATGGATGACATCCTCTGAAGACCCCCAAACTAGTGCGCGCGGGGGAAAAAAAAAATTCCAGGCAGAAAAAAATGCTGCTAAACTACAAAAATACAAAGTATGACCATTTGCATTTGTTGTTACTGAATTGTTTTGGTGTCTGTCTGTGCGTGTGTGCGTTTTTGTCTGTAAGTATGTGTATATGTGGGACTGTGTATGGTTGTATATGACTGTATGAGGGTGTGTGAGGGAGTGAGTATGTATGTGAGTGTGAGAATGTTTCTGACTTACTGAATTTCTTGACAAGTGTTTGTTTGTTTGTTTATGTTCCCTATAGCTGACTCTCTAGGCCTGACTGCAGCAGATGACTATGATCTGGGTGTCAGTGCACTGGGTGCTGTCATCTGGTAAGTTGGTTTAGGCCTCAAAATTAACTTTTCTTTCTATTGTCCCAGCACTGTCCCAAAAATAAATTTCAATTGTCCCGAAGTGAGGATGAACTGTCCCAACCTGCTTTTTGGGAAGTATTATGCGACTGCAACTTGAAGTCAACTTTATTTTGCTTATGTTCACTCCCAGGCAGTGTGTAATTGCAGTGTATACAGGAAATTCAGGGGGACTTTTTCGGACCCAAAACCCGGGATGCGTGCCTGATAAACAAAAAAAGGGCTGACATTCTGAAGTTGATCATTTCTCTATTGTCCAAAAAATGTCTCAAAGTGTCTTTTTAGTTGTCCCAGCCTAAATTTTGGTGGTCAGTGGCCATTGGGACCACCTTTAATTTTGAGCTCTGTGGTTAAACTTCTCCTTTGAAATCCCACACCTTTGAAAAATTTACTAAGCATTCCAATGTTATTTCCATGTACCCAATGCATACAGTGCATGGGAATTTGGCTTTCTATTGAGTTTTTAAAACAGCATCTGGCAATTTTCTTAACTTGCAGTTTGTAAAAAACTATTAATCTGCTACTTAACCTGTATAAATATAGAAATAGGTTTAAAAATGTCTCTTTTTTAAAATCTTTTCAGGTACCTGAAGAGATGTTACATAGATGAAGAGATGCTGTCCATGTGTAATTTTGAGGAGTACAAACCGTTAGACAGTCAGACTGACGTGGCTGAGAAATCTGCACCTGACTTCACCACAGGCAAACAGCACATGGTACGTGGGTAGGGTTTGGAGGAAGTTCAGGAATGGCTTAGTGACTAGGCTAGCAGATACACGTACAAGATCGAGAGGTCTCAGGTTCGATTCCTTCCATTCCTGGCTAGCCACGTCCATGCCTTCTGCCCAGGTGTAAAATGGGTACATTTTAGATAGCATCCGCTATCTTTCATCAGTGAATGTGGAAACTGATCAAATTCTCAGTTGCTGACAAAAAAATGACAGAGGCTATCTGAAACATCTGACTCTTAAGAGAATTTGATTGTAAATTTGTCTTTCACTCAGGTTCTAGATGGTGTGACCTTGAATAACCTTGAGATCATAGAGAACAGCGTGACAGGGTCGCGGGAGGGCACACTGCTGGAGAGGCTGGACATGTGCTGTACTCCCTTTGGTGAGTTCACTTATTACTCTCTTTGTTCCCTGCCCAGAACTTGCTTCTTATTATTACCGAAGGAAAACATATTGTTTTTGCTACGTTTCCTCTTCTTCTCCAAACAGTGACCCCTGACCTGACTGAACCAGACTGTCTCTCACCATGGTAACTAGTGTTGGTGCAACATAATGTTGCAATTTTATAGTAGGAGGGATATATATATATGAATGTGTTTGAGTAAGAATTAACAGAGCAGATCATATGCGAAGGTAAACATTATGCATTTGCACTGCAAATGTTACTTTTCTAGTCTTGCTTCTTATCTTAATATCAGCAATTTTGAAAGGTATTGTTAATGTAATGAACTTGCATCTTCCTTATAGTTATCATCCATTATTAGTATGAAATGCCCATGTCTTTGTTTTTTCAGGGAAGAGACTGTTTAAACAGTGGCTGTGTGCTCCCCTGTGCAATCCTGCCTCCATCAATGATAGGTAATGTACTGTCCCTTATGGTAATTCATTCTGTCATAGGTAATGTACTGTCCCCAGTAGAAGAAGGATTCAATTTGATACATTGTAAACATTGAGTAAAAATACCTTTGAATATCATGAGAGCTAAATCTGTTGCCAGGACTATTATTACTGAATACATGTACCTCTACCTGTATGATATGTAAACTCATACAAAGACAATTAACCACAGAAAAGACAGTTGTCTACATGTATATCTTACACAATGTCATCATTGACCAAACTTGTTGAAGTACCGGTACAGCTCTGGGCCTATACCTTAACAGATGTGCACTGTACCTGTACCTAAAATTTGTACACAGCTCTATGAGCCAGATTCCAAAGTAAGTGCAGTACAGCTGAAGGAAAGTATTCTCCCTCTCCAGACTGGATGCAGTAGAAGACCTGATGGCCTGTAGGGATGTAGTTGCTGAGGTGACAGAGATCCTGAAGAAGGTTCCTGACTTGGAGAGGCTGCTACAGAAGTAAGGCAGTTTTTTGTACTCCGTAAATAATTTCATCAGGTTGGTAAATGAATGAATAGCAAAGTTCTTTGATCACAACCATTTATTTTTTACGAGCCGACGTTTCAATGACCGTCAGTGCACAGTAAACCAGTCATACTTGCCCTGATGAAGATGACAGGTGGTCATCGAAACGTCGGCTCGTGAAAAATAAATGGTTGTGATCAAAGAACTTTGCTTTTCAGTTTTTCGTACTGTTTGGTAGAGCCTTTCATTTGGGAAACAGTGTATTCAAGCCCATCTGGGTGCATAAGAACTTACACAACAAACACTTAAGAACTCGCACCTACTGATTTTTCTGCTTAGCTTTCAACAATCTTCACAAAAAAGTATCATAATGGGAGTTGAACACACACCTCCATAGAGATGGAGATGGGCACTGCCCCAGTGCACTGTAAGGTATCAACATTTAACTTTGTTTGAACTACACAAAATACTCAAATCAGCTTGCTGGCCCCTTTCTGTTGAGGCCACAAGGGTAGAGGTCAGACAAATTATAACAAAATGCAGGTTACGTGATCAATTTAAGTTCTGCCAAATCCATAAACATAAATATATCCCTTCAACATACATATTTACAATAAAAAAGCAATATATGTAAGTGGGGTCATGTAGCGTAACAGTAGTATGCTTGACTCAGAACCAAGAGGTCTCGGGTTCATTTCCTGACATGCCACTGATTTTGTGCCCTTGGAAAATGAGAAAATGAGTATTGTCTGTCCTGTATTTGTGTGGGGCACAACACCAGCAACAGCTGCCTTTGTCCCAAATGTATTGTTACAATTTCAATAAATCAAAAAGAAGTAAAGCAAACTTGTTTAATAACCTTGGACTGTAGGATCCACACGCTGGGTCTGGTTCGGAACAAGGACCACCCTGACGGCCGTGCGGTGTTCTTCGAGGACGTGAACTACAGTAAGAAGAAGATCGCAGACTTCCTGTCGGCGCTGGACGGCTTCAGGAGCGCCGTGAGGGTCGTCAGGATGTTCAAGGAGAAAGTCGACGACTTCAAGTTAGTTACTTCTTAAGTAGTGTGTGTAGTCCAGTGGTTAGTGACCCTGCCTCTGGACCAATAGGTTGGGAGTTCGAATCCCGGCTGTTGTCGCTCACCCGACCTGGAAAGGGTCACAGTCCTTAAGACGGGACGTTAAGCTGTGGTCCACTGTTTTTTGTGCTTGTCAAAAAGAGTTAGGTGAGTTTCCCTGGTACAATGAACCTGTAAATACTGTACATAGCTTTTGTCTTCTCTGTCACGTCCAGTGGGAGATTAGCTCTATAGTGAGCTAAAACTGGATCAAGATCACTTTTACCTCTTCTTGTGGTTTGTACATATAGGATACAAAACGGTGTATTCTTCATAGCAATTTATGTTGAAACCTGTTCTCATTCACTGATGAAAGATTGTGGATGCTGTCTGAAACATCTGAATCTTCAGTCTTGCTACATGTCTGAAACAAACCAAAGTTTTGTTTACGCCAAAAAGCAGTTACTAGTACTCAAGCAACTGGATATGATTTTGGAAACGTTTCAGCTAGTATCCACTAGCTTTCGTCAGTGACTGAGAGACCAGAGGAGAAATGCAGGTTTATAAGCACAAACTATTCGGGACAAAATTTTGTTTATTTCTTTCTTCAGGTCCAAGCTATTGAAGCAGTCGGTCTCTTTAGATAGCAACAAAGCTGCACAGGGTCGGTTCCCTAACCTCTCAGGCCATCTTATGTACTTCGACCATGCATTTGACCACAATGCGGCCAGGAAGAACGGTGTGATCATCCCGAAGGAAGGTGTGAACTGTGCGTACGACGAGGCTCTGACAGACATCAAGTCTGTCCACAGGAACCTGGACAGCTACAGGGACAAGCAGAAACAGAGGATGGGCTGCTCGGTGGGAAATTTACCTGCGATCTTGAAATCAGAAAAAATGTTGAAAGATGACCTCTAAAGTTGAAATCAAGAAAAAATTACCTCTAAACTTGAAATCAGAAAAAAGACCCCTAACCTTGAAACCAGAAAAAATGACCTCTAAACTTGAAATCAGAAAAATTGACATCTAAACTTGATACAGTCAGAGCAAAAGACATCCAAACTTAAATCAGAAAAAAATGACCCCTGAACTTTGTATCAAACAAAAAAAACATGTCTGAAAAATAAAGCAGCGAGTTCAACAACCTAGAAATTAGCAACAGTTACTGTTTGGTGCACCATGGATTATACTGAGTCAATGCTTGTTGATAAAAGGCAGCAAAACCTTTAACCCTTGCCTTGCTGAAGTAGCATTTTAATGCCAAGTTGGAAGCAGCTATGGGGTTAGGCAGCCTGGAGAAGGTATACAAATGTAGGCAGTGCTGTGTATAGGGGACAAACCAAAAAGTTACAATTGCTAGGTGACCACCTGTCTATAGTGGCCATTTTCTGAAAGTCCCTTGAATCAGGCAATTACAGACAGGTTTGAGTGTATGAAAAGCTTTGAAAGTTGAATGGTGGTAATATCATTTCTTGGTATATTGTTTTGGAGTTCTGGTAAGGCCCGCTACTAATCTGTGATCCCAAACATTAAGAATTCGGTCTAATTTTCTTCAAATCCCTTGAATGGTCTTTACAATCAGGTTTGAGTGGAAGCTAAATACAGAAGAGCAGAAGAGCTAACATAATGTTTGTAATATTGTTTGTTCCAGACCATATCGTTCTGGAGTTCCGGTAAGACTCGCTACTGTCTGGAGATCCCGGAGTCGGCACTGAAGCGTCACGTACCAGACGAGTACGAACTGGCCGGGTCGAAGAAGGGCTTCAAACGCTACACGACTCGCGAGATCAAGGAGATGCTTAAGACACTGGAGGAGGCTGAGGGAAGGAGGGAGGCAGCACTTAAGGACACCATGAGGACCATCTTCCACAGCTTTGATGAGAGGTAAGACCCATGGAAAAATTTCGCATTTCCAATGTCAATCCTTAAAAAAAGGAGGTTGAGCAGGTAGGAATATTTTCTTTCTCTTTTCTTTTTTATTTCAACTGAAGTGATACAACTAATATCAGGGCAAGGCTGTTTCCAGGACCTCCATTTGCTTGTGGGGAAGGGACTAGTAATTCATTTGATGAAAGATTCGCTTTAGATTTAATTTAAAGATTCGCTTATGAGATTGTGTGACATAAAATGTCGGAGGGCTTGACATTCATAAATGGAAAAGCAACATTTCCAAGGCCTCAGGACCTTAAGCTAAAAAGTTATTTTTTCTGATGTTCAAAGGAGAAGCATTTTCCTTCATTGTAGTCATTGTAACATATTGTTTTCTCCTTCCTTAGTTACAAAGACTGGAATGCAGCAGTACAGTGTGTATCAGTGTTAGATGTACTCATGAGTTTGATGCAGTACAGTCTGTGTGGCGATGGAGACATGTGCCGGCCAGAAATAGTCACTCCAAACCAAGGCACTCAGGTATAAAACTTACAGATACAATCAGTTACTTCTGTGTACATTTAGCAGTTAGTAAAAGGCTTTTAATAATCTGTGTCAGTTCAAAATACATGTATCAAGAATTCATGAACTTAAGTTGCAAATTCATGCCCAAAGGCTAGTTGTAAGGAATTAGACACAGATTTGATAAGATAAAAACAGAAACTAGAAAGATAACATTTGCAAAGCAATTGCATATTGTATACCTTTGCATATAGTCTGCTCTGTTAATTCTTACTCACATTCATTTTATATGGTCAGACAGGAGTCTAAATCTCTCCAACTGTAAAATTGCAACATGATGTAACCCAACACTACTTACCATGGTAACAGACAGTCTGGTTCAGGTCATTGTTTGGAGAAGAAAAAGAAGAGGAAATGTAGCAAAAACACTCCGTAAACATAAAAAGACTTATACAGCTCTATCAGATGTTTCTACATACAGTGCCTTCTTCCTATTTTCTGTGAATATGGTTGACAGTACGAAGTTGATATATTTCAAAATAAAATGTAGAAACATACACTACTACAATGTCTACTACAACACATTGTAGTAGTGTACATTAATACTAACTACATGTACATACAGAGCCTGTGACTGATACGTTTTGATAGTTTGAATGTTTTAGACATGTGTTTTTGTGTTCTCAGCCATTCCTGGAGATCCGTGAAGGCCGTCATCCCTGCATCTGTAGAACCTACTCCGGAGGGGACTTCATTCCTAATGACACTGTGGTCGGCACTTCTACTGTAAGTTGTCAAAATTGTTCTAACACTCACTCACTATCCGGTTTATCATCTGTTGTTCCCTGTCTTCCGAGGGTTAGACGTGCTGGCACAGCAAAACTTGACTATATATTAAAAGTTTATTGCAAGTACATGCCTGAGGACTAATTGCAGGTACATGTACAAACAACATGTATGAAAAAAGAAAATAAAATTTGTACAATCATGTGAGACTACATCTAACATTATACTACATTCTACATTCTACAACATACATGTACATGGTACTATTTTTTCTGGGTTTGACTTCTTCGTTGAGGCAATGGAAGACGAATTTACCCACTTCTTCTAATGATCTATAATATGTGGGTTCTTTGATACTGTGGCTTGATGGCAGCCCACCACTTGCCTCTATCAAGTGACGTCATGTAGTAGTATAGGTTCAAGTGGTTGAAGTCCTCCATTACATTGTCAAACCATTTCTTCTTTGGTCAACCATGAGGGTTTGGGCCTTCCACAACTTCTCACCTTCTTCCAGATACTTGACCGCTTTCTTATGGCAAAGATTGTGTTTCTGAATTTTTTCTGTCCTTAGGCTGAAGATATGGAGGAGTCAGGTGGAGCTGATGCCAGCAGTGTTGTCCTGGTCACAGGGCCGAACATGGGGGGCAAGTCTACACTCATGCGCCAAGTGGGCATTATCACCATTATTGCCCAGCTGGTAAGTGGGCATTATCACCATTATATCCCAGCTGGTAAGTGGGCATTATCACCATTATTGCCCAGCTGGTAAGTGGGCATTATCACCATTATTGCCCAGCTGGTAAGTGGGCATTATCACCATTATTGCCCAGCTGGTAAGTGGGCATTATCACCATTATTGCCCAGCTGGTAAGTGGGCATTATCACCATTATTGCCCAGCTGGTAAGTGGGCATTATCACCATTATATCCCAGCTGGTAAGTGGGCATTATCACCATTATAGCCCAGCTGGTAAGTGGGCATTATCAGAATTATAGCCCAGTATTTTCCAACTTCTAAAATAACTACTAGTAGTTTTCTGACCAGTAAAAAAGTAATCATGTAATGCTCTTATGATCTCATTTTGACTCTTGGGTATTGTATGCTGACTTATATTTTACAACCATGATATGATAGAGAATAGATACCCTTATCACATTGAATAGCCAATCATGATTGGTTGGTTGGTTGATTGATTGATTGATTGCTTGATTGACTGTGTTGCAGGGTTGCTATGTCCCAGCCCAGTCCTGCCGTCTGACTCCCATAGATCGGGTCTTCACCAGACTGGGAGCCAGCGATCGCATCATGTCAGGTCAGGGCAGTCACAACACTTTTATTTACTAATTGATTGATTGAACTTTTACAGGTTTGACTGTTAAGGTAACCAAGAAGGTGAACCTGGAGATCAAAGTAAAGTGGTCTTCTTGGCAGGGCACATAAGGCTTACACCTTGGGTAAGAAGATAAATGAAGTGTTTTTGCTACCTTACAGGTGAGAGTACGTTCTTCGTGGAGCTGAGTGAGACATCCAGTATCCTCCAACACGCCACTCCCCACTCCCTGGTACTGCTGGATGAACTGGGTAAGGCTGCACCTTGGAGTTTGTGAGGATAAGGTTTCTTGTATTGGGATATTTTATAGGAGAAACTTAGATGCAGACCTAGCGAAGTCCTCAGTGTATAAAGGCATTCATATGTGCAGAAAAACAGGACAATATTGATTAATAACATAATGGCAATTTAACAAGATGTAGGATGCAAGATTTATGATTCAGTCTACTAGGAGACTTAAAATATACCAAGTTTCTTATTCTCTTGAAGAACTACAAAATGTAAGAAGGGACTGGAGCAACGTCTTTGTAACATTTGTGATTTTACTACAGTATTACCAAAAGGAAGTTGGAGATCTTTGTTGTTGTTCCTTACAAACAGAAAGTTACAAACATACGTTAAGTTAAAACTTTGATACAATAGTGGTGTTCACATTAAAGTTACAAAGTAGTACTATAAAGTACGTAGTGATTTTGTAGCTCTATGTGTATAGAAATTACGAACGCTAAAAGAATTTGCAGGTTAAGTTTTAGAACCATCAAAAGGCAAATAATAACCTCATAATTCCTTGTATCAGGACGAGGAACTGCGACCTATGACGGGACGGCCATCGCCTGTTCTGTCGTGAAGGAGCTTTCGGAGAACCTGCGCTGCCGTACGCTGTTCTCTACGCACTATCACTCTCTGGTGGAGGAGTTCTCGCACGACCCTAACGTCAGACTTGGTCACATGGTACGGCTGGTGTTTCACGGTTGTGTGGTGTGGAAATAACTTTTGTCCTGTTTCTACAGCTTTCAACACGCTTAGGCCTAAGAAAAAAAACAGAGATACACACTCACATGGACATGCAAACACACACACGGACACACACACATGGATACGCATGCACACACACACATGCACATGCACATGTACGCATACACATACACATGCACATGGTACAGTCACATGGTACGGTTGGCATTTTATGGTTGTGTGGTGTGGAAATAGCTTTTGTCCTGTTTCTACAGTTTTCAAGACACTTTGGCCCAGAAGAAAAAAAAAACGAAACACACACTCACAAGCAAATGCACATGCGCACACACACATACATGCACAGACACAAATATACACACACATACACAAACACATAGACACATAGACACACATATACATTGTACACACAGATACACAAACACATAGACATACAGACAGAAAAGCCAAAAACAACACTTTACTTTCCTGATAATCTTTTCTAAAGCACTTTTACAAGAGTCTATTACCCCCATATTTATGTTTACCGAAGGAAAGCGTATTGTTTTTGCTCAGTTTCTTCTTCTTCCGTTCCAAACAAATAAGGTCAATGTACTGGACCAGACATCTGTCACCATGGTAACTGGTGTTGGGTTATTATTATATTATGGCAAGTGCCATGTAGAACTGAGTTCTAAACAAAGCTGGGCCATGTGAAGGTAAACATAACTTGGCAAATGTTACATTTCTAGTCGAAAACTCAGTTGTCCTTATTCTATGTTACAGTGTACAGTAACTGTATTTCATTCTTGAATGTTGTACCCCAGGCCTGTATGGTTGAGAATGAGAATGATGAGGACCCCAGTCAGGAGACCATCACCTTCCTCTACAAGTTTGTAAAAGGGGCGTGTCCCAAGAGCTACGGTTTCAACGCCGCTCGACTGGCCGATCTGCCTGAAGAGGTCGGCACTGCAGTATAATTATTCTCACACACATTAAATCTGATTTGTTATTAGAAAAGATACTGAAACCCACAATTAGCCCCACATGATTGTAATGGGCTTTATAGATATTATGTTAGCTCTTAATGTTTAGTTAAATGTTAACTGTATCTAAGTCACGACATCAGACACGAGTCTCACGTACTAAAATATCTTAGAGACTTAGCAAGAGACAAACGTGGATGGATTGAACTGTACAGGGACATACACTGATTTGGTCTGTCAATTGTACTACTACTGCTACTTTACAGCCAAGAACAGTATGTTACAATCTTGATTCAAGTACTTAACCTTCTCCCTACTGTATAACCCAAATATAAATTTGGTGGCAAAATACTAGCATAGTGTAGGTTAAAGTTGTACATTGTAACATGAGGCAATAGTTCTAAGTTGTAGTGTTAAATCTTGTAGCAATACTTATTAATTAAGTTCTTCCTTTTTTTTTGCAGGTGATTCGTGTGGCTCAAGACAAGGCTAAGGAGTTTGAAGAGAACACAGAGAGGCTGAAACTCTTCAGGTGAGACACTTGTAGCTTTCTTTGTCTTCAAGATAATCTTTCGAAGTATTATGGGAGTGGAGAACAAAATGGAAGTCAATTAATGCTCATTCAAAACCCTACATGTATGTCTTGGAATGAGTTTTGTCTTTTGAGCAAGATTGCTGTCATTGTATTAAAGATATAAATACACTAATGAGCCCAAACAGTTCAAAGACAAATTGCTAGTGGAATCTTTTGTATGTCTCATCTTTGTTATAATTGTATGACTTGTGTATTGCTTTTGCAATATATATTTGCAGAAGGAAAACGTATTGTTTTTGCTCAGTCTGTTTCTTCTTCATACAAATAAGGTCAATGACCTGACCCAGACGTCTGTCACTATGGTAACTGGTGTTGGGTTACATCATGTTGCAATTTCATAGCAGGAGGGATTTAGACTCCTGTCACCATACATATATGAATGTGTTTGAGTAAGAATTAACAGAGCAGACCATACGTGAAGGTTAACATTATGCCTTTGCTTTGCAAATGTTACTTTTCTGTTATTGTAATGTGTTTAATTTTTTCTTATTTTTCTTCAGGGCCTTTAACAAATTGTGTGTGACAAAGCCTTCTGCAGTCAACGAGTTTGTGTCTCTTCAGAACCTCATCAAGGTGTCTTAGACACTGGGGTCATGTCTTCAAGGAGTCTTAACCCACTGCCATACTTCTGTAAACTAAGTGCCATAGCTTAAGACAAACAAACCCTCTTAATAATACAAGTTGTGGAAGCTAGACACTGACTTATACAATGCCATGTATATTTTGTCCTAAGCTCTTTTTGATGCCCAGTGTACCTTGGGTTTCTGAACTGAAACTGATATCAACCTACCTAATATAACTTTATGCTTTGTTTTCATACATTTCTAACCTTTGACTGTTCTGACACTTGAGTAAGAATGTAGGTATTAAATCGTTCACCCTGTAGTATTACAAAAGCACTGTATGTAGATTCTGAAACATTTTTCTGTTCCTGCGAAAATTCTCCAGAAATTTTTTATCACTTGGTGTCATCATACACAAAAGAATCAGTCCCACATGCATGTGCATTTACAGTTAGTACCTACTTTTCAAAGTAAGTCCAGTGTTCTAATAATGTTTGGTGGCAAAAGATATGAAATTTGTTGTAATTTCATTTCATTTCAACTCAAATCAATATTTTATGATCTTACTTAACTGATGTACCAGGTTTTCTGTAGAATATTTGATCGTTTACTCAGACACGATAAAACTTATATTTTCAGATTATGAAGTTAACATTAGATAAAGTTCTACAAGAGATTATTACTTGACATTAGAATGTAGTTAGAAATTTTCTAATCTGTGAAGGTTCAGAAGAAATAAATTCTTGTTCTGCCAACTGCTCTCCGGTGTCGTCATTTCTTGTTACCTGTTTTGACCTACAGCAACAAAAAGTAAGCAAAGTTTCACAAAATGTTTGTAGGGCTGCTGATGACAAAATATTATTTTGTACGTAACAAGTGATATTTTACCCCACAAGAAAAGAAGCTGTCATTGATGCATTATGATTTCCCAGATTCTCGATTTACATGTACATTGACGTCCAGTAACATTCCCTATGACTTGGCTGCACAACATACTAGTACATTTAACTACCACCCCAAGCTACTTTTCAGAGTACCTGCGTGACGTCACGCGATTGGATCGTGTTACCTGAAACAAGGCCCCATAGGTGACCAAGGTAATATATTACAAACGACTTAAACAGAAATAATTTTTAGGATGGCCGTCCACAACACAGGGACGTCATTGTACGCTATAAAAGACAATAACTCGTTTACTAAATATAGATCGTGCATAAGTAATATTTCCGATCAATCTGACTCAAACATCAAGCAAATAATCTTGCCGCCATAGTGGTCTCCTTTCATCCGGGGTATGGTTTCCCGCCAGAAAACTTGTGGCCTCCAGGTGAGTTTTACCCGTTCGCACACGAATATTACATACCTATAACTTCTAAGTGTATTAATGGCTTAAACGGGCTCCAACAAACAAATTCAAACGTACTATTATGCTGTTGATCAGCAATACCACAAGTAAAGAACGTCTGACTGAACATGTTACATGGTAACGGGAGGGGTCCAAAGTCCGGCAGGGGTCCAAAGTCCGGCATAGTTTTAAAGATTATTATAATTCTGTTATGCATGGGTGAATCCACATAATAAGAACAATTAGTTATGTAGCAAGACTTTGTGTAAAAAAATAACAAAGTCGGAAAGTTTGTCGAAGTTTATTGCTCAAACTGCTAGGGATTGAAATATTTGTTTGAATTTAACGCTTTTCGCGGAGGTTGACGAGAGAACGTGTCCAGCACATAGCCTTCAGAACTGTCAAATCATTCATCCTAAAGTGTGACATGTGCAAAGATTTTACCACACACGTGAAAGGTGATTATTATACTTTCCATAGAAAACACACCATGGCTTGACATTGTCTTTATCCTTGGAAAATCGAAGCTTAAATAGCAGGCAAATGTTTACACCTAGCGGCCCGCCATCTTTACTGAGCCGCTACGAACAGGCAGCCGGGCGATACAACAGAATGAAGTTTGTAAACTCGTCGGTAGAGCGCCGACTATTCCGGAAAATCAAACCCTACCTGTTCAAAAATCCCATAGTCACTACTTGTGCCAAATAATTATAAGGCTGAAAAGACCATCAAGGCAACCGAAAGCGGGTATATTTGGGCGCACGCAGTTGTAAACAACGCCGCCATTTTGTTTCTTAGTGGCGGGGTGACTTAGCTTTCACCGAGGGAGACTTGTATCTACGAACATTGGAAAAAGTGGCGTAATAAAAAATATGGCACATTTTTGGGACAAAAGAATAGTATTACAAACTTATAGTTTTATTATGTTTGCATGGAGTGCTGAAATAGTCACAGCACGGACTTGGTTGTTACGTATGCCGGAGTTTGGACCCCCTTTTGGTGTTGGAACGTTCCACGAGAACGCAAAGCAAAAACCTGCCGTGATTCTCGTGTGCTGTCAAACGGCAGTGCGGAACGCTACCGTGAAATGAAATATACGCCTGTACAGCTTAAATCACAGATATATTGCTGTTTCAAGATCTAGCCTTATTTTTTTATAGGTTTAGGGTGACATGTACAGTAACAAAATACGTGCGTCAACACGTAGAACAGTATGCCGGACTTAGGACCCCTCCCGTTAGCTTGGTGTCATATAACATGGTGGCCTTTCTTTTGATCAAGTCTAGCTACGAGGATTCTCACCAACATTTTCAATCTTGTGACTTCTTGTGAAAACTAGATTAGTCTGTACAGGTTCTTGTAGCTGGACAGTTGTTTCTGTCGTGTACACAGATCCAACACCTGAGTGAGCTAAGTTTAGCAAGGAATGTGGTACTTTCCAAGTAATGTCATGGTCACGCGCCTACGATCAAAGGCAGAACAAACAGGCAGCAGTGGCGAAGAACCCTGTGGGCGCCAGAACCGTCTCTAACAGTGTTCAAAATCTATCAAATAGTTAGTTGGATGCACCGTGAGGCAACTAGTAAAGGTGGTATGTTGCTTTCTTGTAATTTTGAGTAGTAAATTCACGTCTGTAGTAATACCCTTTAGTACTGGTAAGGATATATATATGACAGTGTCTAGTAGTCTTGGCATTTAGACCATATGTTCACATACAAAAGAAAATTGCTAAAAGTTCTTCGAGTTATATGAAATGTTCTTTCACATCCTACATGTGTATATCTCTACTGTAGAGCGGCTTTCCCACCAAACCCTACAGTAAAGGTTCTTTGCTATTTCTTTGAAGCAGGCATACGCTGCAAGACATGCTAGTAGTTCCTCTTTTGGTGACAATGGCACAATGGTTGCATGATAAAATCACCACTGGAAACCTCCATAGCTATGTGATGCTCAGTAACTTTGACGTTACTACTGATGATTGTAATTAGGTCAGTTCAAGAGCGACGAAACTATTTGTTGGTGACAAAAAACACATATATGTACCCTTGCAACAATCATGGTGGACACGCGTACGGTTACCAAAGGAGTAACTTTATACATGTACCATTGTTCCCCTTTACATACCGTAGGGGTTACGTAATGGAAAAAAAAACCTTCAAGCCAAAAACATGGCGTTATGAGACTAGCAGGTAATCTAAACTTTATTGGAACATGTGTGGCATTTTGTAAATAAAGGGCACACTGTATTCTTCCCACTTTTCCCACACGTTCTCCAGGTTGGCTAATATATATCGTCAAGAAGTGTTCCCACCCACCCACCAGCAAGACAAGCATACAACCTGGACATGGCGCAGGATGATGGCAATGCCGACACAACCCAGCCCAACGCTGACACAGCCAACATAGACATACTAGACGCCTTCTGCCGTAAAATATACAACTTCTCAGTTCAAGCATCAAAATTGTCAACAAAACAGATTGGCTCTGTCTTCGTTTCCCTATTTGTCGTCTTCGCCGTTTACTGGGGCATCCAAAAAGCATTTTTGGTAATTTTATGCATCATCATTATTGTAGTGCTTTGGGTAGTCTTGTGTCGTTTGTACGATTACGTGACCGGCAAATTTAAGTCAGAAGTAAGAGATATTAAAGAGGAATCACGGGCTTCCAAGACTGTCAAAGTAGACATCAAAGACGTATCTGGAGATGATGGCCAGGATTCGGGAGTCTTGGAGGAAGAAAACACGTCAGAAGAAAAAGATCTTAAAGAACAAGCACGGGCTTCCAAGTCTGTCAAAGTAGATGTGAAAGACGAACCTGGAGAGGGTGGCCTGGATTCGGCGGTCTTGCATTCGGAGAAAGTGCGTGAGATCACGGACCCATATATGACTATGACTGCCCATCGTGGATCTGGTTTTGCCGTAGCTGAGGGTGAAAAGGAAGGTAAGCTACCTCTAATTTCACTGGATGGGAAAATCAACAAAACCAACTTCGATTCCGACCATCCATCCAAATATTCATATAGCGAAGTTAGCTTTACGCATACAGCATTCTGTATCCAAATACGTTATACATCTGTATAAGCCATATATTACTTAGATTGATAAGATAGAAACAGGTCGTTGGAGTTGTTTTTGACAATATTACAGTTCACGTACGAGTGCGTAATGTCTACAGAAAACTTGTAACACTTTGCTTTATTTTGATGTAGAACATTTGCCATCTGTCTATATTTGCGCGTACGCAATGCTGGCATATTAGTTTTAATGTATATAATTATAAGCAGCGATCAACAATAACACAAACATAGTAATAGTACAAGCACAATGTAATAGTAATATTGGGTTATATGTAGAATGTTTTCCTATCTGTGTTTTACCTACGTAGAAGTACGAGAAGGCATTGAACACTTATCTATGTATCTTATTACAGTCGTTCGGAAGTACTTTTACTACATCAAGGAAAGAGTGTACTCAGACTGGTTATCCCTCGCCCGGATACTGGGTTTAAACTATTTAGAAATCGAAAACATTAGAGCCAGGAACCACGAGTACAAGTCCTGCTGTATGGACATGTTGGAGTTATGGCTCAGGCGTAAAGGACGCGTAGCCACCATAGAAGTCCTGATGGAGGCTCTGCTGTCTGACGCTGGACTGGAGCACGTTGCGTATGATCTGAAGTCTCAATATCCTGGTATGTTTTCTTTTGTCGTGGTCATGATACATAGTTAAAACTTGTGTGTACATTCCGATTTTCATTGTAAAATAGCTATGTCCATTTCACATGTTTATGCATTTGTTGTTAACTGTTGCTATCTTGTAGAAACCAACACTTTGATATCATTTTCTTCACATTGAAGAGCTACGTAACGTAGCTACACAGCAGGAGTGACAAGTCCTAACTTCAGCCGCTGAGGAGGCCTGTCAGTGTCAACATCTGTACTTTACAACAAAGGCGAAAACTCCAGGAACCGGGTCGGCTTGACTACACAGAAATATGATATTCACTGTGATTCGTGGAATTCTATAGGGCACTTTTTCTTCAAATGCATGTCAAATAGCAGATTGACTTTTTGCAGTCAGATAAACTTTCAAAATATGTTTTCTTAGTATTAGTAAGTGTGTAAAAAAAAACTCGTTTGTGTGGCAGACGGCTGATCTTTTATGAACAATTCTGTATTGAGTGCTGTATGTTTTCAATGCAGAACATTTTGCTGTGAATATTTGTCAATATTTGTACATATGCAATGCTGTAATATCAGATTTAATGTATATACGTAACGATCAATATCAACACAAACGTTTAAAAGCTGTTTTCTTAGTATTGTAATCGCCTTGGTGGACGTACTGTCTTCCCAGAAAGAGAGGTGTGTATTATCCTGTATGAACGATTCTGTATTGATTTCGTGTGTATCTGTAATAAATTTGGATAATTAATTTGGAGGACAGTTACATTTTCTGTGTAAAATATTATAAATTTTATGTAATTTCTAAGCATCTAGTGGTGTTCCGATATTTTATACACTTGGGTGTTTTAACGAATCGATGTATAGATTAGAGAGAGTATATGATGAGTTGCTAGACAATGTATTGAGTATAGTTATATAGACACAATATGTATATATATAGACACACACAATCTGATACTTTACATAAGTTATATTGTGGTGACAGTGTAGTACATATATTAATCTTAATTGACTTGTACGCCAAGATTTCAGATTAAACGCTAATGTGTGGCATCTTACAATCATGTGTCTTCAGTATAACCGTGAGTAGTCTTTGTTTCGTAGCCAATGTTCTAGTTAGACATTCGATCGATAAACCTTGGCTAGACAAAGCTAGTCTTCTCTTTAGTTTCTCTGTCAATGACAAATAAAAGATTTAACAGTCATGTTTTCTAGACATTGGCTGACATAGGTGACCGGTAAATGTAAAAAAACTTAGCTAATCGGCAAATGTCCGTTTTCATTTACACCTTTCATTTACATCATACACCATAGTTTTAAGTTATTAAAATATCTAGTGTGATCTTTACCACCCGGTTGAATCTGTCTGGTGGTCCGACAAAAAGACTATATTCGCGTTAACACGAAAATCATAATTAGTTGATGTTGACGTCAGTACACTGTATTGATAAAACATTATTATTGATAAAACCAGAAGCTGTCATTGATGTATCATGATTTCCCAGATTGTAGATTTACAACAAAATAGAGGGATTTTTATTTTTACATTGAGGACCTGTAGCAAACCTTATAACCCACCTACACAACATAAAACGCAAATAAATACAACCCCAAGCTACTATTAAAAACACATTGTATTAACTGGTACGTGCGACAAATGTAGTCAACAGGTCCAAGGTTCCTGCGTGACGTCACGTAATCGATCGTATGGCCGCCAAACGTTGTGTTACCTGAATCAAGGCCCCATAGGCGACGAAAAAATTACAAACGACTTCAACAGAAATATATCTAGGACGACTTTCTCAACACATGAACATTAATGTACTTTATTGTACAAAACAACTTATTTTCCGTATTTTATTTCCGACCAATCTGACTCAAACATCACTCATCAGGCAAATGCTCTTGCTACGATGTTCTAATCGTCTTGCTCATCATTATCGGCGTACTGTCGTATGTTTACCTGACCCACAAACACAGTGTGCCGTCTCAGAACCACCCTTCACCGCTCAAAGACGAGCAGGAAGAAGCACATGCAGTTCCAGCCATCCACGATGAAGTTTCTCATGTAGAAGAAACACTCCAGCAGCCTAGAACTAGATCGTGCCGGACGTTTGACGCAGAAATTGCACGTCGACGTCCGACGACTGAACATATGACTGATGCAGTCAGTGATGTTCCAGTGATCATTAGTACCGATGAGGACGGCTCCGAGTCATCAGAAGATGATAGGGTGACTTCTTCAAGATTACCAAGTCCAGGGGCAAGAATTCAGCTATCGCCATTACTCCAACAGTGGCAGCAAACCAGTACTGGTGACTCAATACCTCCTATAATTGAATTTCCTCCCGAAAGCGGCGCTGTGGTGCCAGTCATGAGGAAAAGGCATAATACTGGAGACCGAGAATTAGTTGTTCGTCCGCGGGGTGATGTAGCAAGAGTGGATGGAATGTATACTAACCAAGACGGTAAGCAGCCCTTTAGTTAGGCACAGTTTGATAACCTTATCCTGAATGTCCATCACAATTAGCAGTTTAACGTATGAGAGAATTGGCTGTAGAATTGCCCGTTCAATATTTTTCATTTCTTGACGAAGGTAGGCGGGGCTTGCCACATTACTTGCATGGTTGTAGACTTGTCACGTAACAGGGATTGTTGTAACGTTACAGTTCATACAAACAGTTCAATGCTGCCAAGCTATTTGAATCAAGTCTTTTTTTTAATCTCCTGGACATAAATAGGTAACGTCAAAACGCAAACCGTAGCTATTGAAAATCACTAGTCTACAGTAACATGTTTCTTTAGGAATGGGATTGCATTTCAGGATTCACGATAATTACGATACAATTATTTTCATTCTGTTAATTTCTATCATTGTTATGAACTTGTCAGAGTTTGTAATCTGCACAAGCCCGTATAGAAAATGTATTCGTATTAACATAATCATGTTTCTTTATCAGAGATGAGGCGGTATTTCATCGTTATCGGTCAGGACATGCCAGCAGACTGGTATCAATTAGCATTGAGCCTTGGAGTTCCCTTCGGACAAATTAAAGCTGTGAGCGATACACACCCTCGGAACTGCTGGATGTGTTGTCAGTGTATTTTGGACATGTGGCGCAAAAATAAAGGCAGACTGGCAACAAAGGACGATCTGATCAAGGCTGTAGAGGAAACAAACAACAACGATGTTGCAATGAAGCTGAGAGACATGTAAATGAACTACTGGATAGAACCGGTCCATCGGGACATGTACAGATGGTCGATTTCCTACTCAGGCTCAGTTTTTTTTTTTGAATAGGCGATGGGGTTCAGGTGTGTAACATCAGTTGTAGCATTTTGAAAACCTGTTGCGAGGGGCCAATATAGACTAGATATAGATAGAATGTTGTGTGGAAAAGGAATCAGTATTATCTCTGAATTTGTGAATATTAAATACGTAACACCAGGTTGTATTATCAGGCTGTTTAAAGATCCACGTTGCATTATGTACACGTATGTCTAAATATTAATTGCCGGATAGATATATATTTATATATATGAATATGTATATATTAAAATGTTCTCTTCACACTAGATTGTACTAAATTACATAATCAGTGGAGGTTCAGAAGAAATATATTCGTGCTTTCCCATAAATGTTGTGGTATTATTGCTGTATATTTTGGGACAAGGGGTTACTGATAATCCCCACCATACTTTGCATACAAGAAATATGACTACGATATGATAATCAAATGCAGAATTGATCCAGTGGGTGATGATGATGATATTGCTGTCTTGCTAGTTTCAACAAGTAGGTTTTAAACTTAATTCAGATGTTTTACACCACTGCATCCAAACGCACCTGCTATGTTTACCTGCGTGGCAGGTTCAAAGGTCACTGCCCACCTCTGAGCATCTCGGATTGCACGGTAAACACAGTTTTATTGGTGAGCAAAGGCCCCATACGTAGGGTACGGAGCGCAGTGAACTTGTAGTTAGAAGATAGAATATACTAGGCGTTGGATACCAGGTAACAGGCAACAAACAGTAATTATATAAAAGTGGTGAGTGCCAGAACTGTTTATAACAGTCATAAATCAAGCGTTCAAAATCTGCAATACTGATCAGGCAAATACCTTTGGCACCACAGTGGTCCTTCAGATTAGACTTGGGCACACCTTAGTAGTCAAGGTGGTCTCTTGCTTTCAGGTAAGTTACCTGGTTTAAACTAGTCGTCACACTCTTATTGTCATTCCGTTATCTTTTGTGTGGCCATTGCACTGTCTTTTCAAATTACATTTTGACCGTATGTTCACATACGAAACGATCTGGAAGGCTAAAAGCTCACAGAAGTGTACTTCCACTTTCGTATATGTATACTAGTACTAGCCTGTACCATGCTTGGGGAGGCGGCTGGAAAGAGTAGAAATCGGTCAAATAGAGAGATAAGCATGCCGCAGCGAACTGTTCTCTCAACGGACAAACTCCCTTGGCATGCTTATCTCTCTATTTGACCGATTTCTACTCTTTCCAGCCGCCTCCCCAAGCCTGGTACAGGCTAGAACGCCCCATCAGGTAAAGATTATATGTCAAGTTCCATCTGAGTAATAGGCCTGTTCTATTTAACAAGTTTTGAAAAGACGTTAACGACATTGTTGAGTGTAATGCGTGCTTCTGGACAAACTGCGACAGCGACAAGACTGGTCGGACCCAGAATTTGCCATTCCCGGTTGCGACATGGCGGCCGTAACTAGGAAAACATGACTAGTTCCTCTTTTTGTGGCATACAATAGTGTAATGTTACGTTTACGCAATGGAAACCCCCTAGAGTGGTGTTGTCCTTGTGTAACCGTTGAACATACAACCACTACGAAAAGATACTGTGCTATCTTAAAGTATACGAAGTTATTATTTTGCTAAGGGATCCATTTACAACATGTATAATTGTGTATTTTCCTATACAGTTGCACTGCAGTGTATGTAAGCTGTCAGCCGATTAGAGCAGGTGTACTTGTCAAATTTACCCCCGAAGAAGGGACCCCCAGTCACTGTACTAGTGTACAGCTAAGAAATATGGCAACGTACTCCCCTCTGCCGACCGAAGAGCCGGAACCAACCATTGCTCAGCCCGATACGGACGAAGATGACCGCAAAGATAAAGAAACAAGTGTCAACATCAGCGCTAGGTGTTCTACTAAGAATTTCTGCACGGGGCGCCGGATGTACATGCTTCTTGTGGCCGGGATAGTTTGTATTTTTGTGTTCGTTGCCGTGTATCAGACAGTCCTGAAAGCCGCTGTGGTAGTCGCGGCCGTCTCCGTCATTGTCGTGATTTCTTACGTGATATACAATTACGTAAACAAAAGAGCCAGCCAAACGACGCAGAAAGATGACGGAGCGTACGCAAACGAAAAGAAGCAAGAAGACACTAAAAGTCCACAAATGAACACTAGAAATATAGTGAGCACCGCTTGTGGGGAAACACGGCATGATTCCAAAACTAGTGAGGAAGATGACGTGGAAATAATAACTTCGGAATCCACTACAGCTACTGACCACGAGCTCCAGTCTAATCCAGTGATTATAACTGAAGTAGACACGTCATCTGACGATGAAGCCCGAGAGGACTCACTAGGGCCTTCGGTGGTGGCAAACCAGTCATTACCATTTACCGAACGCCGTTTAAGAGCACTGGCGTCGAGAATGACAAGTCCAGCTGGGATCACGTTAGATACTTTCGCACATCCTGAAGACTATCAGCTTGCATTGGACATGTACAGTCCCGGTACCATTGCTTTCAGTCGTTACACTGGAGACTCTGTAGTGTCATTCCATGGAATGCACTTCACCCAGAATGGTAAGCACTTCTTCATTTCGGTCCATCATTATATAATATAACCTTGCACATAAACACCCATAGACTGGCTAGCTCAGAATGTGTTTGATACATTACCAACTGTGTGGACTAGTTGTTTTCTGGCTGACATGGTATGACATCCAGGAGTAGAGGACTGCCAAAGGCCTGATAATACCTGATAAGGATAGTATCTGAAAAGCACACTGGATTACATGTCTGTGTTCGTTTTTTTTATTATTGTAGAAGACATAGTTTCTGATTTACACGTATGATTAAATCACGTAGAACTATTTCATACATTAACATTAGATATGGAGCCGTGTTTCGACGTCATCGCCAAGGGGATGCCTGCTGACTGGCAACAACTGGCAAGAAACCTCGGAGTACCCTGGGAGCAGATCCGGGCGGTCAATCGTGAGCACTCCGGCGACTGCTGGATGTGTTGTCAGCAGGTTCTGAACACGTGGCTTAAAACCAACGGCAGACGAGCAACAAAGGAGACGTTAATACAGGCTGTGAAGGATACTGGTCACCAGGATATTGTAGACATGCTGGAAGCATATCTACGTATATCTAGCTAGATATAGAAGCGATATGTTTTACCGTTGATGGGACTTGACACAAATTGGTTCCTTTGAAGCCACAAAGGAAGGCCTGATACAGGCCGTCAAGGACATGTGCACGGGGAATCTAGATGTAGCGGAGAAGCTGGAAGATATGTAAATTGACTAGATGTTACAGATTATCAACAACTATAGTCTATTCCAACTAGTGTACTAATCTAACAACATTCTTCAATGCACGATATTATGCCCTCTCAATTTCTAGGCAATGAGTACCAAAATAAAGTTATGCTAGATGTAAAAGATTTGTTTTCAATTGCAAAAAGGTGAGCGAAGGTTGTCTTAATTTTGGAATATGTTGCAAGTTTACTAAAACTATCTTTGTCTCCAGTTGGAAAGAAATCCTTTTCGTTTGGTAAAAACAACTGGAGTATAAGAAATAGTGTTGCAAGATAATATATTTGTATTTACTAACAGAAAAGTCTTTTACCTTCTTATATTAGGTTCAAGTAATTGACTTGTTTGATCTAGTTGTCACCACATCCTTGTAAAGTTCAACACCTTCAATATTATACACAACGTATGAATAGAAAGGGACTATATTAAGGAGTTTGAAACATTATGTTGTAAGTTAGTTTCTACGATTATGATCTGCTTCATCATAAATCATTTCTGATAAGAGGACTGACTTCAGAAGAAATATGAATACTATATTGGTGATAACAGTATCTAACAAGATTTATCTTTAACTAGTAGTCTTTTTGTTACCCTGATGCAAAGTTGAGGAATGTTACATCATAGTTAGTATTGCGTGTATGTATACGTACTAGGTAACGTAAATCTATATGGTGCATCTGTTTTCATTAGTTTACAACTTAAACTGTTCAATTCCGCTTTGTTCTGAACATAACGTTGTTTGTTTTATGCCAATTTATTCATGTGATCTCTTTTGTTGCTTGCATTTGAGTATGTATGCATGTGTTCTTTGTGCACAGGGAAACATGAAAAACAGTACAGACCTGAGTGTGATCTGCTGGTAATGACAAATAAATGAAATGAAAGTAATACTGTTCTGTTTTTCACTTCATGATGATGATCTAATGTGATTTACCAGCCGGTCAAAAATACTAGTAACACTTGTTATTGTTAACACTATAAACTAGGACACAAAAAAAACTTTACATCTTATGGTGACCTTTACCATAGCCTTTACATAGAAATCTAGGATCTTTTAAATTTTATGATCGACTATTAACACTGCCAGATTCGTGTGTACCTGAAACAAAATACTTTAAATACTTGTTTTTGCCGTGTACACAGATATAACTGAGCGAACTGCTTACAAGTTTAGCCAGGTGAGTCATACGGTACTTTCAAAGTGATGACGTCACATGAGGTCAAAGGTGAGACAAACACGTTGTGACGCGTACATAAGACAGCGAGATAGGGGTGTCGTGTTTGGGACGAAAATCGGCGTTCAAAAACGTGTCAAAGATAAAATTTATGCTTCACAGCATGAGTGGAGTTTAGCACTGGAAAACGAGTGCCAGGCTAGGACAAGATTCGGCTCTGGATTTCCAGTCCTGACGGTGTTTCGGCATTATGGAATAAAGCTGTTCAGCACTAGAATTCCTGTGCGGGGCTTTCTTCCGCTAGTCTCCACCAGACTTCTTTTGCGGGGTGAATAAATCGTAAAATTTCCCCGCCGAGGGAAATGAGGAAATGGAGCTTCTCTGGCCGGCTAACTTCTCTGGCCAATTAATACCCTTTTTAGGCCGATTTCTACGATTTATTCAGCCCGCAAAAGAAGTCTGGTGGAGACTGAGTGAAAAGCATGCTGTTTAACGTCACCAGGATCATTCCGATATGCCTTCCTGTCCTATGCAAATGAGATTTAGTCCCCCTGTTTTTGCATTGCATTCTGGGGATTGGAAACTGGTGAATGGTAAGAAAGTATACTGCAGTACGTCTGAAGGCCGACAGGCGTCTCTTGCGTACACCCGGAAGTCACAACTCTGCAAAGGTGTTTCACACAGCTCCTGTAACGTTACTTTCTTGTAATACCACGCACTTGGTGGCGTAAAGCCCTTGGTAGATCCAGCTTACAGCAACTTTATGTAAGTAATCGTGAGTATCTGGACTCTGTACTACATACCTATCTAAACTTCATCAACATGTGAAAGGTATAGGTTTAATGTACATGTATGTGTGGAGTTTTATATCTCACTGAAACTTTTAAGTGTTAGCCAGAGTGTCAGCCTTTTTATTTGCTGTGTAGGTATATTTCTGACAATTTTAAACAGAAGGCTTGGTTAAATTCCTCTCACCTCTTAACCTTGAAGAAGAGATCATGATATTTTTTTTTCTTCCTGCAGGTGAACAGGTGTTGAGGATTCGAAGACAAACAGTGGACTGGAAGTGGAAGTATGTGAAACATGGCTGCCCAAGGTGAGCCCTCTTTTATTCAGTTGACTTATTGAACTACAATTAAACATATCCTACTGTAACCATTTATACCCATTCACTAGATGTTAACATGATCCTCAGGCCACACCAATTGAATTTTTTTGCTTCTCGGATTCGCCTTGTCCATTTTTTTTCTGATTTGAAAAAAAAAAAGATTTTAGGTTCTGAATCAACTGCAAGATTCGCTATGAAAGACACATTTTGGCCCCTATGGTTGAAGAAAGTCCATTTCTTCCTTAAGTTATTCGATGTAACAATGCAACTTTGTGTCATCAAGGAGGTCTTTTTAACCTCCTTGGTGTCATTTGAAGGTTTAAAATCTATTGTTTTAATTATAAACCAGTCTGGTATGTTCACTTCATGGCTCATATCATAACATTTCCAACTATCATGGGGTACCTTGGTCTGTTTTTTTATTTTTTTCATTTCGCCCTGTCGCTTCACATTTTTTTCTGAAAAAATCTGAGAAACAACAAATTAAATTGGTGTGGCCTTGTGTTAATATAACCCTGGCCTGTGTTAGTGTAAGCCTTCATATACTTTTCCTAGGTTAACATTGTATTTTGCCTGAGTTCTTTCACATCTAACTGTGCTTTCTAAGGTATCTGTATAGCCAGTATAAGTTATAACTGCCCTTCAGCATAACATGTACACACCAGCTTCACAGGCACACGGCACGGCGGCAGCTGGCTACATTACACCGAACGACTTGTTACACCAAACCCTTGAACATCTACATGTAACTCTAAACATTGTTTAAAGCTATCTTAATGACATCTACTTTAATTGGTAATAAGTTATTCAAAAGTCAGTGATAAAAGGAAAACTATACAACCTGGAATAATTTACAATATGAGTCCCTCTTGCAATACCTTACTCCACTCTAAAATAATTTTGTAAATTGTTATGGCTTTAACATTTGATATGATGGCATTTATTGGTAGTATTGTCTTTTCAGTATTGCACATTATCATACGTGATAGTAGATTTAAAACTAAAGACTAAAATTTGTCATTCCAGGTGTTCAGAAGTACTTTTTCTTCACCAAGCAGAGAGTGAGCTCGGATTGGAAGGACCTGGCCTACTTCCTGGGTTTCCCCGACTCAGAAATCAGAAACATTGACGGCAGAAACCACGATGACATGTCTCGCTGTATGGACATGTTACATGAGTGGAAAAGAAGAAGGGGTAACGCTGCTACTATAGAGGTCCTGATGGAGGCTCTGTCCAGTGTCGGTCTACAAAGTGTCCTGGATGGTTTGAAGGCCAAGTTTCCAGGTAAAATTGTTATGTTTGCCTTTGCAGAAGGAAAACATAATATTGTTTTTGCTCTGTTTCTTCTTCTTCTACTCCAAACAAATTAAGGTCAACGACCTGAACCAGACATCTGTCACCATGGTAACTAGTGTTGGGTTACATCATGTTGCTGCAGTTTTATAGCAGGAGGGATTTAGATTCTTGTCGCCATATTTATTAATGTGTTGAAGAATTAACAGAGCAGACCATATGCGAAGGTAGACATTATGCATTTTGTTTAAATTTGCAAATGTTACTTTTTTAATTACTGTTTTATTTTTGTTTCTCATTTCAAGTCATATTACTAACAATTTGATTGGAAAAACCCATGACCATGTGTTTTTTATGTTATTTGTAGCTGTTGTGTGGAAATCATTAAGAATTTGTTATTACTACTTAACAGAGTTGACTACACAGCAGGTGACATTGAAGCAACCTCTCCAGGAGACAACAGGGCAATCTCCAAGTGAACATCTTCACTCTAGGCTGCAACTGTTGTCTTTGGGGCAACCTCATGATCAGCACAACACAAGAGGGCAACCTACACAGGACACAACTCAACCTAAGCAGGAGACAACGGGACAACCTTCTAGTGAGCAACCAACGTCGTGGAGACAACCTCAACAGGAGACATCAGAGAAACCTCCGCAAGACACAACTGAACCTAAGCAGCAGTCAACCGGTGAGCAAACCTCGTCAGACACGAGTCGGCAACCCCAACAAGAGACAACAGGGCCGCCCTCCACTGGGGGAACTTCTTCTGTATTGGAGTCCCCTCCATGTTCTGATTATGAAGGTAGGTCAACTTGGATACTTGATGGTACTTTGTTCTAATATATTCCATCGTATGTGTTTGTCTGTATCTGTATACGTGTATTTGTGTGTGTATGTATATCATATGTACATGTATGTGTATGTTTGTGTATGAGTGTATGTGTGTGTGTGTGTGTGTATGTAGGTGTGTGTGTTTGTGTATGTGTGTGTGTATGCGTGTTTGTGCACATGTGTGTGGGTCAATGTGAGTGTGTGTGTGTCCATCAAAAAAGTATTTATGAGGGTCTACAAAATAATTGATGATTTGTTAAAAGCAAACATTCAACTATTCCATATACATTGAATTTCCTTATTCTTATATATTTAAGGTTCGAAGTTCTCTAACCAAATTGTAATGTTCAACGTCATGACAATGTTAACTTTTGATTGCAGCTGATGACTTCTTGCTATTTTCAGGTCCAAAAAAGTTGTTCATCATCCATGGAGGGGAAGACAAGGACACCCTGGTGGAACCTCTGGTCCACGAGATCGTAGACCAAGGAGTGCCCAAGGAAGACGTCTTCTACGATAAGTGGTCCATCGAAGACGCCCAGAGTTTCAAGGAGTCCATAGCCTTAGCCATCCAGGACAGGTCCTGTAAGCTTGCTGTTATAGTGATCAGTGAACACATGATGAAAAAACACTGGCCCAGGAAAGAGCTTGAGGAGTTTTTGAAGCGAGGGATCAGATTTTTCCCTATTTTTTATGGCGTGAAACCTGATGATGTGAGGAAAGAGTTTTCGCCAATGCTGGCTGATACTAGGGGGGTAGAAATTCCCAGAACAGGGGAGGCGGTGGATGAAATCTTGATAGCAGGAACGGCAAGTAAGATCCGAAAAATCTTTCAGAAACCATAAGCAGGTATATATTCATCACTCGGGTCATAAAGTTGATGAAGACTGTCAGCAATTCTGTCGAAAATTTCTGGAGTTAATTTCTTTTTGAGTTGGAGAACAGTTTGATTTTCTTTATGTATCATACCAACTCAGATGAACTTTCATGCTAGGTATTCATCTCGACTAGTGTGAGGAGTAAGAAGTTGCAAAGTTCTAAAATTGAGCATTCCTTAGATCTACAGGTAAAATTCTGATGCAAGGTTGACCAAACATCCAGCAAAAGAAACATGAAAACAATATGTGCACATGCTCTTAGGCCACACTGATTTAATTTTATGGATGACATCTACGCACACATTGATTTTCGCCTGGTCTCAAAGAAAAAGAATCACCTCGTCTGAGGATCTGGCCTGGGTGCCACCCTCCATGGTCCATAGTAGCTAGCGACAATAGGGAGCCTGTGGTAACTACGGAGGACAGCACCCAGACTTATAAATGCTGCAAAAGGCCAGCATGTGCTGGCTTATCTGAAAAGTAGCTTTGTACTACCACAAATTCACAATACCAACTTTGTATTCCTGTGGTTTAGCAGCAATTAAGTCAATGTGGTCTCATAGGAAATGTTTTAATGACAATTTTTTAAAGAGCTTAGAAAGTGGTTGCTTTTTATGATGACCAGCATTATGATTCATGGATTCAATCAGGCAAATATTTGTAATTGCCATTAAAATTACTACTGTTTGTACTGTATATTAAAAACAGGTTGATACTAGGCCACATTGTTTCACGGATTCGCCCGCTTCATTTTTTTTTTCTGATTTGCCAGAAAAGAAGTCATTTCAGGCTCTGAATCAACTTCAAAATGCTCATATGTTGGCCCCAACAGTTAAAGGAAGTCCCACTCTCTTCAGAGTTGTTACAGTTTTTCCATCAATGCAGTGGTCGGACTAAAAGTTTTAAATTCAATTTGTTTGAATTACAGACCAGCCTATTATGTTGACTTCATGGCTCATATCATAGCGTTTGGGGCTATCATAGAGGCGCCTAGGACTGTTCTTATTTCATTTTTTTGCCCTGTCGCTTCATATTCTTTCTGAAAATATCCGAGAACCAACAAATTAAATTGGTCTTTTGGAGGAAATAAATCAACAGTAATTTTGGTATTTTGCTTTAGATCAAAATGAAAAATCTATTTGGAAATAAAGTTTCTCACTGATGCCCTTGGTGTTTTGTGTGATGTGTTTCTTGTGTGATTACTTTGATGGGAAAAAGTGATATAGACAGGCTAGCTAGTGTAGGGATTTGTACACTATACAGGGTTAGTCTTAGTAATCATGACTTAACATTGGTCATTGAACCAAGAATGCTGATCAATAAATGTCTAATATGCAATCAAAGAATTGTGTGCAGGCGGTACTGTAATACTTTTATTTTCGATAAACGATGCCTTTTTTCAAAGTTCTTTTTTATGTCTCAAAACTAAAATGACAGATATGTCGACAAAGAAGACAGATATTCAGACACTGGTAGAAGTCATTCTAGGAATTTTTGTCACAAAATAAACATATGCAAGACTGAAATGACTGTTTTCTAATAAATTTGTGATGTTTTGGTAGTCGGATAGAGCTTCAATGACAAGAGCGGTAAAGACCAGAAGTAAAAACCCCATAAGAGCCCATCACGTTTCCCAACTCGCCAAACGGCCAAATCTGGGAATGAGCGAGGCTTCCATAAAGCGAGATACGGACCTTTTCTGAGCGAAGGCTCCAAAATGGGGATGGGACATTTTAGAAATATGAAACTTTAGACATTTTTCGGCCTCCACGTTTGCAGGGTATACAATGTATTCATTATGGTCTTCATTATATTCCTACATATTCCCTTCCATCAAATTTGCTTTATTCTCGAATTATATGTTAAAACGTGATTTTGTGATCAGCTGATCCTTTGCAGAAGTGGTCAGAATCTTTGCAGGAGCAACATTACCGTATGAATGGAAACCAAGCAGATGTCAAACTCAACATCTGCTTGGTTTCCATTCATATTACCATATGAATGTAAACCAAGCAGATGCATGGTGGAAGGCAAAATCGTAACAGCTTGGGGATTTGCCATAGTTATATGCCTGGCAGAGGCTCTGTTTCCATTCATATGATATTGGGATCGACACTGAAAAATTCACAAATTGATTTCCTTCGTATATTGCAGTCGGTGCATTAATATTCAGTTTGTAGTTATGAAGGTTCAAACTGAAGCTATCCCTGTCCTTAGTGCTGAAAGCTATCCCCACACAATGTCCCCCTCCCCTGTTTGTAAGAATATTACGTGGTTGCCGAGCATTTTCACCTCCCCTAGCCTCATAAATCGGCTCCTTTTCTTTGTGAAGGCAGTTCTTACGACTCAGTAGCTTATCTGGGGGAAAATAACTGCCTAAAATAGTCCCGTTCGTCCGAAAATCCATCGTAATTTAAGTTTTTTTTACATGAAAAGTAAAGCGGCTTTGAGTCTGTTGTCCATATTTGGTCAAAGAGGCAGGCGTCATAATTGTTTCTCTTTATTATCCAATCAGGCTCAACGATTCAAAAACGTACACATGATGAGAACCAATCAGCATCAAGGATACATCGGTTAATGACCCTTTGCGCCATGTATCAAAAGCGACTTCTAGCAGTCGGTGAAATTATTGCATGTAAAAAAAATCTCCTCAAGTACCTGCAATAATTCCGCGAACTGCTAGAGGCCCTCATTGACACGTGTGGTGGCATTATGCGCGCCTATGGCTGCATCACTAAAACGTGAGGGAGTAAACTTTGTAAAGAAGGGTGCACGTTCGCCAGGGATGAAAATATTCTTCTGAACACCTCAGGTACGAATTATTACACTTCTAGAAAGGGTTTGGTGAAAAAACTGGAACGAAAATTTATGCGTTTTAATGATGTTTGTTTAATTTTTCGTTACTAAACATATTTTCCTTGATTTTGTTCTTACTATCAGTTCTAACCGTCCAGAAAACAACTAGACGTGAAGAATGGATCATATAGAAAATATTGCAACAACTAGTTCTGTAATTGCTTGCGCTATTTTTACTTTAAACGCCAATGTTTACACCCATTCCTGCCTATATTTAATCCAGCATATCTACACAGTTCGCCTGGAGTATTGCGCAACTACATCGCATGACGTAATGCGGCACCTGGACTTAATGTATGCATATTTTTGAGCCTCGTTATAAGACGAAATCCGCTGTTTTGATTGGTCCTCCTTTTAATTGAATTAATTCTCAGCTAAGACCTGTCAAATGGCCGTTTTATTGAAAAACGTTTGAAAATCTAAGACTTGCTTCGCCACAAGCGGCCTTTTAGTCACAAATTGCAATAACTGGCAATTGTCGCAATAACTGTAATGTTTGTAAGTTGTCATCTACTAGTTACTGGCTAGAAAATGTTCTTATCGCAATCAAAAGATAAATGGCAATGATCATTTCTTGAAAATGTTTTCTCCTAATTTATAAAGTTGAGGATGAGTGAAATTTCAATTGAGAATTTCGAATTCGTAAGATGAAATCCAGAATTAAGTATTTTTTTTTTAAATTTCTGGCTTGTATGTGTAATGATTTCCTATTGGCCTGTCATTTATCTTATGTTAACTTGATTATCGAATGCAAATTTTGTTCATGATTTACAGGTGGCATGACACGTGCGTGAAACACACCTTTCCAAGATGGCGAGCGTGCATGGGGAAGGAAAGAACGAGCGGTTAAAAATTCCGCCCAGGAAGACGCGCCACGTCCGCTTTGGTGGTAAGTTGTACTTTAAATTGTCGTAGATACTCTCCGGACTATCACAGATAAATCTCCTTTGAGTTAAATGAAGCAAAAAGACAGAATTTCGAAAATAAGTGGCGGCAACTGTCCCCCACGAGTTAACGCTGCACTTAGTTAAGTAACCGATTGGGGCGCATTTGCGTGGTCGATAAAAATGCACTTTTATTTATTCAAATGTTCATTCAGTTTTTTTGCACCGTACCCACCACTTCTTTGGTCAATTACTATTCAATGAGGGTGAAATTAAGGATCCTGAAATAGAAAAACTACACCAATCTTAGAGGTGCACTTTGTAAATAATCCGCTAAGGGGTGCTTTTATGTAACCCCTGACTTGAACAGCATTGCTTGAAACTTGGTATGTTGTAGTTTTTGTCCTGTGTGTTTTGGTCAAATTCTATGCGTTTCAATGTAAAACAAAAGTGTTCCGAGGCCGATAGCATACAGAGAGGACACGATAGTACCGTTTGTGTAGAGGATGACATGGATAAGTAAAGTAGTAAAGTAGATCTTCGGTCATGTAGGATTTTCTTCTCCAGTTTAGACCGCTCCTCATACGGTTGTCACTGTTGGCTTGTGTGGATGGTCCAGTGCCTTGTAGCTGTACTTCACTGGGTGATATTCCATGTGCTTGTCAAATCTTATCTTGAAAGCTGTAACTGTTGGCGCACTGACGACTTCTTCAGGTAACTCGTTCCACCATGGGACTATCCTATTACTAAAGAATAGTAGTCTTTTGTTTGTCTTCGTTACAGTCCTTTTTAGCCGTAAGTTGTGGCCTCTAGTTCTTGTCTCCCTCTGTCTATCAGGTATGCACGGTGTTGTGTCGTATAGACCATGTACAAACTTAAAGGTGTTAATGAGGTCTCCCCGTAACCTCCTGTACAGCAGGGTTGGTAACTTCAGGACTCTCAGCCTCTCTTCATATGATAGATGTTGTATGCCCGGGACTCTTTTAGTTGCTCGTCTTTGTACCTGTTCGACGAGTTCTGCTAGTTTCCAGGTACCCGGTGACCATGTAGACACCCCGTACTCAAGATGAGGTCTGATCAGCGCCTTGTATAACATGGTAAATACATCTTTGTCCACATGTTCGAAGGTACGCCAGAGTAGACCTGTCATTCTAGTTGCCTTAGACACAGAAGATGTAACATGTTTGTCGAATAACAATTCATGGTCCACAATTATTCCCAGATCTTTCTCCTGTTTTGTGAATTGTAGGTCCACTGTGTCTGAGTGATCGTTGTCTCTCATGGTGTACTTGTGGTCGGGATGATTTTTTCCAATCCTCATTGCAGTACATTTCTGGGGATGGAACTTAAGTTGCCAGGTACTGGCCCAGTCCTGTAGTTTGTCCAGGTCGTTTTGAAGTTCCTGACAGTCCTGACTTTCACCCACACTACGATACAGTTTTGTGTCGTCTGCGAAAAGTTTCAGCGTGCTGTCGACTACCTCCGGCATGTCGTTTACATATAATGTAAACAGAACTGGTCCCAGTACACTGCCCTGGGGCACTCCACTACTGACGGGAGCCCAGCTTGATCTGGATCCATTTACCACTACTCTTTGTTTACGTCCAGTGAGGAAAGAACCAATCCATTGGAGTGGTTTCCCCTTTATCCCGTAACTTTCTGTTTTGATCAGCAGACGCTGGATGGGTACAGAGTCGAACGCCTTTTGATAGTCCATATAAATGACGTCGACTGGCATGTCATTGTCCAGCCATTTTGTCCAGTCCTCTAAACATTCTAGCAGTTGGGTGGTAGTCGATCTGCCGGGTAAAAACCCATGTTGGTGCTCGGTAAAGAGGTTGTTTGATCTCATGTGGTTTACTATGTCGTCTCTGATCATTCCCTCCATGATTTTACCTGCTACTGACGTCAGACTCACTGGTCTGTAGTTACCAGGTAACCTCTTGCTGCCCTTCTTGAAGATCGGTGTAATGTCCCCCACTTTCCAATCGCTTGGTAGGTTACCTTCTTGGAGCGACCTGGTAAATATGACAGACAGTGGCTTCGACAGGGGTTCAGCTAGTTCCTTTAGAATTCTTGGATGGATTCCATCTGGTCCCATTGACTTATTTTGGTTGACGTTCTTGAGTCTTTTATACACTCTATCCACTGAAAGATCAATTTCTAACAAATCTGCATCGTACTGCTGTTCCTTTGCTTTTGGCATACTGCAAAGATTTTCCTTAGTAAAAGTACTGATGAAAAATCTGTTCAGGATTTCCGCCTTTGCAGCATTGGTTGTTGCCACTGTTGTGCCATCAGATAGCTCAGGTATCCCTTCACATGTTTTGGATTTCTGCTTCACATACTTCCAGAAAAGTTTTGTGTTAGTTTTTATATTCCTTGCCATTTCTTTTTCATAGTTTTTAAGTGACCTTCTTGTCGCCCCTCTAGCTTGGTTTCTTGCTTTGGTGTACTTTATATAGTCTTCTTCTGACTTCGTCCCACAGTATTTCTTCCAAGCTTTTTGTTTCCGGTTCAACTTGTTTACAACTGTCCTATTTTTCCATGGCAATTTTTGTTTCTTCTTGATTCTCTTACAGTCATAAGATAAGGTGATAGATTTGGAAGATAAGGTGATAGATTTGGAAGGAAGGGAGACAGACGACCGGTAAGTTCGAGTGGGGAGGGGGGCGGTAACAGAGTTGCTTTATGTATCAAAAACCATATCCAGGATAATGATATACGCCAAATAGTGCTCAGGAAGGTAAATTTGTCGGTAGAAAAGACACTAAAAATCCACCATAGCCTATTAGGTTAGGACTGTAAGAGAGGCGGTGTTTTGGTCTAGAACAGGTCATGTCAAGGACATAACTGTTAATGTCCTTGGGCATGTTAACCAGTTGTTGAGCGGTAAAATCCCAAACAGACTCTCGAACTTGACTTAAGTAAAATCTGAGATTGGAATTTTAAAATTTGTTCAAAAATCATCAGTGTTGATGCCTCTTGAGATTATTGCCGGTATCGGCAGTTGGACATTACCGGAAGAAGAAGATGACAATTGTTACAATACTACAGCTTCAAAATGAAAAACTACAGTCGATATTAACGTTACTTGTTCAAAATCACATTAAATTTGGAATCTACCATTATAAGCAACCAAGCTTCAACTTTGAGCTTGAAAAGTACATGAGCTACTATTAAAACTGTACATAACTTTCAAGAATTGTAACTTACACAGGGCTCGAAATACCCGGTGGCGCACTGGCGCGGCGCCACCTGATTTTGCTTGGCGCCACTTATTCCTAAACTCAGGTGGCGCAGCGCGCCACCTATAATTTGCGTGGATCGAGCCGCTAATCGCATGGATCGGGCCCCATTGTCGGCACAATCTTGTGAATTGTCGATGAATTGTCGATCTTGCCATGACGCCACAAAGAAAACGTTCTCATTGGTAGAAAATCAGACACCTCGCTGGCGTTTCACAACACAATTTTCATGTAAACAACTCCGACTGTCCTTGTTTACATGCAAAGCGCGCCGATACAAAATCCTGCCGGCCGCCCGACCGACCGCATGCGACGCTAAGTTTTCGGCGGCTCGGCGGAAAAATAATCCATCCCCAGAAGAAATTTTACGCATGAAAATACAACTACAACTTGTTTTCGTCGTTATATGAGTTTCTGAGGCCGTAAAATGTTAAAACGGTTGAAATTTGTCGGAAAAAACAGCTCGAAAGACAGAATGAAAATGGCCGACGCTGCTTCCAACAATGTGGTCAAAGGTGAAGATAGCATCCAAGCGTCCAAGATACATGTACTAGTATTACACACATGAAAAACATTTTTTCGGCAACGACAGAAATAAAATTCACTCGTATTTTTAAAAGGTTAATTTGTAAACATTACCGTGAAATTTTCCGAATTTATTGGTTTCTAGTGTCAGAATATAATGTTGTTTCTATGAATGTGCGGTTGGATGCTGTGGGGGCTTTTACAATTGGGAGAATCAGATATTAAGAGCATGCTTTCTTTCTTTCTTACTTTCTTTATTGAGTGTCTCTAAATTTTTTTAGTATGAGTTTATAGACATAATCACATTTTTATTTGTTCAGCTGTGTCAATATGTGATTTTGTTTGGGAAATATGATTGGGTTAAAAAGTTTGGTATATATTAATTATGTCCGTAACACCTTAGGAATACTTGCTCCAAGTTCCAGGTAATAAGTACATGTACAATTTGTATCATGTATTTTTCACTTGTTGAACTTGTGGAAGCACCGTTGGCCCCCGGTTAGGGGTCATCCGGGGAACCTATGCCCAAATTTTTTTTTAAATCAAGGGAGCTAATACCATTTTTTATTAGATTTTGAAGATTTGTCCGGGGGGTATGTTTATTCCGGGGGGTATGTTTATTTGGCAGATGAGAGTAACATTATCCTTGCGCAAACGAAGAACATGGCGCACGTAACACCAGTCCCGCATAAGTGTGCCGCCATGTAGAGGCGTGGCATTCCCACGGCGGCAGCCCTGTGATGAAGTGATGTAAAGGTGGCATTCTTTATTAAAACATTGTTGTTTGAGAGCTTTTGTGTTCTTTACATTACTTTATTTTATAACATAAAACTTAAGTAGTTAACTAGAAGAAAACGTAATAGATATAAGTAGCAGATTTGAAGAAAATGATAACTTGGAAGTGTTGCCACTTTAATACTGATGGCGCCACCTGGCTTTTGACTCAGGTGGCAACATGCGCCACCTGGCTGAAAAAAGTATTTCGAGCCCTGCTTACAAGATTAGAATTTAAGAATGTTTTTAGTATCTGGTGTCCTGCCTACTTCAAGTACTTGCTACAAGAAATTTTTAAGTTAAAAATTTCATGTGTTCAAAACTCACTAAATTCTTTTTAGAAAAGAATAATTATACATTCAGGATAAATCAAATTAATAGCAAATAGTCTTCGCTGGACCTTTAAAAGGTTTTCCTGAAACTTTAGGTTCTTCAAGAGGGAATCTACCAGATGAGATTAAACATAAGCCTAAGAGTGGCCCTGCCCTGCCTGATCATAATTGCTACTGGCCACTTCTGTACATGTTGGGTTCTTTGCCTTTAGTGGTGTTTTTACATCTGCATACATAGTGTTTGGCTGTAAGGCAGCTAGCACTTCATTATATGATAAATTCCCCACTTTTACAGATTCAATAGTAGCTTGACACTGATCCTGCCCTGTCTGATCATGACCACTGGCCATTTCTGTAGATAATTCGTCCTTTGTTGGTGTTTTGACATCTACATACATAGCGTTTGGCTGTAAGGCAGCTAGCACTTCGTTATATGATAAATACCCCACTTTCAAAAATGGAATATTAGCTCCTGACTGACCCTGCCCTGTCTGATCATGACCACTGATCTTTTCTGTCGATGCTTGACGTCCTTTGTTGGTGTTTTGGAGTCTGCGTACATAGGATTTGGCTGTAAGGCAGCTAGCACTTCGTTACGTGACAGATTTGCCACTGTGGGAAATTGAGCGTTAGACTTAGATTGGCCCTGCCCTGTCTTGTTATGACCACTGGTCATTACAGTAGCTGTAGTGTTTGTGTTTGTGTTGCATTCATTGTTGGTATGAGACTGACCCTGCCCTGTCTGATCATCATTACTGGTCATTACAGTAGCTGTTGTGTTTGTGTTGCATTCATTGTTGGTATGAGACTGACCCTGCCCTGTCTGATCATCATTACTGGTCATTACAGTAGCTGTTGTGTTTGTGTTGCATTCATTGTTGGTATGAGACTGACCCTGCCCTGTCTGATCATCATTACTGGTCATTACAGTAGCTGTTGTGTTTGTGTTGGATTCAGTGTTGGTATGAGACTGACTCTGCCCTGTCTGATCATCATTACTGGTCATTACAGTAGCTGTGGTGTTTGTGTTGCATTCAGTGTTGGTCTGAGACTGACCCTGCCCTGTCTGATCATCACCACTGGTCATTACAGTAGCTGTTTTGTACAGAGAATTTAGCTTTGATGCAGCCGGCTCTGTGCCATAAGATACATTTCTGGCATCGAGAGATTCAGTGATTGCCTGATACTGACCCTGCCCTGTCTGGTCCTGACCGCTGGTCATTATGGTAGCTGTTTTGTACACAGAATTTAGCTTCGATGCAGTCGGCCCTGTGCCATAAGATACATTTCTAGCATCGAGAGATTCAGTGATGGCCTGATACTGACCCTGCCCTGTTTGATCCTGACCACTGATCATTACAGTAGCTAGTGTTTGTAAAGATCTGAGACTGGGTCACAGCTTTGTATACAGAATTCTGCTGTGAGGCAGTCGGTCCTGTGGCATAAGATAGATTTGTAACATCCAATGATTTAGTCACTGCCTGGGACTGGCCCTGCCCCGTCTGATCATTACTATTGGCTATCTCTGAAGATGCGTCGTCCTTTGGTGGTGTTTTTACAGCTACATACATAGTGTTTGGCTGTAAGGCAGCTAGCACTTCGTCATGTGATAAATTCCCCACTTTCACTTTCAGAGATTGAATATTAGCTTGAGACTGGCCCTGCCCTGTCTGATCATGACCACTTGTCGTTACAGTAGCTGTGGTGTTTGTGTTGGATTCAGTGATGGCCTGAGACTGACCCTGCCCTGTCTTAACACGAAGTTTGTCAATATCTTCATACTGGTTATCATCACCACTGGCCATTACAGTAGCTGTTGTGTTTGTGGTGGATTCAGTAATAGCCTGAGACTGACCCTGCCCTGTCTGATCATGACCACTGGCCACTACAGACGCTGCTGTGTTTGTGTTGTTCCCAACAACAACAGCGGGATTCAGCCCTAATGGAGGAGTGGTCCTCCTTTTGTACCAAATTACAGCCAAGAAGGTCCCAATAAGGACAATACCAGCAACTGGACCACAGACTGAGCCTATGAGGACAGGTAGAGGGGAACTTGGAGCAGATTCTGGCTTGTAAGTGATCGCAAAGGGGGAAGTTAGTGTTGCTCCTGATTTACTTGTTTTTTCTGCAGGATTTGCTGTTGAGCCAGCGGTGGTTGTAAAGACTGATGGGCTAGTATTGCTTTCTGTGTTACCAACTGAAGATAGTGTTGCTCTTGTTTTGCTTGTGTTTTCTGCAGGATTTGCTGTTGAGCCAGCGGTGGTTTTAAAGACTGATGGGCTAGTATTGCTTTCTGTGTTACCAACCGAAGGTGTTGACACTGCAGCAGAACAGCTACCAACAGTTAGTGGTGATATGGTTGGATCTTTACACATCAAGTCTTTAGGATCGACACTTTCAAGCTTCTGTCCCTGAAGTTTGGCGGGTTGGGCACAGATTATCTGTTTTTTAAGTGCAGGGATTAGCCAGACGGGAGCCATCCTACAGTCACACTGCCAGGGGTTCCCGCCAAGTTCTATTTTGTAAGGAAATGGGGACAAGCAGAAAACTGACTGGGGAATGGCCGTCATCTTGTTGTTCTTAAGTCCCAAACGATGTAAATTTTGCAGATTTTCAAATGCACCAGAATGGATGGTAGTTATCTGGTTGCAGGACAGGTGCAAAAACTTTACCTGTGTCAGATTTGCAAATGTATCAGAATCGATGGTAGCTATCTGGTTGCCTGACAGGGACAATTTTTGTAGCTTGGGCAGATTGGCAAATGTACCAGAAGGGATGTATTTTATCTGATTGTTAGCCAGGTACAATTTTTGTAGCTTGGGCAGATTTGCGAATGTACCAGAGTGGATGGTGGTTATCTGGTTTTCTAGAAGATATAAATCTTGTAGTTCGGGTAGATTAGCAAATGTACCAGAAGGGATGGTAGTTATATTGTTGATAGGCCGCGAGTGAGTGAGGTACAACTTGGACAAATTCTTATACCGTAATAGCCCAGACCTGTTTACAGTTTTAATAGGGTTATAGCTTAACTGTAACACAGAGATGGATGCTGGGAGGTTCTGAGGGATGTTGGTGAGGTCTAGGTTGTTGCAATTGCAGAATGATGATCGACAGCTGCAGACAGCTTCTGGCATGTTGGGCTCCTTCAGGATGATGAGAAGGAAAATCAACAGGTGTCGCAGCTTTCTTCCCATGGTGTCCTGCCCCCTAAACAGAACGGCAAGCTCCTCAGTAAGGCCACTCCAACTTTATGTTGGACCTCGAATTTTAAAGAAAAAATGAAAACTTGAATATAAACAAAAGGTCCCAGGTTAAACCACTTGGTTTGTAGAAGAGAAAAATTTTTGCTACACTCCAATTGCCCTCCCGTGACTTTGTTTTGTCCCACTTGGTAAATCATGAATTCCTCTAAAATGTCATAGAACAAAAAATTAGGTTTCGAGTGGATTGTAAAACATCTGTAGGTGTCCAGTGTGACTTCGTTTTGCCCCTTGTTTTCTATTTATTTATTTATTTTATTCATTTATTTAATTATTTAAATTGCCAACAATACAAAAATTGCAATACAGTGGAAGCCCTGGCAGCTGAGCTGATGTCGGGCCCCACATTGTGAAATACATACATACAATTGTTTTCTGCTAACTATATATTATTGTTTCTGCTAACTATTTATGTAGGATTGAGACAGTGGCAAGATGCCTTTGGGGTTAGGCTAGGGTTGACTTAGAATCTGAAGGTTCTGGGTTCGAATCCCTGCAAGGTTGTATGTACATATATCATCATTAGAGTACGGCGTATTTTAGATTTGTCGCTGGGACCCGTGTTGATGATAACTCCCGGTAAGGCCACACCAATTTAATTTCTTGGTTAACGGATTCGCCGCTTCATTTTTTTCTGATTTGCAAATAAAAATAAAAATCCAGAATGAACTGCAAAATGCTCATATTTTTCCCTGAACAGTTGAAAACAGTCCTTTTCTTCGTAGTTGTTACAGTTATTCCATCCTTCAATGCAATGGTATCATTAAAAGTTCAAAATTCATTGTTTAAATTTTGAACCAGCCTGGTGTGTTGGCTTCATGGCTCCTATCGTACCATTTTGGGCCATAATACGATGCCTAGGCCTGTTTTTATTTTTATTTTTTTTTCGCCCGCCCGCTCCATTATTTTTCTAGAAAAATCCGTTAACCAAGAAATTAAATTGGTGTGGCCTAATGAAAAATACGCATCCCCGTCACATAAAGGATTCTGACAGCCGCAGCCGAAACTACAGAAAACAGCCCGTAAACTACCCGGCGGGGCCCCTGTTTCCAGTTGTTATTGTATGTTAATTGTCTGAGACTTGCTGCTTGAATATGGATAGTGTGTACTCCTGCTTATGGTCATGTTTGGACCTCCTAGACAAGGAAATCAACAGAAGAGTAAAAATTGTACACTTCACTTTAAGAAAAAAGTTCCTATTTCTGAAATATCTTCTTTAAAAAAAATAGCCATTATATATAGGAGCTACATGCACTCTACTGAATAATGCAATTGTTGCCGTGTTCACTTTGTAAAGCCTTGTGTTGGCAAAATGGTTGAAACATTTTTAAAGCCTTTAAAACGTTCTAAACAGTCATCAGTGGCTTAGCAAAGTGTCATGATGGTTTATCTGTAGTTCTGGTTCTAACAGAATTTTCACCAATAGCGCCACGTCACCAATTGCAAATAAAACAATCATGGCGCAGCACCTCTGTTATCTTTGTTAGAACACCTTTTCCCAAGCAGATATTAAGGTGGAAATTCTGATGTCCAGACTTCTCTGTCAGCTATCTACCATTGTCGTCAGTCAAAAAAAGACAAATATGCCCCCGTCACATCTACTTGGAGAATTAACTTCTGATTGCCAGCCTAGCCTGTGAGCGTGTGGGCCAGTGACAAACTACCTAAAAGATATTTTACGTGAATTATTTATCCACTCGCAGATAAATACCTTCAAGTCGGTCAGAATAGCTTAAGGTGACACTTTTTTGACAGAGACACGGGCACAGGTTGCTGTTGTTCTTGTAGGGTGTGTCAGACTCCTTCTGTAGCTGATGAGAAATGGCGTGTGACAAACAATCCAGGATCGACATTGCGTAAATGGTAGAGTTAATTGTCTGAAGCTAGCTTTTGAATAACATTAATATCTATGATTACGACGAAAATTCTATTCATGATGCAGGTCCAGAGATGCATATTTACTTGTTTTCGTCACATGTTACGTATTACCAAGCCGCTACTTGTATATAGGAAATTTTCTGCAATTAAGTATGAAAATTATATAATGTACAGTGCTCAAAATTTACTGAGGAGAATAGTTTGTAGTGATTATCTGATTGTTGACTATTTTGAAGCAAACTGAAAACAACAGACCACACACAAGTTAAATACTAGTCCAAACTTAAATTTGCCAGCACTTTTGAGTTAAATTTTCCCACCAAAAAACTTAATTGTCACATTGGACCTGAACACTTGGTTGATGAATTATGCAAAAAAAATTTTTGTTGAAATCCTGCCTGCCAAAAACACTCAGCATAATTGGGACCCTAAAGTAGATATTTAATTATGGGTTCACCACACCACGAAGTGGTGGTGAACCCATATTGCTTTTTCTGATGTTTCTTCTCCTTCTCCTCCTTCTTCTCCTGCCATTTTTTAAATGGATTCAGCTTCTTCATTTTAGGGCCTAAGGTCCTGAAATTTGGTATGGAGGTACAGTGGGCAAATACCCCTAGGCGTTTTTTAAATTTTTGTGATACAGGCTTTTAGAATGGATTTATTTGAGTTTTTTGGCTGTGTTATATCAAATGTATTACTGTGTTAGTGTGCCGTGTTTACCATGAGTCATCACAATGGAATGCAGGGCATCAACCAATAGGCATGCAGCTTTCCTCTATACTTCTTGCTGATTGGCTGTTGGGATTTAACTTGATTAACACCTGCACAGAGCATTTCTTGCTGATTGGCTGTTGGGATTTAACTTGATTAACACCTGCACAGAGCATTTCCATACTGACAGTATGTCTTTATTCAAGTGTTTTGGTAGGTATTTCAAGCTTTTCTGCTCCAGCATTGGAATGCGGGGCATGAACGTTTTTTTATTTATTTTGAAAATCAACAGTTTGCATTATGCAATTAAAAATCCTAACCAATAAAGTAGGGAATAGCTATCCAACTGTTGTTTTAGTTGTATGTTACTTCATATTATAGTTATATCAATGTAAATCATTGTTTTCCCTTGTGTTTCTCATTCTTTCCCTGCCATGTCGTAAAATGTGGTGAACCCATCGCTGTATTTGCTCCAAAGCAAATATTGGCCTTTCTAGTTGGATTTAAGTTTTCCCGCCTTTACAGGCAGCATTTAGCTCCATTCTTACTGTCATAAACTTGCATGTTGCGTGACATAATATTTTGCATTAGTAAGACCAACTGCTGTCAATACAGTGACTTTTTTTCTTTGTCTTCAAGATGCGGACCCGGAGACTGGACTGCAGCAGGAGGAAGAACCAGACTTTTGTAGGCAGGACTGCGTGAAAGAAGATGGGGAGGTGTGAGTATGGTTTCTTTATTAACACGAGACAACACTCCACATGCACATACTTGCACTCACATTTCTCTTTTCTCTTGCACTAACATTTCTCTTTTTTCATGCAACGTTTATTGTAGCCGGCGACTTCAATTTCATGTTAAGCAACACTGAAAAATTCTTCACATTGTATGTTTGAATGCCAAATTGCCCCTAAATTGTTGCTTCAGACCTTTATACTTAAATTCTTCCGCTGAAAAACTTTGCACCTAAGCCGGCTGCATGAATTCCACATTGTTATCCTCTTCATATTGTATGCATCCCAGATTACCCCCAAAATTGTCGCTTTAGACCTTTACACTTAAATTTCTTAGTCATCCTCATCATATGAATGCCAAATTGCCCCCAAAATTGTCGCTTTGGACCTTTACACTTAAATTCTCCCACCGAAAATCTTCGTATTACAGCCGGCTGCATTGTTGTCGTTGCCCCCAAAATTGTTGCTTTAGACCTTTCTGTACACTTAAATTCTCCTGCCAAAAAACTTGTCCTAATTCCTTGTTCAGTCCATTTTCCCGCCAAAAAAAAATTAAATGGCACCCTCACCTGGTTAATTAATTGGATTAAGTTTTCCCGCCAAAAAACTTAGTATACAGACAACTCTAACCTTGAACTTGTGCCCCCCTCCCACAACTCAGTTACACTGTTCTCTGGACTTCTTCGAACATGTAGTCATCACACTCTTCTACACAAACACTTTGTTGATTGAGTGCAGTTTTTCTACCACTTAGACTTTAGAATAGTCTCTCACTCTCCTGGTCGGTCAATTGCACTGGTATACTGATGTGTCGAAGCATCAATGTCTCCGAAAAGACATCCCCCGGGGAGTACACTTAGTGCATTGACCGACCAGGAGAGCGAGAGATTATTCTAAAGTCTAAGTGGTGGAAAAACTGCACTCGATCAACAAAGTGTTTGTGTAGAAGAGTGTGGTGACTACATGTTCGAAGAAGTCTAGAGAACAGTGTAACTAACATACTCTGAGTTGTGGAAGAAGTGGGCAGGAAGAGTGGGGAGGGAGGCACAAGTTCAAGGTTAGAGTGCTCTATATACTAAGTTTTTTGGCGGGAAAACTTAATCCAATTAATTAGCCAGGTGAGGGTGCCAATTAATTTTTTTTGGGCGGGAAAATGGACTGAACAAGGAATTAGTGTGAAATTAATACAAAGATAGGCAGGTTTTTGGCAGGAGAATTTAAGTGTACAGAAAGGTCTAAAGCGACAATTTGGGGGCCAATTTGGCATTCATACGATACAAAGACTAAGGAATCAATGCGGCCAGCTAAGATACGAAGTTTTTCGGCAGGAGAATTTAAGTGTAAAGGTCTGCAAGCAACAATTTAGGGGCAATTTGGCATTGAACCATACAAATGAACAATTTTTCAGTGTCGCTAAGCTTAACATGAAATTGAAGTTGCCGGCTACAATAAACATTAAATGGAAAAAGAGAAATGTGAGTGCAAGTGTGTGCATGTGGAGTGTTGTCTCGTGTTAACAAAGAAACCATACTCACACCTCCCCATCTTCTTTCACGCAGTCCTGCCTACAAAGTCTGGTTCTTCCTCCTCAGCTGCAATCCGGTCTTCGGGTCCACAACTTGAAGACAGGGACAAAAGTCACTGTACTACTGACAACAGCAATTGGTCTTACTAAAGCATGACATTACATGTATATCATACAACATGCAAGTTTACGACGATAAGTTGTAGCTGAATGTTGCATTTAAAGGTCCAATGCGCTGCAAAAGGAATCCATAAAAGTGTGACGTACTGTATCTCACATGACAAAGTGCAATGTGGGACCAAGGAGGTTATACTGGAGACACTATAACCTCTTTTGTAGGACTAATTGTTTGAAGATGTGAAGATGTCTTTTGGTCTAGAAAAGTGTGACATACTGTGTAATTAAAAGCAGTGCAAGATTTACTGACTGAACAAGTGGATTATGTATTAGCATGGGTGTGTTGCTGAGCAAATAAACTATACTCACAAGTGAGTCACAACTGTGCCCGCTGTCTTCATTTCCTTCTGCATCTTCAAGTCAACTGGTTTCTCCCAGAACAGACAGCCGACCCTCGGGACACACCTAACAATATGAAAGGATAATAAGTGTGATGGAAAAACATCATGCAATTCAACTATCCCATTGATTGAATAGACTTTGAAGGAGTTAGGCTCCACAAAACTGCTTTTAAACATGTTACAATGTACTTGTAGCATTTTACACGTTAGAGTTCTTAACATACTAGTACATGTGAGGACAGGAGTAAGTTGTAAAAGTTGCTTGAATACATGTACAAAAATGTAGGTTTTTAAAAGTGTTTAGTAACTGTTACTGGCAGAATGTTATGCCACAGTTCATAATACATCCAAGAGAAAAGGAAAAATGAAGTTTTTAAGTATTGTCTCACCTGCATGGACAGGTACAAACTCCTGATCTGGCCTGGTTTACACAGAAGTCAACCGTCATCACAGATTTCTCCCAGTCAGGACAGGAACGTCAAGAAACGCAAAACTAAGGATGAAAGGATAATTACTGTAGTATGATGCAAAAACATCTTAGATAACACTGACTAACCATCAAAGATACTAGTAATCATAATGCTTGAATAGCTATAGAAAGCGTTTGGCTATGGAAAGGTGTTTTTAAACACATTACTGGTTGTGTGTTATGCCTCAGGGTTTGTAACAAATCAGAAAAAGGTTTTAAGTTGTAAAGCGTTGTTTCACCTGTACAAACTCTTCACTGTGTCTTCAAGTCAACAGGTTTGCCAAGACATCATTTGGTCTGGTGTGGACAAAAGTTGTCCATCATCACGTTTCTCCCACTCAGGACAGGGACCAGGTAAAGATGCACTCTTGTGACCTTGTACTTTGCCTCTTCCTAGAAATGTAGACAAGTGCTTATATACCAGACATTTATTCAAGTAAGCGAACACAAAATTAACCTGAAAGATGTTTTGCTACATGTGTGTTATTTTTATGAAGTGTAAGACGTAAGGGAAGAGTGCTAGAGTTAAACAGATTTTCTAAAGCATTGTCTCACCTGTGGATGTTGTTGTTGTCATCTTGCTCTTGTATCTCTAAATCACCCATCTGGTCCAACCTTCTCTTGTCAGGTTCAGACAGTAGTCCTCCCTACTGCATCAGTCAGCAGCCACCTAACTATATAAACATTATAAGTTACACACTTGTCTCAAATAACAAAGTAAATAGTAGGTTGAATGCAGAATTCAGATTTTTCTCACCTGAGAGTCATCGTCAGTCTTCAAATCACCTGGTCTGGTCCAATCTTCTCTTGTCAGGTTTATGAAGAATTCACCACTACTGCATCAGTCAGCAGCCACCTAACTTACAGACAGTAGAAGTTACACACTTGTCTCAAATAAGACCAAATAGTTATAGGTAAAATGCCATGTTGGGATTTTTCTCACCTGATATTCCTCTTCGGTACCAGTCTTCAAATCTTCTGGTCCAATCTGTCTTCTTAGGTTCAGACAGTAGTCTTCACTCCTGTATAAGTCAGCAGCCACCTAACTATACAGACAGTAGAAGTTACACACTTGTCTCAAATAAGACCAAATAGTTTTAGGTAAAATGCATAATTGGGATTTTTTTCACCTGATATTCCTCTTGAATCTTCAAATCATCTTGTGAGGTCCTATCTGTCTTGTCAGGTTCAGACAGAAGTCTTCAGTACTGCATCAGTCGGCAGCCACCTGACTATAACAGACATTAGAAGTTACACACTGTCTCAAACACATGAAGTAAATAATAGGTTGAATGCAGAATTCAGATTTTTCTCACCTGATATTTCTCTTGGGTCTTCAAATCATCTGGTCTGGTCCACTCTGTCTTGTCAGGTTCAGACAGGAGTCCTCACTACTGCATCAGTCAGCAGCCACCTGACTATACAGACATTAGAAGTTACACACTTGTCTCAAATAAGACCAAATACAGTGTAATTGTAGGTAAAATGTCATATTGGGATTTTTCTCACCTGATTATATGGCTGATATTCCTCTCTGGTCTTCAAATCATCTGGTCCAATCTGTCTTGTCAGGTTCAGACAGGAGTCTTCAGTACTGCATCAGTCAGCAGCCACTTAACTATGCAGACCTTAAAAGTTACACACTTGTCTCAAATAATATCAAGTAAATGGTAGGTAAAATGCATAATTGGGATTTTTCTCACCTGATATTCCTCTTGGGTCTTCAAATCATCTGGTCTGGTCCAGTCTGTCTTGTCAGGTTCAGACAGAAGTTCTCACTACTGCATCAGCCTTCATCTAAGCATACATAACATTATAAGTTGGACACTTGTCTCAAATTAAAAACTAGCAATGCACACACACACACACACACACCTTAAATATCTTTACTTTAAAACAAACACATACCTAAACGAAAACTCTACATAATGACCAACTGAAACTTTATGTGGAATACGCAAAATTCTCTTCTACCTCCATGCTACCTTCAAGAATAGTCATCTGTAGTGTTTGCGCCAGAAATATGTGGGCTTGATCATTACTATTCATTGATATCAGAATTACTCTAAAAAGGAAACGAGCAAGCTTTTAAATTATAAATGATACATTGCCAATGATAATGAAGAACGAATTTCAAAGTATGGTCAACTCAACTTTGTACATGTACTGAAGCTTTGGGGCCACCATCTTGTTTACGCAAATTTTTGGCGGGAAAAATAACTAATTATGTAACGTTACACGGCCACATTCCAACACGTGTTTTGAACCACGTGGAGATAAAGAGAGAAAATGGTTTGGTCAATGCAGAATTTTTTTCGACAAATATAACCTCAAAACGCTGAACAACCGACAAAAAAGACATGCACATACACTCTACAAGTGCACCACACATTGAAAATGTTGTTGAAAACGCGGCAACTTGATGGACTTTTGTTATTAGCCTATGTAAAATTATGAACGGTCGCTACCTAGTACAGAAATAGTTCATTTCTTACGGAATATGTTGACATGTTCGTACTAGTTCCTAAGGAATAATGTCAGCCAAAAAATGTACTGGTTTACCTGAAACTATGAGCGAAGTCGTCTCTCTTCCCAACTGTCTCGCCATTTTTGTCTTCTCCAAAATTCGCCAGGTCAGGAAATCCGCATTTTCTCCTCAAAACATCACCTGAACGGCACAAATCCTCGGCGAAAACTCCCAAACATTCTGCTGCACATTTATGAAGACATTCTACCGACGAAAACGTTTAAAAGTACCCAGAAAGTTGTGAAAAAATCAGCCCAGAGTATTCCCGTCGTACGAAATCGCCATTTTGAACGGACGATACCAACCTGTTTTTACACAGGTGTGCAGAACGGCCGTGCATAATTAATGTGAAGTTGATAATCTAATTATGACGACCAATGACCGCCCGGCCCGTTTCGATGCCAGGCACTTATATGTGTCAAAGAAGGACGATTAGATTATCTAATTACGAAGGATACTAACGTTGATGTCAATCTCGGTAAAAAAAAAAGGATGAAAATACCACTGCCAGCTTCACAAATAAAAGTTTTCAAGAATAAGCTGTTATGTGGCCACAGTATGAAACATATCACTCTTGCCCAATTTTCCTATCAACTGTAAATTTATTTGCTTTTTCGCGAGGACTTTATTCCGTTGTAGAATAAGGCCACACCAATTTAATTTGTTGGTTCTCGGATTTAAAAAAAAAAAAGCGACAGGGCACAAAAAAAATAAAAACAGGTCTAGGCATCCTATTAAAGCTCAAAATGCTATAGTTGGAGCCATGAAGTCAACACAAAAGGCTGGGCTAATATTTAAACAATGAATTTTGAACTTTTAACTAGAAACTTAAGGTAACATTTGCAAAGCAAATGCATAATGTTTATCTTTGCATATGGTCTGCTCTGTTAATTCTCACTCAAACACATTCACATACATGTAATACTATTATATGGTGACAGGAGCAGAGCAGACCATGAAATTGCGATATTATGTAACCCAACACGTCACCATGGTGACAGGCTTCAACAAATCATGTCATTTGTCAAGTCATAGGTCACTGTTTGGAGAAGAAATTGAGCAAAAACAATAATCAAGTTCTCCATGTTTATAGACAAAGATCACTTCTAATTGGTAAAACGCAAAGGAAACTTTTCATTTATGACTTAATATCTGCCTTGTGAAAATTGTTAGGTATGTATTGTTATTGATTTTGATTGTTGCCATTATTGACAAACAATGCCAAAACGTTCAAACCCCTTTGTCTGTCTATTTCCCAATTCCCAAAAAGATAAATCTTTCATGTTTGAAAAAAAGTTTTAGCTTATGCTACTAACACAATCAACTTTCCTGCTGAGTGTTGATCATATCCTTCTAACCCTAAGTACATGTATCTTACAATATCTAGAATCCTGCCCTAACCATTGTACAGTATGTATACAAGAGAACAAGACAGAGACACAGTGCTGGTGTGAAACAGTAGTTTTACTTCCCAAAGTTGCTGATGGTTCACATTCAAGGCATCTTTCAGCCTCAACACAAAACAGAACACATGTTCACACCGGTTATTCAGATAACACTCATTCCAAGAGCTGACCTCGCCGCAGTTTCCCAACAAGATCGTCTCCCTTTTTTTCAACGTATTTTGCGGTGTTTTTTGATACATTTTTTCCATTTTTATGCCTCCTCTAGTTACCGTATGGTTTCTTCTTCTCTTCTGCTTGAGATCGAAATTTTTTTCCGGTGTTTTACGATTTTTTTGGTCTTTTTTTACGACTATCATTCCCGCAAAACTGTACGCCTTGCCTGGCTGCACCTTTTCAAACGTAAGATTAGTTTTACAATTTTTTTTTTTACAAAAATAGCATAATGAAACATGAAGCTATTAACAGTTCAACCCTGTGATCCTAGGATGTTATAAATGATTAAAAAACTGTCCAACATTATTTTTTCTCAACAATCATGACCAGTTAAATACTTCAACAAACCCATGCAGATTAGTAGTAGTAGAACGCAGCTGCTGTTAAAAACACTCTGATGTGGAATAACCAAGACAACTACAGTGGTACGTGTAGAAATACAGGCTTAGTTTACCATCTCACTGGCATCCTGGCTGTCTTTATCAGTTTTGTTGGATTTTACTACAAAAATATCCTGCCAACTCCACTTCTGTTCTTGAAAGAAGAGGCATTCCTTGCTTTAAGAGGTTGTTAACAACAAAGGAACAAACATGGAAAAAATTCTCATATGGCCTGATAGACACGGAGATGTTTCGATTGACAGCTTTCATACAAAAGGTATAATAGGTTCAGAACTGTAAAACACTCATTCACACTCGGCTAACGCTATTTTTGCATTTAAAAGTTTTAGTTTTACCCATGCGTCAACTTTCCATTTTATCTCTTCGCCCAGTTCGGGGTACAGTTTTCCACGGGAAGGAATTACTTGCTTGCTTGCTACTCTAGGTTTTTAACGTTAGGTTCCTCGCGAAACTTGGTGTGGATGGTAGGGGGCGCTGTTACTCTGCGACGCCAGCGCGGGCGGCCTGCTCCTTGGCTTGGTGGGCCTGAAGCACGGCCACGGCTTCTTCAACCTGCAGGGGGAAACAGGAAGACTTGCTCAGTATCAGACAACAACTACATCAATGCTGGGACAATAGGAAGAATATAGTTAATTTTGAGGCCTGGTGTGCTACACCTAACCCTAAAGGCTGTTTACTAGTTGTGCAAAACAAACAAACAAACAAACAGAACGTTGCTGACCTTGGCCTTGAGAGACTCGCGGGACTCGAGCATGTGCAGCAGCTCGGCGTTGTCAATCTCCAGAAGCATACCAGTGATCTTACCCGCCAGATCCGGGTGGCTGTTCTGTAAACAACAACAACAACACAACAACAGGTTAACACACAGGTGCATCAGTGTGGTACAAGAATAGAAGAAACAATTGTTACATTTTTGTGCTACATCTATCTATCTACAGGATTTAACTACAGGATCTCTTCTCTCTTTTTGAAACACGTAAAAAAAATTAACATAGTTTTTCCTTTACATCGTAGCGCTTGGATGTCACAGTATGTTTGAACAATTCTATTTTCGGAAAGTATGTATATTTCTATTCTAACTGTAAGGAGCTAATAATAATCTAACACTGTTGAAAACTGTTGGTTAGTGATGCATACCGGTTCACTGGACTTGGATCCGGACTTGTAAGAATGTTTAGGTTCAAGTCCAAAAAAAGCTGAAAGTCAAGAACCGAGTCCAGACTTATTACCATAAAAGACCATTTCACATGCCTCTTTTCTTTCCAAACCACCTAAAACCTTCTGTAGATTGCAAAATCTTTGCTGCAAAATGAAGAAAACATTGCCATCGGGCATCGTCAAGTACCGGCCTCCATGTTATATATATTATGTGGCCAAAGTTTCACCCAGACAACATTGCAAGGTTGTCAACATGCAATTTTGTATATGCCATGGGTTTAGGTCTGGACTTACAAGTCCGGAACTGAACCTAAACCTGTGGACTTGAATCCGGACCTGAACCTAAAATTGGGTTTAGGTATGCATCACTAGTGTTAGGTACTGGTAACTAACCTGGATGAGGGGGAAGAGGCGTTCTCCCAGCATCTGTTTCTGTTCCTGAGGTGGTGCTGCAGCCAGCATGGAGGCCGTCAGGGGCTCCTGTCCCTGCACATGCACAGCCTGCTGGGGGGTCGACTGCTCCTGGACCTGGGGGGTAGGGGGAGGGGGGACGGAGGAGGGGGATTAGACAACCACTAGTGAAAATACAGGTCTGTATGGACTTTGGTGCACCCAAATATTTTACAATGTAAAGGTACTACAATTGTACATGTGCCAGAATAAATAATAAAATGTATGTTGTATTATATGTTTAAACTTTTAAAACAAATGAAAACTAGACAGGGCTGGAAATACTGGGTGCATGTGCACCTTAGTGCTCCAAATGTGGAGCTGTGCACCCAATTTCTTTCTGTGGGTGCACTGGACATTCTCATATTTTTTTTACGTTCGTAAAGATGTCAAATATATACTGGTAGTAAAAAAACAGCATATTCTTACTACTTAAAATAAAACAAATAATTCTTGTAGTGCTATCTTTAGAAATAAAGTTTTTGCTGACATTCTACTTATTTAATTTTATACGGTGCACCCAATTTTTAAGGTTGAGTGCACCAGTGCACCTATTCCCAAAAATGAATTTCGAGCCCTGCTAGCTAAATTTGGTTAACTGTTTTGTTATCCATAAAAAGTATACGCTTCATAGCTCCCCATGTGTATAATAATGTGTGTGCACACATTCCCAAAGAAATGGTCAGTTGGTATAGATGGTATACAGACAACACTAGTAGACATGGAAGGACATCCAACAAAGACAAGAATGGCTCGGTTCCACAAATGTAGATGCAAAGAAGACAGAAGAGAAGACACAGACTTAGGAAGAAACCAGGGACCTTCTTGAACAAGATGTCATATGCTGGGAGAATTTCTTTGTCCCAGGGTTAAGTTTGTATTATAACCATTGACTTAAAGTGTGATTTTACAAAATTGATATCTACCTGTTTTGTTTATGATAGAATTTTAAGTATTGTAGGGTTTTCAGACAAATGCCTCGTACGTGTCGTCACAAAAGACCTGGTCAGAAGGAACTTCTACCAGTCTGTTGTCAGACTCGTCATCGAATCATCACCAAACCCAAAAAAAACCTTCATATCGTGCAAGAGCACTTTTTTTTTAACTGCTAACTCCCGACACCCAACCCAAGCAAAGTTGTTCAAGAGAGGTCCCTGAACACTTTTCTACACTCGATGGTCAAGCCTCTTTCACATACATGATACAATCTACCATTGAAAATGGTTGAAAACATTCTGTATTACAGTACTAGCCAATGTGAAATAGTGCTGCAAACTGGTTCACTGGACTTGGATCCGGACTTGTAAGAATGTTTAGGTTCAAGTCCAAAAAAAACCTAAAAGTCAAGAACCGAGTCCGGACTTATTACCATAAAAGGCCATTTCACATACCCCTTTTCTTTCCAAACCACCTGAAACCTTCTGTAGATTAAGAAAACATTGCCATCGGGCATCGTCAAGTACCGGCCTCCATGTTACGTAGCCAAAGTTTCACCGACAACATTGCAAGGTTGCCAACATGCAATTTTGTATATGCCATGGGTTTGGGTCCGGACTTACGAGTCCAGAACTGAACCTAAACCTCTGGATTTGAATCCAGACCTGAACCAAAATGTGGGTTTAGGTATGCAGCACTAATGTGAAATGCACCATATTTGTGGTGTTAGGATTTTGTGGGTTACTGCAAATCTTTCAAGGTTTACAGTATATGTAAGAGGCTTGTTGAGGAATGCTGTAGACAGAGACATGTGGACGGGTGGACGCACCTTGCTGGACTGTGCGTACGAAGCCGGGCGGTACATGACCTACAGAAGCCGGGAGGTGGGGAGGGGGGAAAAGGAGAGGGAACAGGACAGAAGAGAGTCAACACCAATCCGCCTCGTGCTAGACTCCACGGAAAAAAAAACGTTTCCCACCGAGCTTCGGGAAACAGACTTTTGACATGTTTAGATCCTTCCTTCTTGTAAAATTTAGATAGAAGCATTGGGATCTTGTCTTTTGGAAAAGAAGTTTGAAGAAATTTAGGTACAGACAAAAAACAGGACTTTTGAACCTTGTTCAGGTCCTTCAGATATCTGGGTAGAAGCACTGCAAACTTGTCTTTTAAGAAAATTCTGAAGTCAGAATATAGAGGACTGTTCAGATGCTTTTTTCTTCCTGAATGTGTGTGAAATTTAGGTACAGACACTGGAAACAATACATATTTTTACCAGTATAAAACAAGATTTCAATTGACAGCTACAATTTGTTAGGATTTAAAAAGACCGCAAATATGCTCTTCCTTCTTTTTTCGGAGTCAGGTGGTAAGTTTCGTTTTGTGTTTACTGAATTGTGGTCTTCACATGGAGTCAAGCAAGGGACAGAAATTCCACGATTTCTGGTCAACACCACAGAATATTACAATGTATCCAACACTCATGCCAGATCACCTTTTTTCCTCTCCATTTTTTCTCAACTCTAGGCCAAAAAATTAGTTTCTTCACTTTTGTGGCTATGTTTTTTATAACCTTCAAGTTACAACAATGTACATGCAGGATGTCTCATTGGACGAAATTGGGAATTGTTTTTCTTAGGATTCTGTCATTTCTTTTATTGTATATGTAAGATTGTCATTATTGCACAATAAGTCATGATGCAATATTTTCGGACAAAGGAACCGGGAATTGACCATTTTGAACATGGTCGGTTTTTAAAGCCGTTTAACGAACACAGTCAAGCAGTCCAAAGTTAGGAGAGACTGTCATGCCAAAGTAAGGGAATCGTTTCTTTTACCTTTCCCCTTTCTAGTCAACTTTCAATTCCATTTGCTTCTTCCTGACGAAGAATTAGAGAAGACTGGCATTCATGTTGGACATGAGGATTTATACAACTTCTTCTGGGAGATTCCACCAGTCCCTAGCCTGGAACCCAGCCTACTCTAGCACAGCTTCGCTTCAAGAATTGCTTCCATGCAGAATAGTCTGGCATCCAGCAAACTTTTCTTTTTCCGTCTGTCACAATTTCAGGAAATAGTTCTCAGAAGCTTTTGAACTTCCCAATGCCTTTTCAAACTCCGTTACAGGGGCCATGTGACTCACAGCCAATCAGAACTCCAACATTTTCAAATGCCAACTGTTTCGCTATCGACAAGTGCAAGACTATTCTGCATGGCTCAGAATCCAAAGAAACAAACTGGAGCTAGAATACGATGGACACCTAGCTAAGCGACTGACAACATGCATTACGACGCTTCCGATCCGGACGAAAACACTACAATACGGGGAGAAAAGGGACAGAGATAGAAAGAGAGAGACACGTGTCTACACTCCACAACAATACATGCAGATGAGAACAGAACACACCCAGAAGAACAATGGTACAGTCCTGGTTCATATTCAGCTTGCTAAACTTTGGACTGCTACACACTTATGACGGGTGGTGACTGAATTTTTGGTGCAAAGACTGAACAGGCCTTGGAAAAAAGTAACTCCTACCATATCTAACCTTACTAGAACAGCTAACCTCAAGAACATCAAATTCAATCTAGACAATCTTAAATTCCAGTTAAAAATCTGAATTTATCTTCACAAGTAACCAACTCAGTGTAATGACCACATGCCCATTTGTAGCCACTTTCAGTGGTCCAGTCTACTTCAACCATTTTCTAGGTTTTTGACTGTACAATATCATATCCGCCTTGTTTTCTTTTCAAACTTTAAATCCCAATTCAAAGGTACAATTTACAAAATATTGGGCTATATCTTCACTGTTTGGTGTAGTAAGGTTACAGGTTCTAGAAGTGTGATCTCCAAGGCCTGTTGTATGGTGAAACGGTGATATCTGTACTTACAGACGGGTTCATGGCCTGAGGCTGGCCCCCGCTGGGCGGGTTGCGCATCGTGGCAGTGTACTTGTAGCCTGGACGGGGCTGCTGGTTGGCCATGGCGGCAACTCCCACACGGGGCTGCTGGGTTGGCGCAACACCTGGGAGGAAACAAGCCATTTCATTGGTTGGATGAGACATACAGGCCATTTCATTGGTCAAAACCAACAGCTGAGAAATCAAGCTGTTTCATTGGTCACACGTGGAGAAACGAGCCATCTCATTGGTCAGATGGGATAAGAAGCCACTTCGTTGGTCAAAAGGGATAAACAGGCCACTTCAATTGAAAGGAACTTCTTGATAATTGTAGGGTTTTCAGACAAATGCCTCGTACGTGTCGTCACAAAAAGACCTGGTCAGAAGGAACTTCTTCCAGTCTGTTGTCAGACTCGTCATCGAATCATCACCAAACCCATTTCACTAGTTTTGCTGTCTAAATTTTGTGACTTTCTTTAAGGCTAGTAAGGGAACAACAAAAATATTATTTTTCACTTCTCAAAGGTCTTTTGAGTCAACCGTATCAACCATACTTGCACTTGGGACAGTGCCTATCAAGTACAGGTAAGATTCCTAAAATTCCTAAAATTCCTAAACCACTCCGTGTGTGTGACCTCTCACCTCTCCCTGCCATGCGTTGAGCAGGTGGCTGCGTGGTGCGGGCCATGGCCTGCGGGGTCACCTGTCTGACGGCTGCGGCGGCTGCCCGTGGCGCGGCTGCGGTGGGGAAGCGTGACCCTGCGGCCGGCATGGCCTGGAAGGCGGTGGCCTGGGCACCCGGGCGCATCGGGGCGGTCTGCTGCCAGCGCGGGCTGGCACGCACCTGGGCCATCTGGCTGGGGAAGTAGCGCTGTGAGGGGTAAACAACAAACATGTAAACATAGAGAACAACAAACAAACACGCACAGAAAAAGCAGCAGTCGGCTAGCCTTCTTACGGCTACATGGGTAAGATTGTGTTAGAAATACCCATCTGCACTCTGCATTTTGCAGATACATTTTCAACATTGCGGAACAAAAATTAAGCAACCAACAATTTTGCAGACTGAGAAAATCAGGTAAGGGGTTCAACGGTGTTCATTGTTCAAAGCTTTTGTGTTTAATACTGACTCTAAGACAAGATACAAGCAATTTTGCATGCATGTTTCAAATTGCATGTAAAATGTTTGCCAACATGCAATTTTGTATATGCCATGGGTTTAGATCTGGACTTTTTTGCAGAAAGTATTTCCGAATTGCAGAAAAAATTTTTGACATTCTGCAATGTTGCAGAACACTGCACTTGATACATGCAATGAATTGTTATACTTCACACTGTCACAGCCACTGAACTTTTTGATCAGAACAAGTTTGATAAATTGAGGTAAAAAAGGGACCAGACTTACCGGCTGCATGGACGGCATGAAGTAAGAGGAACCCTGGAACATCTGGTTGGGCTGTGGCGCCGGCATACGCATCCCTGCCATACGCTGCATGTACTGGGACGCCAGCTGGGCCTTACGGTCCTCCTTACGCTGGGCCAGCGCCACGTACAGCGGCTTGGAGACCACGATACGGCCGTTCATCTCCGTCACGGCCTTGGTGGCCTCCTCGGGAGAGCTGAAGCACACGAAACCGAACCCCTTGGACCGTCCGTTCTCAGTCATCACCTAGAGAATTGGGGGGAGGGGGGTTTGAGAGTTAGAGGTTATGCTGAGGTCAAACCGGGGACCAACTGGGCAATTCTTCTGAATTAAGCAAATTCAATAACAAGCTTAAAGAAGAGATTTTTTTACTACATAATGTGAACACGAATCACTGCTTAACATCCAAGGACATCCTAAAACTACCAGTTGTCTTGTTAAAGCAGCTTTAACATATCAAAAAAGCAATGCCAGCAGTATAATAGAAAGATTTTACTACTAGGGCTACATTGTGAAAGAATAAATGAATGAATCTGGTGACGAGTTAATCTTTCTAGCACTCACCTTTGAGGATGTGATGGTCCCAAACTGTGAGAACTCCTTGCGGAGGATTTCCTCATCGATGGTGCTGTCCAAGTTCTTCACATACAAGTTCACACCCTGGGAAAGCAGAAAAGAAAAAAAAAACTTTCTAACACTTGATATTTAATAGCACTAGGTTTACAATTCAGTACTCTGGAACCCTGATACCTGTAAGAGAAGAGTTGGACGCCCAAACATAACAGTTAAGAAACTTATTGAAACTGAAACTGGCTTGGAGGGACATGAACTTTTCTCAGTGATGTATGACAGACAGTTGTGGCGAACTAACTTTGTATGCTCCACCTCTACGGAGGATGAATGATGATGATGATGAGGTTTACAATCCGTATCATCAATGAAAGAACAAAATAGAGGAAATTTTGCACTACATTATCAATCATAACTGCCACAGAAATGCTACAAGTCTTTAAACTCACAATAAGGCCATACCAATTTAATTTGTTAACAGATTAGCCCACTTCATTTTTTTCTGATTTGCCCCCCCACCCCACAAAAAAAAAAAATTAGGCTCTAATCAACTCCAAAATGGTCATATTTGAAAATGCCCAACAGTTCAAGGAAGTCCCTTCCCTTCAAAGTTGTTAGTTTTTCCATCTATCAATGCAAAAGTTTAAAATTCATTACAAACCAGCCTGGTATTTTGACTTCATAGCTCCTATCATAGCATTTGAGGCTATCATAGGATGCCTAGGCCTGTTTTTATTCTTTTCGCCCTGTCGCTTCAGATATTTTCAGAAAAAAATTCGAGAACCAACAAATCAAATTGGTGTAGCCTAATGTATGAATTTTTATCTAACAATTCTTACCTTTAGAATTTAGAATTTGATTTCTGAACTATCTGGTTGTCATTAACAAAGAGGTTCTTTGTACCACAATCTGAAGCAGACCGTACCTGGTAGCGCTGGATACGTTCCTGCTTGATCTTCTCGAACTTGGCCTTCAGCTCTGCCTGGCGCTCTGCCTTCTTCTGGGCACGCCCGACGTAGATGCGGCGGCCATCTTCAACCTCCATGTCGTTCATTTCCTCACAGGCCTGAACAATTAAAAGATTTGTTAACAACTTTGTCAAAGTTCTACTAATCAGAAAGTTTCAACAATTTTGTCAGTGTTAATTTAGAAAAAAATTATGTAGATGCCAAACAAATTTGACCAAACAACATAACAGCAATTCATGTTATCTTGAACTATCTTCAATTCGTTTCTATACTAGACTATAGTTTGACTTTTGTTTTAAATAGCTAGAAATTAAGTTATCATGATTCTAAAATTCTTCCCTCCCTGGAAAGATGCATAACAAATAGGCTCCTAATTTCTAAGACTTGACACAAGGAGAGAATCTGGATCAACGCGAAGTACCTTTCCGGCGGAGTCTGGTTCCTCGTAGCTGACGAACCCGAAGCCACGGCTGTGTCCGATGTCGTCTGTCATCACCTTGGCGCTCACCACCTTTCCGTACTTCTCAAAGGCATCACGCAGTCTTGGGAAAAAACATTGTCAACATCAACTCTGTACACATGGAGAATTTATCACTGTTTTCTACGTCTTTATTTTCTGCTTACTGATTGTTATTTCTGCGCCATGAATTTCTGTTTATACCTATAAAAAAAAAATAGCCAGTTTGGGGTTTAAAGCTCCAAAAACTGAAGCTATTTTACTGCTCATTCTAAGCCATATTTGTTTGTTTGTTTGTTTGTTTGAGCATTTGCTTATTTATGAAATACTCAAATTGTCTTTTCATAGAGGGAACAGATCAGGGTCAGTCTTGGTGACCAAAATCCCCAATTTCCAAGAAATGAAAATTTTGCACTCCTCAACCATACATCATAGAAAGATGGAAAAACAAAAACATTTTACTTGTTACAACTTGCCCTTTCAAATGATATAAGAATCAATATCCTAGGACAAAAGACAATTTTTGTCCTGAACACCCTAGTCATACAGGTCAAAATGTAACAAGATACAGGTTATACAATAGGAGTCCTACCACAAGCATGAACATTTAGTTACTGAATTGAGTCAGAGTCTATATACATATATCCTTACATATATCCTTACATGTACATAGTTTTACATCAAACTTACTTGTCATCGTCCCATTTGTCCCCAAAGTTCTTGACGTAGATGTTGGTGAAACGTTTCTGGGCTTCTCCCATGGCGGCCAAACGCTCGCTGCGGGGCACAAAACGCCCTACATACCTGTAGAGAAAAACAACAGTACCATAAACAACATGATTATCAATATATCATGGCTTGAAACACTAGTGACGTGCACATGCACTTTTGTAATCTTGAATGAGAGAATGAACGAGAATGACACTTAGGTCAAACCAATTTATTTGTTGGTTCTCGGATTTGCCTGCGTCATTTTTTTTTTACTTGTAAAAAAAACAAACATTTCAGCCTCTGAATCAACTCCAAATTACTCATATTTTAGACCCAACAGTTGAAGGAAGTCCGTTGTTACAGTTTTTCCATCTATCAATGCAGTGGTTTGATAAAAAGTTTGAAATTCATTGTTTGAATTATAAACCAGTCTGGTATGTTGACATCATGGCTCCTATCGTAGCATTTGGGGCTATAACAGGATGCCTGGGTCTGTTTTTATTTTTATGTTATTTTCCTGTCGCTTCATATTTTTTCTGGAAAAAAATCATAGAACCAACAAATCAACCTGGTATGGCCTAAGTGTTATAAAAAACAGAAAACTGGTTGTTAGATCTGTGGCGCCAAAATGGTTAGAGTTGATTTTTAGAACTATGGGGTTTTCAGACAAATGCCTCGTACGTGTCGTCACAATAAAACCTGGTCGGAAGGAACTTCCACCAGATTGTTGTCAGACTCGTCATCGAATCATCACCAAACCCACGCGGCTGAACTTTGACCTAACAAACACTTACACTTTCTTGCCGTTGAGCATCATGCCGTTGACCTTGGCCATGGCCTCGTCAGCGGCCTCTTGGGTCTCGAAGTGCACAAAACCAAAACCTTTGCTGGATCCGGTTTCATCCTGAGCGACCTGTGTGGAACAACACACAACCAATTTTACCAACATGAGCCAAGTTGTGATGTGAGCTGTTGATGGTAGAAGACAGAAAGATAGTCTTGTGGTTAGGGTTGTTGACTCAGAATCCGAAGGTTCTAGGTTCGAATCCCTGGCAGGCCCCAGTGCTGTGTGTGGCCTTGGGAAAGGCACTGAACACCCATTTCCTCACTTTACTCAGGTGAAAATGAGTACCTAGCCTTGGTTAGGACGTCCTCTCAGAACATGAAGCCAGAGGTCCCTTGTTTCAGGAAAGCTACACGTTGACCATGTTTAAGATCCCAATGTATGTACAAAAAGAGTAGCTGTCTTTCCCACTTTTTTCAAACCTTACAGCTCAGTGTTACATAGCTTCTTAATGTTCATGTACATAGATCTACTGGTTATGCGGAACAAATTTGGAAATAAACGCTTCATACATGGAATTATAATCATGAAACGTAACATACAGAAGAAAATGTGGCAGTTTATTCTGTAGTATAAGACAGAATGCTGCCAAAAGCTAAGATTTACCGGTTATGTGAAACAAGTTTGGAAATAAATGCTTTGATACATGGAATTAGCTTAACTGCATGAAACTACATATAGAAGAAAATGAGACAGTATATTCTGTAGTATAACTAAGACACCAGTCTTACCTTACAAGACAGAATGTTGCCAAAAGCTGAGAAGGTATCGTAGATAGCCTTGTTGTCGATAGACTTGTCCAGGTTCTTGATGAAGACGTTTCCGACACCAGACTTGCGCAGCGAGGGGTCGCGCTGGGACCACATGATCCGCATGGGCTTACCCTTGATGGTGTCAAAGTTCATGGTGTCCAGGGCACGCTCAGCTGCGAAAGGTGAAAGGTCACATTGAGTTGTGCCACACAAACTTTCAAGCAAACAGGCAATTTTTCCACACATGAACAACTTTTATGTGTACACAACAGCCAAAAACAGGATGTCGGCACGAATTTCTTCATAGATTTGCCTGATTATATGGCAGGGCTTGAAATACCACCTGCATATGCAGGTTAGTGCAGGTAAGACTGTAGCTGTGCAGGTATTTCTGATGTCTACCAGTACAATACATGAAGTTGTATGTGGATTTACATTTGCTGCAGTGTTTGTAACCACCTATGAAGTATAACAGAAATATTGGCCGAATTGTTACTTGACAGTTTTAGTAAGATCCATGTTCCCTAAATTCTGACTGGTACATGTACAGGTGAAATATATCTGGTACAGGGCATTCCCGATGGCAATATTTTCTTCACTTTGCAGCAAAGATATTGCAATCCACGGATGGTTTTAGGTGGTTTGGAAAGAAAAGGGGTATGTGAAATGTTTTTTTGGTAATAAGTCCTTGCTCGGTTCTTGACTTTTAGTTTTTTTTTACTTGAACCTAAACATTTTACAAGTCCGGATCCAAGTCCGGTGAACCGATACGCAGCACTACCAAGAACAAGAATAAAATAGTAAGAAAACCATAAGAAAATGGTAAGAACCATCAGCTGGCTGCTGGAAGTTGACATAGGCGTATCCGAGAGAGCGTCGTGTCACCATGTCACGGCAGACACGGATGGACAGCACGGGGCCGGCCGGAGAGAACTTCTCGTACAACATGGCCTCCGTGATGTCGGGGTCAAGGTCGCCGACGTACAGCGACGCACACGGGTATGTGGGACCTCCGCCTGGGTTCATGGTGATCTGTACTCAAGTGTATGTGACCTGGAACAAAAAACAAAAAAATGTCCAGGCTATGCATGATGTACAAAATGACAAACAACTGGTGGATGTACCAACTTAGTTACTAAGTAAGGCCTAGGAAAAAAAATGCTGTGTTTCTTGTTTCAGTCTAAAAAAAAAGTATGGACGATAGGTAGGGATTATCTTTTTTCCCCCTTTTTTTAGACTTAAATGATGTGGTCACCCTGGGCAGGTATCAGGCCTTGATTGGACCCAACTTGGGTGGTCGCGTTGGCCATGGACAGGTGGTCACCTTGGACAGGTTGCTTAATGCTTGTGTTAATGTGGAAAATTTTTGGGACTGAGAAAAAGCAGTCACCATGGCCAGGTGGCCAGCTTGAAGAGGTGGTCACCTTGACAGGTTTGACTGTACACAATACCGTTTAACAACATAAAAATTGCACAAGGACACTTATATTTTCAATGTCAATGTTGGATAACCAATTTTACTATGTTTCATCACTCAGGTGTCAGATCATGGAGCTAGAAAAGGTTGATCAACTCGAAGAATTTATGTTCCTTACAGCTTGCAAGGGCCCACATAAAAAATATGGCTAGGGTCAGCATTTTTTTCTAGAGTCGGTTGGGAAACACGAAACACAAAATTTCTTTTCCTAGGCTCAAGTAACCTAATACCAGGTCAGAGAAGAACATGAGATATATCTATGTATCTTGTTGTCATGTCTTCAAGTACCAGAGTTATCAAAGGATTGAGGTGTTTAAAAACTCATAGAACTTACTAATCTACAAGTACTTACTTTCTCAGGATAGAATTTCTAACACTTTGTGTCAATCACTGTACTAACTGTTGAAATGATCTCGTCAGACAATTAAAAATTGGGGTGACAGGTAATTAAAAATCTGTGTGAAAAGGAAGGACAACCACCACACGCACATTGTTATACAAATAACAGTTGTGGGTGGGTAACAAGGATGTAGTCTGATGTGATTACAATGAATTCAACATCTCATATTGTTGTCTGTTGGAATTTTGCCTTGAAACCAGGATTTTTTTCCCTTTAGGCCACACCAATTTAATTTCTTGGTTAACGGATTTTTCTAGAAAAATAATGGAGTGGGCGGGCGAAAAAAAAATAAAAATAAAAACAGGCCTTGGCATCGTATTATGGCCCAAAATGGTAAGATAGGAGCCATGAAGTCAACACACCAGGCTGGTTCAAAATTTAAACAATGAATTTTGAACTTTCAATGATACTACTGCATTGAAAGATGGAATGACTGTAACAAGTAGTAAGAAAAGGACTGTTTTCAACTGTTCAGGGCAAAATATGAGCATTTTGCAGTTGATTCTGAATTTTTATTTTTATTTGCAAATCAGAAAAAAATGAAGCGGCGAATCCGTTAACCAAGAAATTAAATTGGTGTGGCCTTACCACATCAGGATTTGAAAATAAAGGAAGTCATTGGCATTTTTTAATGGTGAGTCACATAATTTTAGAGAAGTGTAGTTTCATTTTCGTGATTCAAATAGTACAGATGTTCTTTTTTACCAATAAGTTTTATGACAAAATCTGAAAGAAATTTTACATTGTCATTGAAGACAAGCTGGTAGGGGTAGACTATATACTGTTCGCAGACAACTACTGCCTTTGAAAATAATTTGTAGGCACTCGACCAAAACGTTATGTCAGTCAAAATTTATGCGACTTAGTAACTTTCTAAAGTATCTGAAAAATGTAGGAGTTTTTTTGGGTAGTTGTCAGAGAAAACGTGTCCAAAGTCGACTATACAAAACGCACGTATAAAATTTTATGCCTCAGCCACTTTAATTTCATACTTTGGCCACGAGGCGAACCACGTGCTTTCACTTCCTGTATCGCCCTGCTGGAACAATTCCACAAAAACTGCGACATTTTCAAACAGATTCCAGTTTCTTACAACATCCTCTTCTGTGGATTAAACTAAGGACTAATCTCTAGGCAAAATATACAAGGAAAATCGTAATTCGTGGGCTCGTAGTAATAGATTTTGGTAGCGATTCGCTAAATATTCGGTGGGCGTTTTCTGGATGGTTAGTGTTAGGAAATCCATCCATATTGTGGCAAGTATTTCGACGTTTTCCGGACGAAAAATGACACAATTTTTTATGAAATCACTCGCTGTAGACGTCAAAGATACACTAGATGTTTCTGTCAGAAGGAGATATCCAGTAATTCAAGAAGAAAGCGAGAAATTCTTACCTCAGAAATTAGTCTTCAAATTCAAGATGGCGTTGTCAATTTTTGCTGGATCTTCGAGCTTCGGCAGACTTTGGGACGTTCCTACCACCGTTTCGCGAGTTTTTTTCTCAAGCTTTTTAAGTTTTTATACAGTAGTTTTTATAACTTTTTAAGTTTTTTTGTTGTTTTTTGTAAATTTTTGGGTTTACGGCTGTTGTGTGGGCCTAAAATGCTAACACACAACAACGCGTGGAAGCTGACGCAGGTAAAAAGGTGAGGAGGGGTACCTACGCCGGCCTCAGTTAGCCGCCGGAAGTGACGCAAGTGCAAGAAAATAGTACCACAAATCAATACATTATATTTTGATTTATAAAAATATTTATGTCAAAATTGTGAACTTTATTACATTTTTATACATATCAAAATCTTTTTCTAGCGCAACAAAATAAATAAATGTTCTTATTATGTGATTTACACGTTTGAGCTTTTGGCGGATGCTTATTTCCGAACTATGGTGGAGTAAACAAGCCCAACTGCCTGTTTCCAGTTGGTATGACGACATCTTCGTTTACCTTCGTGACCAATCAACAGCGATACTTGACCCGAGGATGACGTCATCTACTCAATCGGTTTGATTGGCCAACGTCAAGCGCGGGAAAAGCCATTTCCTTTTTTGGCAGAGCGCTAATCTCCAAGCAGATCCTTGGAGCGCTACATACAGTTGGCTTTTCATTTCATTGTGCCGTTTCATCCACGTAATATAAAAATATTGATATTTGACTTCATTTTCAGTCCTTTTCTACGCTGACTAAATGTTTACAGTACTCTTCTTGTGACGCTTTATGATTATAAAGTATTGCAGACAAGTTGAGGTCAAAAGGAAATATACAAAACTCCATATTTTTGTAATCCTTGCATTTTAATCATGCGAATGCAGTTATGTACATCATATGCACCATACGCATGTCAGCAAAGGCGTTAAGGACAGCAATATCACTAGATTCAGAATGTGGCTATTTCTCTGACTTATCATACTTTTATCCTTATTTCTCCTTATTACTATAATATTAGTATTGTTGTTATACAATTGTTATTATCATAATTCTTGTAAACATATGTAAATCATAAATTGCTAAGTTGCCTAATTTCTGAAGCATCTAGAGCCTTTTTTGACGAATGGAAGAATCTGGCAATGCAAAAGTTCCCGCAAAAGTCCTGGAGATTTTGGCAACGGCTCAGGGGCGAACCTTCGAGCTATTTGGATTCGTTGAGACATTTCGAAAGAATTGTATTAGGCGTTAGAAGATATATCCTACAATAGCTTATGTTTAGATGAAACTTATATTTCGTACTCCATATCCAGAATTCTCTCGTTGAGAATAAAGCTAAGTCTTACAGGCCGTTTTTTTACTAATGTCCAAGCAGATGTGGGGTAGAATTAAGGAAACTTTACGGTCGACCTTCCACCCCAACATCTGCTTGGAGATTAGTTTTTGACGTTGGCATGCATGTCTCAGCCGGCGGGATTTCGACCGAATGTTGGCGGATTTTTGTCAAACGGTGACCATCTTCCAACGACACTGGCAGGGTTGGCCTTTGGCTTCCGCACCTTGTTGATCAGTTCTAACCAGCGAGCCTGCTGGATTTCGGGCTGGTTGTTCACGGGACTGTGTGGCGGCAGGTGTCGGCCGGAGGGACGAGCGTGGGGGTGCGGAGGATGCTTCCCGAAGGACGGGGCGTCGCTGCTGAACGGAGACCACCGTCCACTGAACGGCTGGCGGCCCGGGTCGTCTGGTGCCTCACTATCGCCGCCGTGTCGCCCGGCGTGTGTGTGGTGGGGTCGCTGGATACTCACCGACGGTCCTCCCCGCCCTAGTGTCGCCACATTTTCATCGAACGGAGACCATTCTCTAGAACTTCCAGCCGAGGCGAAGTCGTCGGTAGATATGACTGACCCATCATCAACTGCATCATCGGTGGCTGCTGGTTGGCTGACTTCATCGCCATGATTTTCGTCGAAATGAGTGCCTTCCTCTTCATTATCCTCTAGTGAGGGCATGTTGTTGGCAATATTGTCATCATTATCGTCGTTGCTGGCGATGTTTTCATCATTTTCGTTGTTAACGTTTGTGGCAATGTTTTCATTATCGTCGTTGGTGACAATGTTTTCATCATGTTCCTCGTTGTTAGCGATGTCTGCATTATTTTCGTCGTTAGTGGCAACGTTTTCAATTTCATCATTTTCGTTGTTGCTGGCGATGTTTTCATCATTTTCATCGTTGTTTGCGATGTTTTCATCATTATTTTCGTCGTTGGTGGCAATGTCTTCATTACTTTCTGGCCTATGGTCGGTTGCTGGTTGGCCATCTGATGGTGGTAGGTATTTGCTGAGAACTGAAAATTCATTATCCAGTGATCCATCGTTTGCTGTGGCCTCCATTCCTTCCTCCTCCTCTTCTTCTTCTTCTTCCTCTTCCTCCTCCTCCTCCTCCTCCTCCTCTACTACCCACGTGTCCGGTTCAGGCGCCAGATCAACTACAGTTTCTTCATCTACTTCTTCCATTCCTTCTTCTGGGACTAGATCGTCTGTGGCCAAAAAGTACCCCTCGTTGTGGTCGGCGTTTGGCTGAGCCTGCGCGTGCGGCGAGTGCTCCCCGAAAGACGGCGCATTTTCGTCATGTTCGTCGTTGTTGGCAACGTGTTCAATATTTTCGTCGTTGCTGGCGATGTTTTCATTATTTTCTTCTTCTTCTTCTTCATCCAGTTCTTCTTCTTGATCTCCTCCGATTTCTTCTACGCTTCCTTCACTCGTCTCGCCCCGCAAAGCTTCACGCTCTATGGCAACAGCTATGTCTTGAAGAAGTATTGAGAAGTCCTGAAGGATGACCGACAAGAGCAAGCGGTCTGAACGCCCGCTTTCATCGTTCTCTGTCCCGGTTTTCTCCGCGATGTGCTGCAGTGTCTGCTCCAGTTCCCCGGTGAGACGGCCCACTGGTCCAGCGGTTACACCGAGCGCCATGAACAGCACCAAGACAAGGTTCTGAGGCAAGCCGGTACGGAAGAACATGGCTTACGCACGTTGGTATGTCCTTAAAAGATAAGGAAATGTAGTACAGCATATTAGACTGAATAAGAATACAGTATATACTCTTACCGCACAGTATACAAATACTTTTTATAAAAAGAGTACAGCATATTAGGTACTCGCAGATATGTGTTATCATGATTACAGTCGCAGAAGGAAAACATGTTGTTTTTGCTAGGTTTCTTCTTCTTTTTCTCAAAACACATATAAGGTCAATGACCTGGACCAGACGACTGTCACCATGGTAACTGGTGCTGCAACAGACACCCTGTGGTCTTGGACTACATTATGTAGCAAGTTGGAGGGGCTGGTCCCCATATAAATGTTAGTAAGTAAGTTGTTAAGTTAGTAAGTAAATTGTAATTCCATAGCCGGCTAACTATCTACTAAGTATTCAAAATGTGCAGTACTTTATATGTGAAAATGCACATTGTATCAAGTTGAACAGTAGAATATTGTTCCATTCACCAGTTTCCCATCCCCAGAATGCAATGCGAAAATAGGGGGTAACCCTCATTTGCATAGGACTGGAAGGCATCGGAATGATCCTGTTGACGTTAAAGAGCTTGTTTTTCACCGTGTTTTGAGGTGTTGCGGCATTTTATGCTCAATGAAACATTAATTAAATTACTATGGGCCGAATCTGACCGTGTTTTTTTCAACATGGAACATGTGGTTTGTAACGTTACAGCAGCAGTATAGCGTTACCACTATAACGTTACAAATCACATATTCTAAAAAATTCATTCTCTATTTGTTTTCAGATTCGGCCCATAGTGATTCAATTAATGTTGAGCATAAACTGTCCGAACACCTCAAAACGCAGTGAAAAGCAAGCTGTTTAACGTCAACAGGATCATTCCGATGCCTTCGAGTCCTATGCAATTGAGGGTTACCCCCTATTTTCGCATTGCATTCTGGGGATGGGAAACTGGTGAATACAGGGTGTTGAAGTTTACAGATAATATTGTCATGCCTTGCCTGTAATTCATCATACCCGCTGTGACAACAAAGTTCATCGATTATATGTCAAGATACTGACGTGCGATAAATTGTAACGCGATCGAGCACTAGAAAACATATTGGTTGCAATAAGATTATATTTTCAAGTCAGACGAAGGATAAAGCCATGTGCGAGGAATTTCCAGACAGATCTCTGCAAGACAGTATCAAACTGGTAAGGTATTTTAATTTGCAGGGCAGTATATATGCCAAGCAAAAATGAAATCTTTATAAAAACGCCTAAAAAGAATAAAGAATAAAGAGGAGCCTAAATCTCTGCTTGGAGAGTAATATAAAAGCCATATCTGTATCGGTATAGCCGGTATAACCGCTCTTCGGCGTAACACACCAGCTTCGCAGGCACGCGGCGCGGCGGCAGCTAGCTATATCACACCAAACGACTTGTTACACTCAATCTTTGCACATTTAATTGCAGGAGTTGTTTAAAGCTTTCTAGTGATGGTGCCCCAACTGTGCTTGGTGGCAACGAGTTCCAGTCTACGATAGTTCTGGGGAAATACGAGTTTTTGAACACCTCAATTCTTGGTTGATAACTCTGATATTTGAAGGCATGACTGTTTGAAGCCATATATATACGTTATAAGCAAACACGCATTATGTTTAGCTTATTGTTATTTGTGTAGTAGCGAAAACTTTATTAGAAATTTCTGTGGATAAAATATCTTCTTATGATCCCATCGGTTTGTTGCTGGGCTGTTGGGGATGTTTTGTACATAGAGAAGGGATCGAAACCCCGGATAAACTGTCGGCCCATTCCGGATCTGACAATGCAGTAATACGTGTGTGGCATTGATAGCTGTCGACTGACCACATGTACAGCTTTCTGAACACACACACACACACACACACACACACACACACACACACACACACACACACACACACACACACACACACACACACACACACACACACGCACGCACACACACACACACACACACTCATCTGAGATATACTCACACACACACACACACACACATGCACACATAATTAGACACACACGGACACACACACATGCATACCCACTCGGACACACACAGAGACACAGCTAGACACACACACATACACACAGGCATAAACGCACGGACACAAAAGTGCGAAAAGCAACCTACTTCGGACTCTATAGCTAGCTCCATAAAGTTGTACCAGAGTCCCTTGTAGGCGGAATAAATAATAGAAATCGGCTTAAAAAGGAATGTAGCTGACTAAGAGGAGTTAGCTGGCCATCATAGTGGGGGGTCCACTTTGCCTGCATGGTATTCGCCTCCGTTGTAGCCCCACGTCTGACTTTCCCCTCAACAACTACGCCTAGTTTTCTGGTAGTAAGTCAAACGTGAACATAAGTCAGATGTGGTCAGAAACCTGGTTATTATAATAAAAAAAAACTAATGGATTTTAACGTTGTGGTTATTAACGTTGGAAAAAATATGTCCCGAGTGGGGACAGCTGAGGACATAACGCGATGTCAGTTTTAGTCATGGTTAATTTTTTCCGACCAAGTTTTTTGTCGTTTGTCGCTCGTGTGACTAAATCCCTCCCCTGACTTAAAAGAAGACAACTTTACACAGACTTACCTTCCCTGAAATGGATCGTTGGTGGTGAGAGAATTTCGATTCTGTGAAGATGTAACTGAGAGAGACAGTGCTTCACAACGTTAAGGTACTACCGTCTGACACAAAACAAGTCGTCACTAATGTTTACTGTACCGCACAACCGTACACAGGTCGATATAGAGCGATTTGTTCGCCAGATCGGAAAATAGATATGAAAAATCCCAACCATCCATGGACACCCACTATTTCATAACTTGGAATCCAGACAGACACACACACACGCACGCACCACACACACACACACACACACACACACACACACACACACACACACACACACACACACACACACACACACACACACACACACACACACACACACACACACACACACACACACACACACATGCAGAAAGAGAGGAGAGAGAGAGAGAGAAAGGGGGAGGGCGAAAACAATATCTCCGACTCTCCGTACATGAAGATATTATAAAGACAAAGTGAAAATACGCAATTAGCAGCAAGACAATTTTATTTCACCTTAATTTGGAGACAAGCTCAAAGTGCAAACGTCTGAACCAAACATGCTACTTCTGAATCGGTTTCACTACAAAAGAATGCATATTCTGCGGGAGTGATAGATAATGATAAGCATTCTTAAGAAAAACAATTCGGAGCAAGGACTTCTATGTAATTATAGTGTCCATGTTTGAAGTGTGTATAGAAACACATTATGCAGACGGGACCTGGGTCGGGAGAACTACGGGAGTGTCACCGCCGGGGGGCTCGTTGCCTTCCCCGCCGGCGCCTTCTTCGCCTGCTCCCGGCGGGCCTTCGTCACCAGTGCCCGATGGACCCTCACCTTCCCCACCGGTACCCGGGCGGTCTTCCCCACCGGAGCCTTCCTCACCGGCACCCGGGCGGTCTTCCCCACCGGAGCTCTCGCCACCGGCACCCGCCACCGGCACCCGGCGGTCTTCCCCACCGGAGCCCTCGCCACCGGCACCCGGGCGGTCTTCCCCACCGGAGCCCTCGCCACTGGCACCCGGGCGGTCTTCCCCATCTTGTCCGTCTCCCTTATGACCTTCGCGTGAACAGAATGAACAAAGAGTCATCATGATTGACATCTCATACAGATCAACGTACACAAGGAATATCGTGCGTGTTCTAAAATTGTCTCGTCTGTTAACGATTCTAGATAAATGCAAGCTCCTTGATATATCTGTCTTTTTTTTTTAATGAGCATGACATGCAAAAATATTGGGAAAGCACGTCTCTGTTCATGCTAAGCTTCTAGCACGTTTCTTCACAATTTCGCAAAGATTTCATACTAAGTAGTTGGCTGTACTTTTACTTGAAGGCGAGTCCTTGCTTTTAGTTTTACCTGGTCTCCTGCCACGAGGGCGGCGATTCGGTTTGGGGCCGCTAGGGGAACCCTCCTCACTACTGAGCCCGCTCTCAGCGCTGTCTTCTTCCCCACTGCCGCTGTTCTGCCTCCCCCTTCCACGGGGCCGTCCTCGGCGCCCTCCGCTCTCCTCTGTTTCCCCTCCACGACCCTCCCCGTCGCTCTCTTTTTCTCCGCTCGGTGGATTTCCCCCCCTCCACGGCAGCGGTCCTTCTTGATTCCGCAGGCCCCTGTCCTCACGATCCCTTCCCCGACCACGTTTTCGTCCGTCGGCGTCCATGGTCATCAGCAACAACGCCACAACAACCAGGAGACTGATCGTAGCCACACGGAGCGGTCCCATCTCGTCTGTTTCTTTAGAACTCTTGTCAACTTCTTCAACAAAAAGAAATACATTTTCTGTTACACTGCCCAGTATATAATATCAGCAAAGAGTCACCCCACTCAGCAATCTACAGAACCTGGTAGGCTCTATCTTTGATGTACACAACATGTCTGAACAATTCTTATGTAACATTTTACTTAGAGGATCCCCCGATTTACACTCAGATACAAACTGTAACATTTTGACAATCACCTAAACTTACGTTATTGATACTAAACGGTTTGTATTAGATTAGCGCCTACAAAGCATGTTCTGCCTTACCATTCATTATTATTCATTACTATAATCACCGTGTTGCCATTTTTTTTTACCCATTTGCTGTTCCCTGTTGTTTTTGTCATGTATTTTGTCACTGTATACCTGTATGTCTGGTGGTGAGGTTAAAATTAGCTAGCTACAGCTAGAGTATCTCACCACCATGTCCTGTATTGCACATGTCGAATTCCAAAAATATATCAAGAATTTGCAAGGGTAACCTCTAAACTGAATACGTATATACTGTAATACGGACAACCTCACAGTCCTCAATTCATTCACAATCTCAGTCACCATTACAAAGAAGCGACAAGAAGCTTAAGCTTAAGTGTACAACGAGACTTTTTTCAATGATTGTGCCAATGATATTTCTAGGCTATGGTCATTAAAGTAGACACGCATATCGGAATCAAATGTCGATTATCAGTAGACTAATAACGCATAACTCACCTTGTGTGAAGATAGACGAAAGTTGTGGTTCTCCGTCCGAAAATGTGCACACGTCTGACGACCGGTACCCCAGCAAGACCCTAGAATTTATACTCCTGTCTAACAATAGGAGACATCTCTACCAGGTATGCACTAAGATATAAGGACAATAGGTGATATCTCCGCTAGGTACGGGACGGCACCATGTGATCGTCGACGTCACTTACTACTGTCGTTACACCTCTTTTTTTCAGGTGCGTACGTGACAAGCCGCACGCATCTTTAGAAAAAAATTAAAGGTTCCATTAGGCCATAGCAAGTAAATTTTATGGATGACACCCTCCGCAGACTCCAAATCTAATGCGTGCGGGCGAAAAAAAAACCAGACGGGCCGAAAAAACAAGGTTCCTACATTTTAAAATTTTGACTCAATCATTGTACAAATGGTTTTGATTCAGTGGGAACATCACATATACACAGCCAGCATCACATATCACTGCGTCAAAGTAAGAAACAAAACATTAAATCAGAGCCTTTTCTTGTCTCCTCTCTTCACAGTTATCTGCCATCCACCTTCCGGCATGGCAACAGACATCTTTGCCCATTTTCGGCATGATGACCACTGTCAGAGGGCAACAAAATTTCTTGTTTTTTTCCCCCCAAAATCAGGCGAAAATTAATGCGCGCGGGGATGTCATCCATACAAATTACTTGCTGTGGCCTTACAATACTCAATAAGAAGGAAATTTGTTATATCGATTGCATCAAGGACATGATTGATTTTATGTTGACAAATCCAGAGGAAACATCTTGAGTTCAAGTGAATAAAATTCTGTAATCTCGGCTAGTATCGATCTCTTTGCGTCCTTACGAGGATGTATTTAATAATTGATATCGCCTTTGTTCAATGAAAATCATTTATTAGTCTGTTATTCCCATCCTTTTAAGCCACTGCATGAAAAAGTAAGGGTATACTGGCGCTGTTTAGCAAACATTACCAATGTCAAGTTTTGTAGTGATTTGTTTTCTAAGTTAGGTCTTTACCCTTGTTTGCATATTTTCTTGAAAACTGCCTCCGTTTCAATTCACCAAGGTAGGTTTCTTTGCCCACCATAGCCGAGCCGTAGTATACCATTAATATTTCTTCAATTATGTTTACTTTCATATGGAATACATTGTTATTATTTGTCCCAGGTAAATCTGAAGGTAAACAATGTTGCCAGGCAACGGATCTCCCTCGTCACGCATGCGCAGTGCTCCTCGTGTTCCTGCGGAGTCAGCCACCGCGGGCCGAACAGACTTCTGGGAGAAACGACGTCCAGGCACTCGGTCCCGAAGCACACCTTGTACGAACATTGCCGAGGAAGCCCGACGTGCTCGACTCGGGTAAACTCGGTCAGGACGTAGTGACGGAACTTGTCGACGTCCCCGACGTCATCGAGAGAAAACGACAAGTCAAACGCTTTTTCTGTCACACAGTCGTGACTCTTTTGATCCAGCACCTCAGAGGGTATTTCGGCACTTTTCGGATCCGAAATTACGACGACAAGCTCGGTCAAGGTCGACTTGCTCCGAAAAGTTGAGAACCCCCGTTTGCGACACGACGCCTCGATTCCCTGTCGTGCTTTTGACGCAATTTCTTGCATGATTCCTAAAATCTTAGGGTAGTCCTGCGCATATTTCGTCCTTTCTCGCTTGAGAACATGTTGGGCGAAAAGACTTGGCATTTTGTTGAAGGTTTGTTCCACTAAGTCGTGGATGTTGTAGAATTCGGCCTCGGTGACGACCGAGGATGCTACAGCGGGCGGTGGGAGTTCGTCCGAGCGGAGAAAGTTGAGGACGTGGCCGAAGTTCGTCCCGTCACGGTCGATGAAGTAACGGCCGTCCTGAAATCGAAAAATATGCCAAAAGTCGTCGAGATTTTGTCGAGTATTTCTTGAATAAAGTTAAATTTAAAGTCTGATTTAATACTGGGTGATTAATCTGCAAAAATTGTATTTGACACGCAATAAGTATGATTTTACGATTTTTTTTAGTATTAGGAAATTGTACGTGCATTTGGGGGGGGGGCATGCGCTTTGCAATTAATGTATTTCAAACAACGGTGTCTCCAATCATGCAGTAAATGAATGAATGAATGAATGAATCGATCGATCGATCGACCAATCGACCGATCGATCCATCAATCGATCCATCAATCGATCGATCGATCAATCAATCAGTCAATCAATCAGTCAGAATGAATGAATGAATGAATGAATCGATCGATCGATCGACCAATCGACCGATCGATCCATCGATCGATCAATCAATCAATCAATCAATCAATCAAGCAATCAATCAATCAATCAGTCAGTCAATCAATCAATCAGTCAGAGTTTCTGACCTTGTCCTTGGTCACGTGATGACGTCCGCTAAACATGGCGGCCAGCATGGAGTCCTCGCGCTTGCGCAGAGTGGACAGTGACGTGGTGAAATGAAGACCTCCAACATTCAGACACACAACTTCCGGAAAATCTTGCTGTTCATGTAGTAAAGTTGAAAGATAATGATTAACATTTAGAAGATGATATTTAACTGTTTAGTCTTTTATATACGCTCCGTGTTTGAGTGGGGTATAGGGTGGCGCATATCGCCGTTTCTGTAGCCCTTGGGCCACACAACTGTGCAAAAACTACGTAAACACAAGGATGTCCAAGTCCTTGTGCCTGTCATCTAACATGTTTAAACCAAAGTTGGATCATATTTGATACTTAATTGAGATATCCATTACTTGCAAAAGCAACAGCAAGAGCAACTAATCTTCCTGGATTCCACAAGTTTAATACACATAACGACAACATTGAACATATTACACAATCATATAAAAACAACATTACACTGCTATACAACATGGATAAAAGAAATACTACTTATAATACACTAATGTATGCCAAAATGCCTTTAATTCACGTTCTGGTAATGCACGTCTGCTCCGCTAGAGGCCGCCTATGCGTCAGCATAGCAAGTTGCATATCGTCGTTTCGTATCGGTTGTACGTTACGAATCTCAAGGTTTACCGGTTAAATTTTGCTCCCAAAAGTTCAGTGAGACTACCTTTATTGCATACAAAATTTTACCTAATGTCTAAAACACCCCAACAAATAATGTGCACGTCTTTACTCAGTGCTGTAAATATTATATAATTATTTGAAAACGAGCATGATTTACGTTATTTACCTGCTCTCCTTCCATGGTCAATTTTCAAGTCTGTATGACTTATTCCTGTCAGAAGATCGTGGTTGAACGCTGCTACAGTGCTATAAAAGCATGACATTACAGGTTCAATGTCACCGAACTTCTGAGACCTGTTCCATTTCGATGTTCGAAGTACTAACAGCTGATCAACCTTTGTCTCTTCTCACAGCCTTGTCACTTCCGGGTGTGGCAGGCCAGTTAGTGACCTTTGACCCTTTATCATCACCTGTTCTTTCCCATCATTATGGCTCCACCACTATGTGGTGAAGACATACTGTTTTTATGGCTTCACCACTATGGGGTATAGACTACACTATGGGGGTATAGACAGGGGTAATTTAGGAACAATCCATTTCGTGCAGGAGGGGGATAGGCCCATTTTTGGTACAGGGGACGTGGTGAAGCCATTTGCTGCATTTGCTCCCGAGCAAATGTTGGCCTTTCTAGTTTTTGATTACTTTGTCATTCTAAATTAAGCTGGTCACACCACTTAAAGTGTACATTTGTAAAATTTTATAAAACGAAATATCCAGCACCAAATTACACCAAGAAAAACTCAGTTCCTTTTCCACAAAATTTTAGATCCAACAGCTTCAGAGCAGAGCAGAGTGCTATCCCAGCATGCCATGCAGTGGGTTATAGTTCTAGTTCAACATCACAGAAATAGCAAAACAGGCAATTTTCTTTTAGAGCAATATGACCGAGGGCTGCTTCTCATAACGTTGAACTAAGAAGTATTGTTGTTTCAAATGTCGCTGCCAATGATACCTCAATTTACCAAGGACATTACTTGGTTTCAGAAATACTAGTACTTGATGTATGAAAGTTAAGTATGTTTCAGAGAATGATGTCGTAATGCAATATCCTTCTTAATTTATGATGACACTACAAGTAACAAATAACAATAAGACCAAAAGAGGACTACAAGCCGGACAACAGTTACGATAAAAACATTACAAAATTTATTTTGGTCAGAGTTTGCTGCTACCCGTTACATATCAAACACTGGCATCTTTTTTTCACACATATCATGCAGACGTCCCCAAGTGAGGTAGTCGAGCAGAGATATGACCTCCACCATGACCTTCTAGGTGGGGGAGGGGGGCTCTGAAGGCAGCCATATTGGATCAAAGGTCAACAGTATATATACCTATAAAGAGGAATGCTTTTGTTTAAGTACTGTACAATATTTTTATCTGTTAGCAGCACTATTTAAATGCAGAGCATGAAAATACTATAGTGAAAATTACAAAGTCAGACGCATGGTTTTGGAATGGTAGAATAAACAATTGTTTCCTTCCTAAAACTGGCTGTTCAGAGTCCCGTATCCCCCTATTGCCTGGTTAACACAAAGACATTTTACACTAGAGACCAGGTTCAATGGGTAAATAGCTGCACGGTCGGAAAACATTCACAAGACTATGTCTTACCCTATGTCTAACACCTAGTCTTAACAAATCCAAGCAGACTTGAATTCACGTCGTCTATGGTTAACATAACTAGGTAGTACGACACACATAATCAGTTTACAGAATTCAAACATTTTCACACTCCTGATTGGTTAGTGGAGGACCAATCCTGGTGGGTAAATTTTACTGGTCTAGATATGAGGACTTAAACTGTGGATTGAAAAGTTGAAGCAGATATCAACAATCATGAGCCATTTTCTTTGACCAATCAGAAGTATGACAATTGTTCTTTGAACATTACATCAACACAAAAGTATATTTTAATGTTACAATTGTTACAACTCTCTGTATCTACAAACAACACTATAATTTCTGCTAAAATATTGCTGCACAAGAAAAGTCCAACATTCTGTACAAATATCCGACAAAACGTTCCCCCGATTTCGTCTCTGCAACATTCCATATATACAGTTGTTTGCACAGGGTGGGATATGGGGGAAACAACTATACTGGCAAAAATACTTTCTTGGTCCACAAAATGCCCCCAAATCGGGCCATGTATGTACAAATACAAGCCGTTTCTGTTAGCAGAATGGCTCTCTCGATATTGGCTACATATTTGTACAGCGTTGTCAAGATGTTACTGTTACAGTAAAAAACATTCATTTGTACAAAATGCATCTTTCCTCAATGACAGCATTTCTCAAAAATTTGGGCAGAAAATATCGCACTCATCTTAAAAATCTTGGAAAAACAGCATCCACAAATACGTACAGTATTTTACACGATGGTTATAAACTTGAAACATGCAGGAAATATTGACACTATGTTTTTCCTATCTAAATGTACAATATACACAAAACAAGCACAAGAAACCTCATAGAAATTTAATCTTCTTCACAAAATATTGACTATTGTTCCGGAATACTGACAACTTTTAAAAACATTCTCAAAAAGTCATAGTAAAGGTACCCGACCACTTAACAACCATCTGCAATCCATTCCATCTCTCCAACTTGAGTATGCAACAAACCCCTATACACAGCCTCTTCACTGCAAGATCATTTGAAATATTTGGCCACAAAATACCCCACAAAACCTGTACATGTTCTACTAGTTTTCAATTTCCATAGAAAAATACTACAGAAACTGCCTAACTCTAAAAATACTGTCAAAACTACTGAGGCAAGCCGCAGGTCGCTACCTAGCTAGTTTGCTGTGACCGGTTTGTTCTTGTTTACCCAGTGGTACTTGTCGGCAGGCGGTCCTACGCGACCGGTCTTGTGGCCCATCGGAGGAAGAAACCCTGCTTCACGAACATAACGCGGGTTTGTTGTAGATACTGTTGGAGTTGTTGACGATGGGGATAGGTTGAATGGGTGCGGGGTAGTACTGGAAGTCGGGTGAGATTTTGCCATCGCCTGACGAAGGACGTGGGTACTGGATGGTCGGCTGCTTGTTGTCGAATCTCGCGATGGTGTGCACGGTTCTATCGAAGCCATGGCCAAACCTGGACAGGACAGAGAGAGTGGGTGTTTTAGTTTTAAGTCTGGTTTCCAGAGTAACAAAAATCATAGCTAATACAGAGTCTACATTCTGAATGATTCCAACCAAATGTAAAATGTATCTGGCTGGTTCAATCCTCAAACATGGACACTCACTGTCAGGCTATGAAAAAAAATAGTCTCCAGTTCCAATATCTAAGAGTGCACTTCTATCAACTTAACCTTCTCCCTGCTGCTTAACCCTGTAACCAAAACGTGCCAGAAGACTGTACGAAAAGGGTTAAAAGACGACAAGATTGGTGTATAACCCTTCACAAGCCCACCCCTAAATACGACAGCTGTGTTTGTAAACAAAGGCTGACTTCAACCAAACCAACAGCTGTCACCAAGGCTTTTAATCCGTCAGTAACCCCTCCCAGATCAAATTGATAGGTGCAGTAAACAGTGACAACAAAAGCCTGGAGTCTTGAGATCAGGGCAACCCGACACGGCCTTCAGGTCTTTTGTGTACCGAGGAAGCATGGATGATTTCCATCAGGTCATGTATACATGACTTATTTTTATCAACAAGGTTCTTCCTGTACCTCTCCACTGGGATGACTACAGTTTCCTAAATAGAGCAGTGTAGCATTAAAGTAAAGGTTTCTTGTTTTCGGCATAGTGTAGTGTAGCAACTTGTTTTGTTTTTTAGACACTGTAGAAATGTTGTAGAATTAAGTTTCATTTAATTTGCATGCTCTGAAATACGACTAATAGGTTTCAAAGCGAGATTTAACAAAATCTTGCCCAAAGACATGGCAATTATGTTCCCCTATTGTACCAAAGGAAATTGATATGGGAAATGATTACAATTGGATTTTAATACAATAGGAGCTTCGTGATGAAGAGCTGAGATTTTGGTGCCTTGGGGGCCTAGGGAGGCCAGCTGTTGCAAACAATACTTAAATCACCAGTTCAATGAAAAACCCAGGGGTATGCAAAGCCTTTCAGGCACGGTCCCTTGTGCATGACGCTGATAAGTGCACAATAACACAGAATCACAGAGAAGCACTAGGGAGGGCGTCTTGGGGCTTTGTTACGGTCAGCATTTATAAGGGCCAGCTGCAGAACCATTTAGGACCCCACTGCGCAAAATCTGCCATATGGGATATAAACATAAGAAAAGGGGAGGCTTTTCAAAAAGCCTGGGAACCAAAAATTGCTGAAAAGACTAGAATAAGAGGGTAGGGTTCTAGGAAGGCTCTTCTGAGACATAGTCCCATCTCTTTGTTTATACTTAGTTCAGCCAATACAGCAATGGAAACGCTACATAACTGATCTGGGTATACACAATACAGACTGGAACTCTATCACAGAATCATCTGATGCAATGAAGCTCTGGGTTTTGTAAAACAAAATTCCTGAACCATCCTGTTAGTAACTGAGGATTTGGCCATAGCATTGTGTTTATTTTTACTTCAAATTGTATGCATTCTTTTCGCGATATGTCTGTTTCTTGAAAAGCTTCCATGCTTTTGACAAAAAAAGAGCTCCTTCAATGCTTTGTTCAGGAAACTTTTCAAAGAAGTGGAAGAGGTCAAAAAACAACAACAAAACACAGCTCCTCTTGGTGTTTTGCTCGCTGAACTAAACAAAGGTGGACATGCAATATGCATGACCTCTGAGTGGGTCATGCTTTACGCCTCATTGTCCAGATAAGGTCTGCGTATGTCAGCTGTTCTACTGTGTCCATATTGGGTGGATGGCTAGGGTTGAAGTGGTGGGGGGCAGATCTTCAAAAGCCCACATTTGCAGCGCTACTTTTTGCTAAAATGAACACAAATTACCATGCTGTGATGTACATAGAGAATTGTTTCAAAATTAAGCTTGTTTTTATTTTGCTTCTGGCTCTCTTGCCAGCACTGTTTGTGCAAATGAAGATTGGCACCTCGATTGTTGTCCTGATTAGAGAATGTTTTCTTAGGCCGACTGACACTTCTAGTGTTTCACAACACAGACTTTTGTCTCAGAAACAGGTTGTGAAATGTTTCTTTTCTGTAGAGCCAACGAAAGTTAATCGGTCCTCCTTGCTGTAGCCACATACCCAGACGAAACAATAACTTGTTTGTCAGCCTTGTGTATCTGGACCCCCTCAGACCCAACAAAGGATAAAATTAGTTTGCCTTACAAAGAAGGAGTATTGTAGCCAGCATTATTTCTGATCTATGCATGAAGTAAGGGGGTCTTTTAGCAAAACAAAAAACCAAACATAGTTTGAAGAATGGTGAACAAAGAAAAGATAAAGCTAGTTCAGAGTCTTGTTTACTTAGATGGGGGTAAAATCTTTTCCAAACACGGGACCCGAATTTACCATATGCTTACATCATTACATGACAGGATTGCAGTATTGCATGACTATGCTAATATGAATATTCATGAAGTGATTTATTCCATGCAATATCCCTGGGCATTAGGTCATTCTCAATATTCTAGAACATCCCGTGGTAACTCTTTGATTTAAGCCTTTTAATGGGATGACTTCTGAAGCACCCTTGCCACTCGTGTTTCTATCATATTCATAACCTTTTATGGTTTGAAAAGGAAAGACTGATTTCCATAATAGCTCACGACTGTCTGAAAACGTGACCAGGGAAGGTTAGAAATTCTAGTGCTGTTGAAAAAAAGTCAGTTGTATCACATTTTACTTGTTCAAAATTGTGGAGTTAGCTGCAAAATTTCAGGCTCAAGCTCTCTAGAAGCAGTAAGATGTGCTGGTATTCTATTTTATGTTAGGGGACCCGAAAAAAAATTGTACTGTACCTAAATTTCTAGTTGAGGCACATTGAAGCACTTATTTCTACAAAAATTAGGGGTCTGCAACAAAGTCCAGTCTCTACCTGGCTTCAGAAGCAGCTAGAAAGAGTAGAAATTGACCAAACAGACAGATAATCCTGGCATGTTATCTCACTATCTGGCTAGGGATTCTAGACTGTACTGAAGTGTGAACCTAGTAGTAAGTGGAAACGTGACAGGGAATCTGGGCTAGGGTTATGACTACATTATGCAGATGACTCAGACTCGTGTATGGCTCATCCCTGGTCTTATGTCATCATGTGCGCGTTACACGTGGGATCTTAAGAAGAGTAGGGCAAGAGTGCTAATCTGCTGCTTAATGATTTTCTACTCTTCCAAAAATTCTGTTATCATTTTCTACTCTTCCAAAAATTCTGTTATCATTTGATCAAATCACGACTGTTTCTCAAGCTTTATAAAAAAATTCCACACTAGGCACAATAGGAAAGGTAAAGCATATATCAAACTAATAAATGAACAAATAAAAGCACATATTTTCAAAATTGTAAAATCTTAAGATTCAGAAAAAGAGAAAAACACATTTGAGGGAGAGATCTTGATAGGTATGTGTGTGTAGGTGGGGACTCCCCCCATTTTGTTTTGCTTCCTCTTTTGACATGTGACATGTCCAGACATCTACCATTTGGTTCCTCTTTTTTTCCTGTTTACAATACGAGCAGTAGCAAGCCCATGCACATGACTGTTTACGACGTAACATTTTCTGCTTCTGAGATATTTAGACTTGCACAATAAAGTAAACTACAATTTGCAACTTAGATAATCTAGCCAAGACTACAAGTAACAAGAACCATACTGTAGTTTCTACTAAATTCTAGAGGGCACGGTGAGAAAAATAAAGCTGAACATACCTGCACGACACTTCCATAGGGTCTACCCACATGATGATAGAATTCGCCAGCCCCAAGTCCTGATATCTGATTCCGGCTTCGCTAGCTGCCATTTCGAGCACCGTGTCCACTGGTTCGCTCTCCTGAAGTCGTATACACCGGTAGGCCTGGCCCTTTTCCGGACAGTCGGGGTACCAATGGTTCTTGAACCGTTCTACCATGATAGCGGTCAGTTTGTCTGCAAATCTATCAACCTGTAAAAAGAAATGAAGAAAAAGACATATTAGACACCTGGAAAAATTTATGCAAGAAAATTTCGGTTCTCCCAAACTGTTACTTGTACAAGAAATGGAGAAAAAGACATATTAGACTCCTGAAAAAATTATGCAAGAAAAGAAAGAACTTGGCAAGATAATTTCGGTTCTCCCAAATTGTTACTTGTACAAGAAATGAAGAAAAAGACATATTAGACTCCTAAAAAATTATGCAAGAGAAGAAGGGACTTTGCAAGAAAATTTAGAAAATTAACAGCTCTTAGTGAAGTTGATTTCTAGTTTATTTAAGTTAATAAAACACTAAGCTGCAAATCTGTGCCTTTGTTATTGATGTCTGGCTAATTTAGCAGACTGTTTTGTTATGCAAAATGCAAAAACCAAGGGACTAATTATGGTAAAGAGAGAAGCAACAGATTAGCATATCCACAAAAACATTCCAACAGAAGCGGAAAATTTCACATTCCTCTAATCTTGCGATTAGGGATAAAAGAAATCCTAACAGAAATCAAGAAAAGTACGACTTAATGAAGACAAGAAACACTTTTGATGGAAACATATGGACTTTTTTTCTTATCAGCTGCAAAAGCTCACAAGTAAAAATTTCCAACTCCCAAGTACTACTGAAAACTCTCAAAATCGAATAAGAAAACTCCAACTACGTTGAGGATACTATACCAATACACTGTACCACAGAAAATTATAGTTATATTTCCTTTTGAAGAACGAAAAGTGGATGTTTTTGAAGAAAATGAGGGCAATCCTTTGTTGTGAAAATTTTTTGCCCGTACCCCCCAGCCAGGGATGTGCCCAAACAAATCCCCAGCGCAGAAAAATAATTTCCGTACCTGGTCCTTGTTCAAGTTGCCGCTTTTCCTGACCAGTCTGGTCAAGTAGACAACAGCTGCTGCGATTTCGTCCTTCATTGTGCCAGTTTCATGGAAGAAAAGGCGAATTTGGTGGAGTTTCTCGTCTGTTTTGGGGGACGGAATTTTCGTTGACTTTTTGGCGCTGGTTCGACGGGTTCCAAGATGGCGACGGCGTCTCTTCTAGCGTCGGTGAACAAAGGGTCTTGGAGACGACTGTTTCTCGGAGAAATGTCCCTACACTTCGGCTCAAAGATTGCACCTAGAGGAAGACAAACATACATGGGTACTCTCCAGCAAATTTGGTGGAAAAGCTACGGTGGGAAAAGGAAAAAAAGACCCAACAACGGAGCGAACCCAAGTTCGGGCCTTCCGTAAGCGCTCACGTCGAAGCATCGAAACAAAAAAGAAATTCAGGGACAAATTCTGACACTTTGACACCATTTTAGGGTTGTACCTTGCAAATTAGTTGCCAGAAAGGCGGAGGGCTTGGCAAGAGAGAGAAGGAAGTGCTGCGCTCAGTCAACAGGATGCTTACGGGTTCGGGCTTTTTCTGCAGTGAGTCACGAAACAAAAGCGCAGTGCTCTGAGTACTTGTTTTCCCCACATTCTATTTTTGGCGGCCCATACCAACACGTATAGGGGTGTTCAGTATATTTGAGTCAATAACTATCTAAGTATGGCACAGCAATTTGATTTTAAGGTATTGGAATAGGAGTAAGATATAATATTAGTAAGTTATAATCTGGATTAATTCAGTAATATTCCACATAATTATAAAAATGTATGTGGTTTATAAAACTCGTACCCCCTTGGATCAAACCATTTGTGGCAAAGCGACTTACGTCAGCCAATCACGTCACAGCTCGCGTTTCCGAGGGGACAAAACATCTGACGTCACAACTCGGCTTGCCTTCTGGGAAAGTCTCCCAGGGAAACCCGATGTCTTCAAGTCTCTACGCACTCGGTGACATTTCTCCAAGGGTCGGATTTCTCAGACTTGGAAGAAGTGGAAGTAGAAAAAGTCTCTACTGAAGCGCATACCTTTCGTAAAAATGTCCCAGAGAAATTTCAATGGGGACTATGAAAATACTGTATGTTGCGCAATATTGGCAATACTAGACCTACGTGCAAGATTGCATGCATCTTGCATTACCTGGATTACACTTTATTGACTACGTTCCAACATCAAGTACGTGTGGCCCATGTCCAATCTTTGACTTTCTCCACTTGAAAACTTTAGTAGAAAAGATGTCTGTAGGAGTGTTCCAACATCCTGCAAAAGTGAAATGCAATTATTTACTGAAATACAATATTTCCTGTGCCCAAACAGTAGGACTGTGGCCAATGCAAGTTTTCTAAACAACAACTTGACAAGAATATCTAATATAGATTTTTTTTTACATAAGCTTCGGATTTCCGTACGAGCGCCTCTTTCAACAAGCAAATTGTATTTCACTTTTTTGCCGGATGTTGTGCAATACAACACTACCTAAATATTTGCTGGCCAGTTTGCGGAGGCCTTGCAAGCTTGTACCAGAGACATGATGTATAATGTCCTTGCTTGTACCCAGTACTGTTGACTTAGCTTACATGTCACAATGTTGTGTGTTTGACTGTGAGTAGAAGATTTAATTGTCATGTGAGGTGGCTGAGATTTTTGCATTAAGTTATCTTAGTTCATTCAAGGTTTTATAAAAGAAATAATGAGGGATTTTTCTATGACTTGGCTACTATATTTGGGTATGTGCTGTATATGTGACAGATCATGAACCTTAAGAATTATCAACTTAAATAAATAATTGTTTTGCTTGTTTTTATCAATCTCTCATTACAACAACATTCTAACTAAATTTTTTGAAGACTGATTATGATTGTGTCCTAAATCTTTTTTTAGAATTAAGATTGTGGCCTGTTACACATTACGCCCAAAAAAGCAGTTACTCAAGCAACTGGATATGATTTTGGATACGGTCAGACGCTTATTACCTGGATGTCTAACCTTCAACGACGTACCATGCATGTTGTTTACTAATGCATGTTGTTTACTAATCTACTTGTTTACAACCTAGTACATAAGTTACATCAACCCCGAAAATTAACATCTAGCCTCCATAGCATGCCAAAAAACTGGGGGTTTGGGGGTCTTCATGGAGCTTTTATGTGCTATTTTCTGATTGCATATAGACAACATAGCCAGTTGAATTACCCCCATTTTGAAAACTGGGCTAATCAGAAAACAGCCGAAGACCACCAAACCCCCAGTTCTATAAGCCTGGTACGGAGGCTATAAAACAACAGTTGTTGACAACTTTAACTCTGTAGAAGCATTTTATCAGCTTGATCAACAGGTTGCTTCCTTTGTCTACGCAGAGTCGTGTTTGTTGACCAAATCGCCCGAGCGTCATCCCATGTATACTCCACACCCTGTGACGCCACACTTCCCTGGCCTGGAGGCATAACACTGTTGTTTTCCCCCTGTGCACCTGCCTGGTATAATTATGTTCCTCCCCCTTAGGCCATTTCTGTGTCCCTCAAACACCTATTGGCTGGCACTCCTCCAAATAAGCACACCTGGGTGGTTCTTCCCACACTTTTGCCTACGTTAGTGGGAGTGAAAAATCAAAATGGGCAACAAAGGTTTTCCTAGTAAGGGAAGCGGAAATTTGGCATCAATCTTATGGGCTTGTAGACATTTCTTTTGGGGGGGGGGGATTTTAAGCAATCTGTGATAATTGTTGTATCAATTTTATGGGCTTGTAGACATTTTGCTTAGGACATTTTAAGCTATCTGTGATTATTGTTGTACATGTGTATCAATTTTATGGGCTTGTAGACATTTTGCTTAGGACATTTTAAGATATCTGTGATTATTATTGTTGTACACATGTATCAATTTTATGGGCTTGTAGACATTTTGCTTAGGACATTTTAAGATATCTGTGATTGTTGTTGTCTTTGTAACAATTGTTATTGTTTCCAACTAAGTCTGAACTTTGGTTGGAGTGAAAGATCATGAAGAGTGACAAAGGCTTTCCTAGATAGGGAGGCAGAAATCTTGTACACATGTCTTGTAACAATTGTTACTCCGTGAAGGAGGTCAGGACCTCCGGACGGAGTGTTGTAATCGGCTGATTTTTCATGTTCGCAGTCAAAACACTGGGTTCTCTTTGTGTAATCGGCACGCAATTTTATACGCCGTCTGCGGGCATGCCCGTGTTGATGCACGAATGTGTATTTTTGCCGTTGCTGCTTTCGCGGTCAATGTAATATCGCAGACGCACCCCTACAATTACGAGGCGAATTGGAATGGTCCAGAAAAACGCGTTGTTTGGAATAGCAGTGGGGTTCAAAAAAGTTCATGCAGATACGGGGTGGTTTTTATAAGTGGTTCCAGATGTTTTTGCCCATGGTTAAGAGATGCCAAGTTTTTTGGAAGATGTTCGCAGCCAAAACGCATTCTTCCGTACGTCGCATTTCTGTGTAATTTCGCATGTGGTGTTGCATTATGTCCGGGATGATGCACGTCTTTTTATTTTTACCGTAGCTGTTTTGATATTGGAGTAAATGCTTATTTTCGAAACATCCCCATTTCTTTGAAATGGTTTCGTCCGTTTATGCAACTGTTACTGCGCTAATGACGACCAGTCGCGCTGTCCTGATACACCGCGAATGTGCGAGTGTTCCCTGTAGACAGTCCCGGGAGTCATTTTTTGCACATTCCAGGAGCCAAACCAAAATACGTTCATGAACCGAGTCCAAAAAACCGAAACGTGAAAATCGGATGATCGGACCTGATGTACATTTCTCTTTCTATAGATTGTACACACAATACACACATCTTTAGATAATCTGGCCATGGCAGGTTAAAAAAAAGTAACCCTGAATCATACTAGATTAGCGTAAATGCATGTTAATGCGTTCAAAACAAGAAAAAAATTGTTTCCGGGTATTAATCTCTTGAATCACGGCGCTGAATATTGACGCAAAAATATTTCGGGCATCGCGCGCCCTTCCCGCGTCACGTGTAGGCATCTCGCATCTCTGATTGGTTGTTGCGTCTTAAGATGACTGAGCCGACGCGCGTTTAAACAATTTTTCTTTGTTCGATTTATCACACTTCACAGAGAATTGTCGCCAATGGCTACTTCTTTTTGTTGCAATATATAATACTTCACGGAGAATTGTCGCCTATGGCTTCTTGTTATTGTTTCCAACTTAGTCTAAACTTTGGTTGGAGTGAAAGATCATGAAGAGTGACAAAGGCTTTCCTAGATAGGGAGGCAGAAATCTTGTACACATGTCTTGTAACAATTGTTATTGTTTCCAACTTAGTCTAAACTTTGGTTGGAGTGAAAGATCACGAAGAGCAACAAAGGTTTACCTAGAAAGGGAAGCAGAAATCTTGTACACATGTATCAATTTTAGGGGCTTGTAGACATTTTGTTTAGGACATTTTATGCAATCTGTGACTGTTGTTGTGGTCATGCAACAATTGTCTTCAACTATAGTCTACATTTTGTGGGACTGAAAAACAAAATGAGTGATATGCCTTTTCTGAGGCTAGCTAGGGAATGATGTAATCTAAAATGGGGAGGGGGAGACCTTGGACAAATTTATAAGCAATTTGTGATTGTTGTTGTCATGAAAGTTGTTCTCAACAAAGTCTAAACTACATGGGACAAACATGTTGAAACAAGTATCAATAGAACTGCCATCGCAAACACATCATGCATTCTATGCCATAATCATTTCTAATCTTATCTTGAAAGTTCATCTGTGTTGGTAGAAGTTGGTACATGTATTCTACATTTTCAATCAAACCTGACAAACATACAGCTTGTTTCAGTGCACTTTCCTTTCACTGTAATTGAGAACAAGTCTTTATTTTTGGTACTGGTATATATTTTTCAATATTTTTCTCTCTGCAGAACTGATCTTTGCTCACACAGCACAGCAGATCATGCTTATTTATATACTAGACACAGTGAAGCAGTGACAATCCAGAGTGTATAAACTTTAGCTACATGTATGATGAACAAGGTCTACACTGTGAGTTTAAAGTGTACCACATCCCTCTGAAAAACTGTTAACCAAAGCAATTTGCTAATTACAGACAATTAGCACTTAGTTAAACCCTGGTCATCCTTAGTATTCAGAGCATGCAGTGTTCAGTCAGTGTACATGAACACAGGCTACTGTAGTACTGTACGTACAGTAAAAGTACAACATTGCGGTAGTGGAAAAAGTGACAAGAAACAAAGAAAAGGCTTATCAAAGATACAAAGCTACCACCTCCCCTGATCCATTCCCAAAACAATCTGATCTGAAAGTTGGTCACTAAAGCACATTACACCAGTTTTCATACACAGTATCTCGTGGTTAGTGCATGTTTTAACATTTCAATACATTGCAATTGGCAATGTGTGTTGCAGAACAGTTCCCCCCCCCCACCCCACACACACACTCCAGGTTTGTTGTTGTTGCCATCTTGCAAAAGCGTCTGATCCTACATGTACAATCTCAAAGTATCATTCATTTTCAACAAACTAGTTTTACATACATGTATCTTCAACACTTTTTACAATGCCCCTTACTATTGCTAGCATTCATGTTTAAGTATGTGTTAATAATAGCAAAGCAGGTTTTAAATGTCTAATTTTTGAGAAAGAGAAGAAGACTCCTAGTAGGAGCGGATAGCTGGTGGAACATGCTTGCAGTCCTTTTCATTCAATGTCTCATCGATGACTGGTCTATAGGACAGCTCAACCTGAAATAAAGTCAAAGTAAAATACATGTAAATCAAGTCTCTTTGATTGAGTATGTAATATATACTCATTGTTTTTAGTTTATAATGCAGAAAATGCCAATGACAATCTGCAAATGTTTCCTTTTCTAATTTTAAAGAGGCATAGAGTCTAAATTCAGTTTTCACAACTATGGTATTTGAGGTTATATTACTGATACCTGTACACAGATACAAATAAAGACACATATGCACAGACATACCTAGAACACACAAATATCAAACACACAGACCATTTATTAAGTTCCTGTCAAAAGTTTTTGAAATTGTAACAAAGAAAAGTGTCATCTGCAGAAAGAACTCACAGTTTTGCCATCGTCCATTGTACACAGAGTATGTTTTCTCCAGTGGTCAGACATGGGCTTGGGTGTCTGTCCCTCCACAGGTTTGGAGTAGTCATACTCATCAATACGCTCCTGTAAACACAAGGAACATACCGCTCTTCATGTCACAATACAAAACTAGTTCAAAAGCTATGTGCCATCCAAAATTTGTGACCCTAGAATATCCAGATTTAGAATGCATGGAGATTTTCTTGCGCATTATACAGCATTTGGATATCAAAATGCTCACAGAGCAAATTTGAAGGACTGAATCTTTCTACAAAGACCTGTATCATGTCAAAGATTCACTGAAAGATGGTACAGACCTTGAAGTCTTCCCGTGCGTGCGCGCCGCGACTCTCTTTCCTGTTCTCGGCAGAGAACATGGTCTGTGCAGCGTTCAGCATCAGGTTCTGGAGCTCTAGGGTCTCGATCAGGTCCGTGTTCCACACGATACCGCGATCAAACGTCTAAAACAAACAAAACGAGAAAAAAGTTACCAGAAAATTCAAGGAAAGTGAATATCGACAAGTCTCGATCTAGTCTGGTGTTCTCACGAGACTAGGTCATCCTGTGATCAAGATGTACAGTGGACATTGAAAATCACTCATTGATGAATTTCTACTAACTTATTTACAATTCAAGAAAGAACTGTTCTGTAACTTTGATTAATTGGCATTGGGAATATCACAGTGCTGAGACTTTGATTCTTAATTAATTTGTCAACCATTAGTCCTTGCTTCCAGGTTTAGACTTCGGTTTAGACATTAAAGACCTGATAACAGCCATTGCCGAATGATGATGATTGAACTTGTTTCCTACCTTGATGTCGTCCATCTTGTTGACCAGAGCGCTGATTTTGTCACATCCTTCCTTCAGAACATCACCAGTACGGAACACTGCAGCATGGGCCTGCATGGTCTGGGGATGGGAAAAAGAGAACACACTTCTATAGATTATGAAATAAAGACTAAGCTTTAACTTCCAATTCTGTAAACTCAACCCTAGTTCTGTAAACTCAGAGGTCTTGCAACACATTCACATTGAATCTCCGGGACATTCAGTATCTCTAGAAGGGGTTAAAATCCTTGATTCAGAATCAGACTTCTTTGCAAGAGGAGTGAAGGAGGCGGTCTACAAAAGAGCTCACAGACCTACCCTGAACAGAGACGGGGGGCAACACAAGTCATCTGGCAGTCTGGCACGTATGACCCGCTACTACGGTCACATGTCTCTGACGTCACGTTCCAAGAGTAGAAGGGTCCATTCCGTGAACAAGGTTGATGGAGTCAACCGATAATTTGTCCCGTTTCCGTAGTCTAATTTTTGGATCTTTATTTCATAATGACTTGTACCAACACAGATAAACTTTCATACAAAGCACACTTCTAAAGATGTTTGTGTGGCATTGAATGGCTTGAGTGGCTAGGCTTGTAGACACGAGATTGAGAGGTCACAGGTAGTGCTGTGTACCTGTTTGCTGGAAGTAGTTCTGGACTTGTAAAAATGTTTAGGTTCATGTCCAAAAAAACCTGAGCGCTTGGAACTAGTTCTGGAACTACAAAAAAATCATGTCACATTCCCCTTTTTGTTCTAAACCACCTGAAATCTTCAATCCTCAAAAATTTGTGCTGCAGCAGGACAGTTTTGCCCAGATATGCCCTGCAAACAACATATCTTGCCTCGAAACCCTGCAGTGCAGTACTTGCTACAAAATTTTGCGGTAAAGATGCCCCATTTTTCATTGGGAAATATTCACTGAGAAGTCCCTTCTGTATTTTGTATATGCCCTGGGTTTAGTTCCAGACATACAAGACCGGACCTGAACCTAAACCTCTGGACTTGAATCCAGACCTGAACATGGGTTTGGGTACACAGCACTAATCACAAGTTTACTCCTTGACACTCTTGTTTAATTAGACTAAAGAATAGGTAAAACTAATAGATGAGATTCTTACCTTCTGCATCTGTAGTCGGAGGTCGGCTGTTGGGATGCTGCCATTTGCATAACGGACTGCATCAAGGTTTGCTACAGACTCCTCTCCTGCATTCTGAAACAAAGTACAAAACAACTGTGAGTTGTGTGGTACGAGTTTGGAAACAAACAAAATACAGTACAGGTACAGTACAGGCCTAGATTAGGAGCAGGTAGAAATCAGAGATACCTGCACAAACCTGTATACGTAGATGATATTTCCAGCCCTGAACACTACATGAAGGGATACAAAGAAGACCAGATTTTTTCAGTCCACTGGGTAGTCTTTCTATGCAATTTTGTTGCATTGGTAGAAATACTTTTTTTTTTGTATTCTGGAATAGTGGAGAATGTCAAAATTTTGTTTTGCAATATTGAAATACTTTCTGCAAATGTACAATTATAAGTTCGGACCTAAACCCTTAGCATATACAAAATTGCATGGCATATACAAAATTGCATTTTAGTAATTGAGAAATACATGCAAAATTGCAGATGGGTACTTCTAACACTGTGTTGAACATTCTCAGCAAGGACACGTCTTGCCACTTCCACTGAAGCAAATCAGCCTTTCTTCCTCCATACACCACCTCTTAGGAGGAAGTTGCATGCTGAAAGCTTCTTTCCAAGAACAACATCACTTTGGAATAAGCTACCTCGTGACTGTTTCCCTCATGAGTATAACCTTAAACTTTTCAAGTCTAAGGTCAAGAAACATATGTCCTCACTGGCTGTACTGTAACCCAAAATACTTTAAGTGGCTCCCATGAGCCTTGTTTTGTGGTGACCTATGAAGTAAATAAAATAAAAAATATCATCATGTTATCTTTATAACAGACCCACCTTAGGCATATCAGCGATGGTCTCTCCAGGCTTGTTCTCGTCTCTGATGGTGTGAGCGCAGGCACGTCCGAACACCACCAGGTCCAGGAGAGAGTTAGCGCCCAGACGGTTAGCCCCGTGCACGGAGGCGCAGGCCGCTTCTCCGCACGCGTACAGACCCGGCACGATGTAGTCACCCCGCTCCGCATCGTGTTGGACAACCTGGGGAAGTACGCAAGGAGTTAGACCTCCTGTTGTGTTTCCTGTTCAGTCCTAAAAAAATTAGGATCGGTAGGTAGGGATTATCTTTTTTTCTTTCTTTTCTTTTATTAAGCCACGTTGATTTGATTGTATGGATGACATCCGTGTGCGCATGAATTTTTGGCACTTTCCACAAGAAAAAATCATACAAAACAGTTGCAAAATGAGCCAATGTATACCATAGGTTGCAAAAAAAAATATTGGAAAAGGATACCAATGAGGTAGAATGCCAAAATCAACAAAAAGACGAAGATGTAAAGAAATGAATTTGAAGAGTAGATTATCCGTCATACCATACTCTGTGTTATTTGTTCAACCTTCATGACCACGGACTTCATAATGAAAGCAACTTTTTTTTTGGCCAAACTTTTTTTTATTCGCACGCTCGCATCAGTTTTGGGGTTACCAGAGGATGTCACCCATATAACCAAATCAACATGGCCTTAGACTGATTTCTAGTGATACAATTTATGCAATACAGTTTAACAATCTGAGAAACAACAGATTAAATTGGTGTGGCCTAATATCAACACAAAATGCTTACCTGTCCCTTGTAGTTGGTGGGCACCCCTCCCATGTTGTAGTGCACAGTGGGGAGGACAGGGATGGGTTCACGGGTCACATCAACGCCCGCGAAGATCATGGCGGTCTCCGAGATCCCGGGAAGTCGCGCCGCGAGCTGTTCCGGCGGAAGGTGGTGCAGCTGGAGGTAAACATGATCCTTCTCCGGACCACAACCTCTGGATAATAAAATCATAACAAGAAACTTTATTATGTTCACCTTTGCGGAAGGAAAACATATTGCTTTTGCTCTTTTTTCTTCTTGTTCTCTGAACATTAAACTAAAAGGTCAATGACCTGGACTAGCTAGACATCTGTCACCATGGTAATTGGAACTGTAGCAGACACTACATTATGTAGCAGACATTGCATTATGTAGCAGACACTACATTATGTAGCAGACATTGCATTATGTAGCAGACAGTACATTATGTAGCAGACATTGCATTATGTAGCAGACACTACATCATGTAGCAGACATTACATTATGTAGCAGACACTACATTATGTAGCAGACACTACATTATGTAGCAGACATTGCATTATGTAGCAGACATTGCATTATGTAGCAGACAGTACATTATGTAGCAGACATTGCATTATGTAGCAGACACTACATCATGTAGCAGACATTACATTATGTAGCAGACACTACATTATGTAGCAAAGTTGCAGGACTGAGTTAGATGGGCTGGTCACCAATGATATATATCTGTGTATTTGTATGTATTTGAGACGCATTTGCTTTACAACTGTTAACTTTCTAGTTGCAAATTCTTGAATGAGGGCTAATTGCAAGTAACAGGAAAAGTTTTTCATGAAAAAACAAACAAAACAAATAGTAAACAAACAAACCTGCCCTCTCTGATTTCGATGGTCATGGAGCGGGACACCACGTCACGAGAGGCGAGATCCTTGGCGGTGGGAGCGTAGCGTTCCATGAACCGCTCACCCTCGCTGTTGATGAGGTAACCGCCCTCCCCACGACAGCCCTCCGTGATCAGACAACCGGCGCCGTAGATACCTGCACGCGGGAAAAAACATGGCAGCTTTTTAGGAACCCTAGCCTGAGTTAACACGTCGGCAAAACACACTGCACAAAAAAAAACTGATTTTGCACGGTTTTTGTTGGATGTTTGGTTAACGTTGTAACAGGATTTTGTCTGTTGCAGACGATATCTTTTCCTCTTCTTCTCTAAACCAATAAGGTCAATGACCTCAACCTGACGTCTGTCACCATGGTAACTTGTGTTGAGTTACATCATGTTGCAATTTTATAGTAGGAGGGATTTAGACTCCTGTCTGACCATATATATGAATGTGTTTGAGTAAGAATTAACAGAGCAGACCATATGCGAAGGTAAACATTATGCATTTGTTTTGTGAATGTTATTTTTCTTGTTCTACGTCGTGTTTCGTACTGACCTGTTGGGTGGAACTGTACAAACTCCATGTCCTGATTGGCCAGTCCAGCGCGTGTCGTCATGGCGGTTCCGTCTCCCGTGTTCGTGTGCGCCGATGTGCAGCTGAAGTAGGCTCGGCCGTAACCCCTGGTAACAGATACATGAATGAATCTCAAAAACAAAACTGTTTGACTTTTTAACTGTCATGGATTTCAAATGAAAAATTTTGAGATTGACAGCAGGACTGGATATGTATGCTTGGGTTATATTTAATTAGTGCAGTTACTGTGCAGGTATTTCTGATGTCTTCTTTCCAAACGGAAAATAAAGCTACTTGAAACATCTGACAGTTTTCAATATCTATCCAGTTGCTTGAGTAACTGTTTTCTTGTTTAGCCCTAGGAAAAAAATGTTGTGTTTCCTGTTTCCAGACCGACCCTAGAAAAAAAAAAACTTTTTGTCAAACCAATGCATTGGTACGGGGAAAATACTTAAAGCTGCAACAGCAAGGAAGACAAGGTCAGCTTTCTTCCAATGTTTGGGATAAAATATAATAATTTTGATTTGATTTTTCTGCAAATCAGAAAAAAATGAAGTGGGCGAATCCGAGAACCAACTAATTAAATTGTTGTGGCCTTACATGTGTAATAAAGCTGAAATATATAAATAAATACCCGGTAGCGAGGACGGTGTTCTTGGCATGAAAGCGGTGGATGGTTCCGTCCTCCATGTTGATGGCCACCACTCCAATACACTCCCCGTTCTTCATGATCAGGTCCAGCGCAAAATACTCCACAAAATACTCGGTGTCATACCGCAGGGACTAACGGGAGAGAAAGAAACAACTTCAAAACAAGAAACTGGAAAATTTTTTCAAATTATTTACTATTTACTAGGTTATATAAAACATACATATATTGCCAGGGAAAAAAGATTTTTATGTTTACCAAAGGAAAACATATTGTTTTTGCTACGTTTCCTCTTCTTCCATTCCAAACACTGACCTCTGACCTGGTCAATGACCTGATTGGTTGACGTCTCTCACCATGGTAACTGGTGTTGGGTTACATAATGTTGTAATTTTATAGTAGGAGGGATTTGTACTCCTGTCTGACTCTATGTATGAATGTATCTGAGTAAAAATTAACAGAGCAGACTACATTGCTTTGCAAATGTTACCTTTATAGTTTAGTAAAAAATCTACACAATGACTGTGAAAGTGCAAAATACTAGTAGTAGTTACATCTATATACTACTCTCTTCATTGAAAGGGGTTTTCAAGGGGTCTAGAGTTCGTTTTTTCCCAATCATGGAAAATAAAATCATGTACAAACAAAAAACATATATCCAACATTTAGAGTCACCACAAATAAAATACACGAGAAATCACATTGCTAAACTAATATTCTAGAATAAAAATACTATAGAATAAATGTATACTGTCCTTAAGACATAACCTGTTTGGTTAAGATACAGTGTAATGTACACTAACAAAGGTAGGAGTAACAGTGAGTTAGAGAAGGATTAGCGAGGCCCCCTACCTGTCCATACAGGGTGTGCAGGAGGGAGTGTCCCGTGCGGTCAGCGACGCAGCAGCACCTGTGCGCCTGTCCGCCCTTCCCGTAATCGTAGCTCTGTCCGCCGAACGCTCGCTGGTAAATCTTCCCGTCCTCTGTACGGCTGAACGGCATGCCCATGTTCTCCAACTAAAAAACAAACAAACAAACAGAAAAACAAAAACAAGGAAATCAGAGATGGTAGGCTTCACCCCCTTACCCATACTACTTTGTAGCCCTTCCAAACCCACAGACAAAAATATCATCAGTACATTTCATACCAGATGTAGAGCTGAGGATATACTAGTATGGCAATAATGTATTGCGTACATGTATATTTGGAAATGCATTGACTTGTAATACAAAGAGATAAAGTAAAATACCAAAGGTAAACTCAAAGGAATAGGATCCCTCTAAACAACAGTACAGACTCTTCAGTACAGGCAATGGGTGACATTTTATAGGACAGTTGTTTGACATTGCTTTCGGAAAAAACATATTTTGTAATGAATCTACATGTAAGATTCTTATTTTGTAGCTATACATTGAGCTATTGTTTTATCTATTGTATAGTACACTATAATTCAGCCTTTGGGCTATGATGTTTTTAAGTGTAAGCAAACAATTCAATTTTAATTTTTGTGAAAATTTTTACCTCAATGACAGCCTGTGGTGCCTCCTCTGTCATGTAGTGGATGGCATCCTGGTCTCCTAACCAATCAGAGCCTTTTACTGTGTCATACCTGGGTAGTAAGAATAAACAAATAAGAAAAGAACAAAAAACATTTTTCCAATGTCTTTTACATGAGTACTACATGCTTTGCCTAAAACACTTTACTGGTAATAGTAATACAGTGCATTAATACATGTTTTTGTGCAATATTATTTGTAGAAAAATATTATTTCAACTCACATGTGCCATCTCCAGTTGTCTGGTTCCATGTTCCCCAAAGCAGCATTGATACCACCCTGTTAATAATGGAACAGTCAACACATCAGCAACTGGAATCTTTATTGTGATCATTGAGATGCAATTAACTATTCCTTAAGTGTAAAAAATGGTGTTCCCTGGTGTTTTATTTGGTTACAGGTACCTGTATAGTCAATATAACTGACCTACGGCACAACACACCAGCTTCACAGGCATTTGGCGCGGCGGCAGCTGGCTACATTACACCGATCGACTTGTTACACCTAACCCTTGAACTTCTAACTCTAAAAATTGTTCAAAGCTATCTAAAGATAATGCCCCTACTGACAGTGAGTTCCACTCTGCGATAGTTCTAGGAAAGAACAAGTTTTTGAACACCTCAATCCTTGGTTGGTAACTCTGGTACTTGAAGGCATGACTATTTCTTGTTCTTTTCTGACCTGATATTAGGTACTAGGTAGTTGGTTTTTAGCATACGATACATGTACTAAGAAAGTTGTCTCTAGTCTTTGAACTAAGGCTACAGCAAGTAATTTTTATGGATGACATCAGCACGCGCTTTAATTTTCGCCTGATTTTGGAAAAAAAAGAACAAGAAATTCTGTTGCATGCTGACAGTGGTCAACATGCCGAAAATGGGCAAAGATGTCTGTTGCCATGTCGGAATGTGGATGGCAGATAACTATGGAGACAGGAAAAGGCTTTGATTTAATGTTTTATTTCTTACTTTGATGCAGTGATATGTGATGTTGGCTGTGCATATGTTATGTTCCCACTGAATGAAAACCATTTGTACAATGATTGAGTCAAAATTTTAAAATGTAGGAACCTTGTTTTTTTCGACCCGCCTTGTTTTCTTTCACCCGCTCGCATTAGATTTGGAGTCTGCGGAGGATGTTATCCATAAAATTTACTTGCAGTGGCCTAAGGAAATCTTACAGCCTAAAGAACCCTGCTTACCTGTGCGGCCACAGTGTGAGATCTAGTGGGGAACAGTTTGGTGATGCAGGCCGTTTTGAAGCCTTCCGACGCCAGACCGAACGCTGCTCGTAGACCCGCCCCGCCCGCTCCGACCACCACCGCGTCATACGTGTGGTCCACCACAGGGTAGTTCTTTGTCCCCGCCTGTGGAAATAATGGAACATTCCAAACTCTCACTCAAAAATGGTAAACATGCACAGTTTGCTACACAGAAATTTGAAGTGATACTATAGGCATATTTGTACGTCATTTACCAACAAAATGAAAATGAATAGCACAATAACAGCTTATTAAACACAACACAAATAGTTTACTGTTAAAAATAACAATAACTCAGGAATAGACTGGGCTACTAGTACATACAAAAACATTAAAATTCTTGTTTTAGGATTATGATTTTTTAGTTCAAGGCTAAAAAAAAAGGTAACAAAAGAACAGCTCATAACATAAGAAGACAAGTACATTTTGTCAAACTTTTTTTATCCATGAAAAAGTTAAGGAAAAAAAGGACTATGAATATATTTCGTACATCTCCCTGTGACACTCGTGCATCGCTGCGTCTCCCCTCTATGGTGAAGTGGAACGATCTGGATGCGGCCAATGGCTTGACTCCATGACTCAGTCCTGATGTCTGCAGAAATGACATTAATATGATAATATTATCTATGTTTTGCAGAAATTATGCATGTAACTTACGTATTTCAAGAAAGTAGAAAGCACAACAGCATAATAGAATGTTATTTTTATGCTAAGCACTGCAATAAAAGAACGGATATCTAAGAACTAGAGGGACATGTCATCATACATAAATTATATCTTATACAAGTGTCTTGTTTCTAGGCCTGTGACCTTCATCGGGCCAACCTACAACAGCATGCAGATACTAGAAATACCCTGTACAGCAAAAATCACAACAACACGGCATAAATCTAACACTTATGATGTTGCAAATAAGTTCAAATCAAGATAGAAATCTGTTAGTAGGTCATCTAAACAAACTTCTAATTTTTTTTCGACGTCGTAGTTTCATGTTATGCAAGGTGGGTAAACCAAAATAGCTCTCGTGTTTCGACTTAAAAATGCGATATTTCAGCACAGAAACACGGAATATCAGCAAAATTTTGAGCACACAGCTCTACAACACTGTCTAGTATACGTGGAGTAAAATTAAACTGAATGTTTTTGTTGTTTTACCTGATTATTGGCCAAAATCCTGCCGGCCAAAGCGCCCAACCTGAGAGCAGCCGCCATCTTAGATCCGTGATGGAGCATGCGCAGTAGCCGGGGAGACGAAACTTGTGTAATTTACCCAGCATGCAGCGCGGTGTCCATGCATGTAGGACATATTAGAATGGGTCAGTTATATAATATTATACCAAATACGATAAAAACAAAAAAATTTCCCAAAAATAGAGTAGCGGATGTTAGATAAGTCTGTGGCGACAGTGATTAAATGATATCATTATTTGAGAAAAAAAAATGGATATGGATTTGTTTGGTAGAAATTAGTTAGAAAGTTAACGTTAACGGGCCCGTTACTTTCTTTGCAAATGGTTGTTTTGGACTTTGCAAAATCAAGAAGTTGGGAAATCAAGACACTGGGAAGACTAAGGACTTAAAAAAAGGGAGATATCTTACTTACAATGACACAATAGATTAACATACTAGTACTCTGACACATCCCTGTCCCTGAATGACATTCACCCTGATTTTCCATCCCTGTCCCTGGTGCTGAATGACATTCACCCTGATTTTCCATCCCTGTCCCTGGTGCTGAATGACATTCACCCTGATTTTCCATCCCTGTCCCTGAATGACATTCACCCTGATTTTCTATCCCTGTCCCTGGTGCTGAATGACATTCACCCTGATTTTCCATCCCTGTCCCTGAATGACATTCATACTGATTTTCCATCCTTGTTCCAGAATGAAATTCAAACTGATTTTCAAACATCACGGTCCCTCATTCATACAAATATCAAAACAGTGTAGGTGCAAATTTCTGATATAGCAGATGTCCTCATTCAAACAGGAAGACGTGCAATCAACCATTTGCTGATAGTGAGGAAAGATATAAAAGATGTGAAACCTCTACTGTTGTGAATTAATTTATGCATCAATGAGAATGATCTGACATACTTTAAAAACAGGTCTTAAAACAGGAACCTTGCAGTCTAAGAGCTAACATGTTGTGACAAACACCTAAGCTGGTATACCACAAATAACTGTAAAAACTAGCTTGCAGAAAGACTGCCAACTTGACCTTAGGGTCAATCTGTGGTCACAAAATCTCCAAACTTTCTGCCACACTACTGGGCCTACTACTGCATTTGAATGCCTACAAACACACAAGCAAACACACATACAGACCCCAAAACAATACTTCCATTGCCAGAACAAAAACAAAGCATATTTTCTAGTCAGACAGATAGAATTGTGCAGTCTTTATTCACAGGTTCTATAAACATAATGTGCACAGGTGTCAAACACTGCATCTTGCGACAAAGTGTTTCACATGCAGTAGAACTGTATGTGATTCAGCCTGAGGTATTCTGTTACTTTCTAGTGGACTAAACCAATCTCAAAATTCAGGGGACAAACCTTCACCTAAACACCAGAAAGAAGGGGGGGGGTGCACATTTCATTTCTACTTGTTCTTCTTGTTTTTGAGAGTTTCTTTTTTCCTTAGCGCATCTTTATTAACCTTTAGCAAACTGCAGTAATTGTTTGGCTACCAATTCTCTATTGGTTATGGGGTTAGGTAGCAGGGAGAAGGTTAAGCAAATGGTGTATTTTTTTCTGCTCGTTTTATCACAATTGTCAAGTAACGTTATATACCGGTATAGACTCCTCCCTAACTCTCCTATAATGTACAAATTCAGTTCACACTTCACAGTCTGTTCCTTCTTTTACTAACTTGCTCAAGAAACATCACCGCTACACCTCTACACAAAACATCACTAAGAAAAAGTGGTATCTTCACTTTAACTTCCCAACTTGCTCTACTAGTTTTTGGAAACATTATTAAGTCATACTTACACATGTACAATCCTGTAATCTTTACAGAGACTATATGTACTTAAATAGTATTCATTTCTTTCGCATGGGACAAACCAAGATTCATCGCGGGGGTGTTTCGTAAAAAAAACGTGTATTTTTTCTCTGTATTTTTAGCTTTTATGTCTTGTTTCATTCAGCATTTTGTGTTTTTCTTAAAAGCTCGCTGTACATTTTTAATAATTAATATCTACTCAGCCTTAAATACTATTGTCTGAACTCCTTGGATTGTTACTGGCATAAAATATACTTTCTTCCATTCAACCATACAACAGTAACTGTCTTAAATATCACAAACACCCATCTTTCCATAGAACCCATAGTTAGGCCACACCAATTTAATTTGTTGGTTCTCGGATTCGCCTCTTCGTTTTTTTCTGATTTGCAAAAAAAAAAAAATTGATTCTGGTCCTGAATCAACTGAAAAATGCTCATGTTTTGCCCCCCAACAGTTGAGGAAAGTCCTTTTCTTCCTAGTTGTTACAGTTTTCCCATCTATCATTGCAGTGGTTTGATTAAAAGTTCAAAATTCAATGTTTAAATTTTAACCCAGCCTTTTGTGTTGACTTCATGGCTCATTTTGTAGCATTTAAGCCTATAATAGGATGCCTAGACCTGTTTTATTTTATTTTTTTCGCCCTGTCGCTTCATATTTTTCTGAAAAAATCCGAGAACCA